GGCATTCTCACGCAGACATCGATTGACAATGACACAATACAGTGATTGACTTGTGCCTATTTTTAGCCATCCGCAATAGAGCACACTCATTGTAGTTGCAACCAGACAATCGCAATCGCACGTCACGGAATATTTATTACGATTTATCACTCAGTTGTGGCCACGTTTCCGTTTGCGGTCCTGCATGGACGATGGCCAATGTCTACCTCCGAAACCATCGAGGTCACTCGTGCATCCCCCACGAGCTCACATATTTCGGCTGTCAACATTACATATTTAAATATTGGGTCACATGTGGAGGCATTCAGCAATTGTTGTCATTTTGCAAGAACGATCATGTGATTCGCTTGCTGCGGGAAACATGTTCAGAACCTCTGTAACTCACTATCATAAAGATTCCGTGTCGAGGTTGAGCTGATAAATGAGCGACCGGTGAGCGTTTGCGGCTTTTCGCGTTCGCCACATGCCTGCTCGTTCCCCACGTAACTCCAGCGCGTTCAGCTCCAAATAGCTCAGCTGACAACTACTCCCTGGACCAGGAACCATCCATCCGATCGCATTGCTCAATCCCTCCCACGCCATAGAACGTAACTAATCGCACCAGATACCAAACGCGAGACCGGACCCGCCCTAAGTCACTAAACATCCTACTCACCACCCAGAACCGGTAAACAAGCCACGGGGTGCCGAACGGCTCCGTTTTCCCTCTCCACGACAGATGGGTAACCGGCGCCCGACCGCCGTGGCGGTGTCCGAGAATGGCTCAATCTGGTCTGAAGCACTGCTGCGGCGGTGACTGAAGTGGCCTGCTCCGGAGCCGCAGCGCCAGTCTGTTCAAAGACACTGCAGAGTTACCAGTGGCAGCTCCCTCGGTTTTTGCACGCTACATATTTGCAAGTACCTATCACGCGTCGACTTCGCAGCGTATAGCAAGTTACCTTTCTGTGCGTAGTCGCAGTCGCACGGCCAGAGTGGACGGTGTTACCTTTTTGTGCGTACTCGCAGTCTCCCATCCCGAGTGGATAGTGTTATTTTCATGTGCGCAGTCACAGTCTCGAGAACAGAGTGGATAAGGAGTGTTATGTTTATGTGTGCAGTCGCAGTCTCCGTATCAGAGGAGTGTTATCCTTATGTGCGTGATTGCAGTCTCCCTACCAGATTGGTTAAATAGACTATCCAGCCGGTCAAGTCAGCCGATGGCTTCAGTCTCATTCCAGAGACCGTTCGCTCCGTGTATTTACACAAACACAGACTCAGTCTTCCTTTGAGGTCACACACGGCTCCTGATATCGCGTGCGCTGCTCGCTCTATCTACTTGCGATGCCATCGAAGGCAGCGAGCGCCATTCGCTCTTTGTATACCGGTCTCACGCATCGGGCCATATTTCACTGGCTGTCATCGTAACGTTATCACGCGGCCTTGAGGGCGCCCCGGCAGTCGCAGTGCGTGCACCTCGGCGTCCAAAGGTAAACGGTAGTGTGACGGTAGTCTATGGCTGTCTCGCTGCGGATTGCCTTGGGTCAATATCCGTGAATAGATATATGGGACAGTCGTGTCAGCCGTGCCTAGTGCTGACTGGCAAGAGCTGTTGAAGTGACAGTTATGGCTCATAATCAGAGTAACAGCTGGTAACAGCAGCGTTTTACCGGCATATTGCTGGTTTTAGGGCGGCTGTGAACTGAAGTGTCATGTGGAAAATATATGTGACCCCGAGGCAGCAGTACTTTCTGCTATGTCACCAGTCGCCAGTATAGTAAATGTCGAGCATACTACAGAACTAAGGGCTAAAAACTGCTCCTCGGACGTGAGGGAAATTAAACCAATGAGTTGGTAGATGGAGGTTGGAAAACCTTACCTTAGAAAAGTATGGTACCAATGGGAAAACAGAAACAGGGCAGCGCCAGCGATTCGCCCATGACTCAGCTGAGCCATAGAACACGTTGCTCTACGTTGCGACATTGAAAAATAAAAAACAACAGCAACACAACACGGCAGAGGAAACATACTGCTCCCAGATCATCTAACAACTCTTTCACCTCGCGCGGTGACTTCACGACTCTAATAACTCCACCGTCCCCATCCAACTCCGCCCTGCTTTCCGGCGGCTCCATCGTCGCCTGGTGGCCATCATTAGGCGCGGTATCGGCGCTGCGGCGGTCACGGCGCCGCGGGGACGATCCCGACGTGGCTGGCGGCCGGACCCATCAGCGATGAGCCCGTGACCCGGCGACCTAAGTGACACGCGCCGCCCGCCCGCCCCGGCGCGGCGGCCCATCCGGCCGGCCCGCCCCGCCCGCCGCCCGCCAATCTCACCAGTTGGGCAATGGGGTTGCCCGGACAGCGGGCAATGTGGCGCACCGGCCACAAAAAGTGGCCGGGAAGCGCGCCACATCCCCAGAGTCCGGTGAATGGTCACAAGTCGGTGATATTCCAGAAAGTGGCATTGGCCTAAAGATAAACGGTTCTGTGAATGAGTGCAATGCCGAATGACTGCATACTTTCAGAAACTGAAAAGTTAAAAGAAGTGGTTAACAGTGACATGGCATAGCAGGATAATCAGGGCTTAAGTCCTGTGAGTAAATGTCTCTGCTCTCTGCTCTACTCGGATCATCTGTTCACTGAAAAATGTCACTTTTTCACAGATCAAAGGCTTTTAACAAACTTCCTCAGCGAAAAGTTGCCAGCTTACAAGAAACATACTCTACTTTCAAGAAACATTCCTTCAGACAAGCAGCTACCGAGTTAAACCGTCTCCGTTTTCATTTAAATGCATCAAATAAAATGCATCGTTTTCTCTCATAGAGGTCGATAAGACCATCATTGGTCTCATCATGATGTGTACGATTTAGCTAGCATCGCATCATTGCAGTATACTGTGACATTACACGAGGTTACAAGTATCGAGATTCATTCCGTGCCTGAGCCATTATGTACATATGTGTTGTATGTCGAATTTTCCTTCGACGAATACATAATACGAATACGATAGGCTCTACGTGTCTGCCTTGGCATGGAACCTGCTGGCATCATAGACCGAACAATATAGTGACCATGGACGGTATATCGAGACTTTAGATCTACATGTCTCCGATAGTCTTACGAATCGAATCACATTTTGTAAGCATCAGTTGTGTAATAAACGACCATGATGCACGAAGCTATCGGTGAATTGCAAACTGCCTTGCATTTACATACCATATCTCCAGGCGTTATCGATGTTGCCAACGCCCACGAGTGAAAGGATGACGGCCGAAACAAGTTGTATTAGTGAAAATATTTCGCTTCACTTGCATACAAGTGATACAACATACAAGCAAAGAATAGTAACCGATTTATCGGCAAGTGATTGCACGTCGGTAATTGCTTTACAGAGGCTAGGTGCTAGAACGTTGGTAAATTGTTGGTAGTAGCTCGTCTCCACGCGATGTGTTTAACCTTCGGTCCAAAATCCTTTACGATGGGTGCGCTTGGATAGCATAGGTCGGTACCATACATCCTACAAGTACACAATGAGCTCTGTTTACCGGTGAGCGTGTTCCGTAAACACGTGTTCGGATATCATGTAAATCATATGGCCGAATAACATCTAACTTCAAGATGTACTTAAATCCCATCAAACAATCCTATAATACAAAGCATGCACATATTCCAAGCAGACAGCATATGAGATGGGCCACCTTCCACCCACATTTCCCACTGGATCAGCCGATCTCGAGCCGCTGATCAGCCGAGCTTAGCCGCTGATCAGACGGGACGCATGCCGACGCGTGTCCCATTTTGCAATGAGTGACCGCATTGCCGCACAGAAACGCAGCAAGCTGGACGACCTTATGGTCAGTGAACGCAAGGTTCGGAAATTCTCCCCCAAAAACTGAGCATCGGAAACGGGCTGGGAATTCGACGATTCATATTCTCACGTCATACAGATGCTTTAGGTGCTGAGTCTTTGTCTGCTTTACTGGCTAAAAACGTAATTATCGCCCGAATAACCGTTCTTCGCCGAATGTCTGACCATGAGAACACAAATTACCCGTGTTAACTACGCATTTTGATTGGCAGGCTGAAGTGGCAGTACCCCAGTGCTCGCTTCTGACGGGCAAACAGAAGTCAAAGTAAGCTATTATGACTCGTCGCGACCTCTCCATTCAAAACAAAGCCATATCAGCTCACGTTAACAGCGCCTGAGCACCACTTTGAAGCTCCGCGAGTGCTACTGGTCATCAAAAGGCCTTCGCATTGTTTATCTTCTATTCGGAAACAAAGGCAGTACGTCACATTGAGTGATAACTTACAATACCGGACATGGCGAACTCGAGCGCGGCTAAATCCGGCAGCATGAACGTATAAGTGCCAATCCGGTTATATTACGGGACCATTTGGTGAATTCACAAGCACCCTCAACAATAAACAGCGCGACAAAGGGTCTGTGGGAATTTGGTGCAGCTTAGGTACTGCTGACACTGGCGAACTTTTTGTGAGCGGACTGGGGCTGAATGGAGTGACTGAAGAATGTGGTTCGGTCCAAACACGACGGGAATGAGCCGGTCCACGTTCGGTGATGGGCGGCTGCGGCAGGAATCTGGCGATGTCGCAAAGACTGACAACGGAGTGGTCTCCCGTAAAAACCCTCCCCGAATCAATAATATCATCGGTGAAATAGACTGAACGGCGTGAGAATCTTAACTACTTCAGAGAAAGGCGTTACACTGATACACTCAATTACTCTGCAGTCAATTAACTAACGGCATATTTCTTTGTTTACAATATTCACATTTTATTCAACGATGCATTGCATGCCTACATGTTTCTCCATAAAAAACACATTAGGCTCAGCCTCTTACGAGCATCGGTAGAAAGTGACGGATCTGTCATAGCAGGAAATCACTGTCACATTCACCAAACTGCCAAATATCTTGTTAGAATGGTATCCAGTATCCACCACTGCTCATTGTTATCTCCTACGACTGTCTATCAATGACATCCCGTTCTTTCTGTTTCAGATGAGCCATGGCGCCTCATTTGTGGCGCTCGTTTCTCCTTCTCTGCACGCTGACCGGACTGCGACGAGCTTCCGCTCAACAGGTGATATCAATAACCGATTCTATCTTCCTTCGTTTGGATTTGAACTGCAAGCGACGACTTTTAGGCTTTACATACTCGACCGTTAGGTAGAAACAGTCACGGACCACCTTCAAGGAACGTTTTCTCGTGAAAAAAGAATCCGACAAAACTATAATATCCACGCTAAAGTGTTGTAGGAAAAATTATTTAAGAAAAATGTTTCTCATCAAAACTTAAAATACAAACTAAGAGATATCGAACACATTTTTTTCACACTCTGCAGCCTATAATAAAGTCTGACTCTATAGCATATCTTTTTAAATAAGTGCGAATGATTTCATAATTAACGAAATAATCAATAACATAACATTTGGAAAAGTCGTTCAACGCCAAAACGTTGGTTATTAGATCAATTCATCAGCCCGTCCGAACCCGACGAAGGGTCACCGGTCGCCCCACACCCGCCGTGTAATCACCCAGGTGTGTAAGAGCCGCCGCGCTCACCGCCCGCGTCTCCCCAGCTGACGTGGTCGTAATGGCGGTCCGGGGTCGCCGCCTCTCCCACAAGGTCAGCACACATCCTGCTGCTGTGGTCCGCCCTCGCCCGGCGTAGGTATATCAGCCGGTGTCGCGTCCATCCCTGCCGCAAGGCTTGGGCTGGTACCCTTCCGCACCGTCGCGTCGGTGGAGGGGGCGTCGATGGCAGCGGCCAGCGGGGGCGTCGGTGGCTGACACGGGTCGGGCAGGGTCACCACCACCCAGAGGCAGGCCCGGGGGTGCTCCAGCGAGGCGGAAGCGCCGCTTATCCTGTATTATGCTGCGTCACTGACTCACGTCAGCTCGGCCGCGCCTGAATTGTCCGACAGACGGGTGGTAGCGCATAATGGTACGGATACAGCCGCCGTCAAACGCAGCTCCAAACAGCCCGGCCCGGGTGACAAATGGAAATGTGACCTCTGAATGCTCGACGACTGCGGAAAATCGTTGGTTATTTGGGGGATGATTTTCTGAAAGCCTTTTGACACCTGAAAGAGCGTGTTTAGGAGTGAAGCTAAACCATGATGAGCGAATTTGTCGGCGAGATTCGCACAAAATATGTCCATCAGTGATTAATGTGATCCAGCCAAGCCTGTCAGAGAGCAAAGTGCCAGATGTGTGGACGTGGAGGGAGTAAATAAATTATACCTAACTTACACATAAATACACCCATCAAGAAACGCTGGACATGACTGTCTATCAAGATAAACCATTGCTACGCCCCCTCCCGAAAAGGAAACATTAAACTATACGCAGCTTAGATGATCACTGCAAATGCAAACGTGATGATCCGGATCTCCGATAATAAAGCTATTCAGCCACTCAGCAAACCGCCTGGTCTTCTCAGCAACGGCAAAACTGCTGGCCTTGCTTCGCAATGTGCAGTTATGCACTAATTGCCATTTACCAAGTGCCTTGGTATGTGTTAACTGTTAGTCACTATCCGACGCCGTACGCTTGATTATATAGTTCTGCGCGGCCCGCCCCTCCATCCCGTTCGGCCCGTTCCGCTGGTAAACGTTACTCGATGCCGCCCCCTTTCGTGATGCTGTGGGGCGCTGATATCGCCTTCCGACCCGCCTCCCATTGCGACTCGTTCCCAATGCACAAATCGTGCCCTTTCTGCGTTATTTCGGACATGTTCTCCACGCGCAAGTGGGGAGCTATAATGTCTATTTACCTGTTGTCTATTTGGTTTGTCTATTACCCTGTTGGATAATAGACAAACCTATTGGCAATAAATCTGTATTAGACCATAGACAAACCTATCCGACCACGACGAGGACGACATATGCCATTTATTGATGTCAGCTATGAAAACAAAACTTTAATCTTCTGTATTCATAACTCTCAACTCTGTGTCGTTCACCCACCAACGGATGGCTGAAAAGTGCACAAATCGCATAGTTGCTAACGGCTCACGCATGCTCCCAGACCAGTCGTCCGTAATTTTCAGTTTCATTGCGCTTCGTTAAATTTCGTTTTCTCGGCCGTATGTTTTAGTTGCAGCGGGCTGTTATGTTTCAATTTCACCGAAACATTGTTTCAGCTCACACGATTTCTCTGTTTCAGTTCATATCCGATAACCTTCTGACGTCTAACGGCGAAGAGTCGGTGTGTCTGAGTCGCTCCGGGGGCTACTACGCCGACCTGGCCGACGACTGCAGCTCGTACACACTGTGCGCTCCCGGAGGACGCCAGTTCGACTTCTCCTGTCCGCCCGGGACCCGGTTCCACCAGCAGTTCCTGGTCTGCGATCACGAGTTCCGAGTGGACTGTGCAGAATCGCCGCGCTACTACGCGCTCAACGAGCTGATTGGCCGGGAGGAGCAGGGAGCAGGTCAGTGAGAAAAAGGAGAGGATAATAGTTAGCAGGTGTGCCATGTAACACGGTCTTTGATGCATTATTTAGTGTCAGAGAATACTTCACGGACATGAGAATGTACACGAGCGGAACAGCACCGGATTACAAGGCTGATAAAATAATGAGCTACATAACAAGCAGACAGCAGAACACCTCATGTAACTACCTCCTTGCACCAACTATGACGATTGTTGCTCGAATAACATAATGTACAAGGAGGAAGGCTCCTCATTCTATATACTGTAGAAGGAACATGACGAAATGAAAACTTTTGTTTCAGAGTCGACGAAGCAGGAGACACGCACCACTCCGACCAAATCTTCTCAGTCGCAGTTTGCGGTCTCGAGAGCGCCGCTGGAGCCGCTGGTGTCACCACAGAGGTCACTCAACCCCGCCTCCAGTAACCCCGCTCCGCGCCGGTCACCGTTTACCCGTCCCCAGTCGCAGCGGCCGACCGTCTCCCGGGCGGCGACTCCCTCCCAGCGGGCACCCGTTCGAGCACTCCCAGTGGCGGAGGTGGGACAAACTCTGCTGGATCTGGTGCAGATCTCAACACGCGAGTCCAGGCAGCGACCGGCGGCGGATGGAAGCCCTCGGCGTCCCGGAGCGGTCGGAGTCGAGCCCCGCAGCCGTCAGTCGCCAGTGTCACCTGCAGTGCCCGCTCTGCTAACACAGGTGGCAGCACTGGGTCGTACGGCGGCCCAACCCAAGGCGGCGCCACGGAGCAGGCCCTCGGTGGTACCCCAGGTGGCGCCACAGGTCAGGCCAGGCCTCACCCAGGAGGCCCCGCTGCGCCGGCCAGCCGCCAGACGACAGCAGGCGCCCAACTTCCGAGGGACATTCTTCCCGGCTCGGCCGGAGCTGCCGCGACAGGAGCCCCGACAGGGGCTTAGCCGGTTCGAACGACTCAACAAGAGCCTCCCCAGCCCTCCAGCTGGCAATAAACCATCTCGGCCGCGAGGGGTCGGAAGGAAGGTGCGGTTTCCGGCTCGGAAGGTACGCCCAGAGCCGCCGCCGCCGCCGCGCCCGCCCGCCGGCCGGCGTCAGAGTGTGCGGGCGGTCGGCGGAGGCTGGAGGCCAGCGCTGCGGAGTGTGCCCGGCACCGACCCCCGCTGCCCCCGCTGTCTGGCGGCGCTCATCACACGGTGGGACAGCTGCTTCCCGTGCGTCTCTGTGCTGAGATGAACAGGTAAAGCTCTGTTCACACCGAAACGGTGATCCTGTGTAAACTTTGAGCAGGTGAAGCTCTGTTCACACCGAAACGGTGAACCGTAGTAAACTTTGAGACGGTGAAGCTCTGCCGACCCAGAGACGATGTCGATGAAACCGTGTTTAGATAAAGTCAGTGAAGAAATTCTTCGCTCAGTAAGATCGGTGTAGAACTGTTCGTCACAGACGACACATTGTTCCGAAGTCGCATGAAGCTCGATGTGTAGGTCAGTTGAGATCCATTCATGTATGTGAGTGAAGCTCTGATTGTACTGAGTCGGCGACGCTGCATATTCGTCGACGTAATGGTCATATCGTATGGTCATATCATAAAGGATCTTCATCTTACTCAGAGACAAAGCACACAAAGATGGTACGAAGAGGAATACTACTGATGCTGCAGGCATCACAAGAATATCACATGAAGTTTACGAGGAGCGACTTAAAACTAAAAATAACCTAAAATAAGAAATTCGTTTTCTTCGTAACTTCGCCACTAGATTTTTGCCTCCTTGAACGAGGGTTACGAGACCTCTGTCAAATGCTATCAGTATCCAATAGACAGATTCAAAGGAAGAAGAACTGACTTCTAAGAATGGGATTCAAACGTCACTGGCGAGCTTAGGGAATGAAATCTGTAGGAACGACTGATATGGTAATCTAGTTAGGTGACAAGCTCTCATGCCTAAGATGAACGTTAAACATGACATCTATTCTCCATTTTCTCATCAATGTACTGGCTTCGGTTGCATATTTCACTCTTCAGTTAGCTCGAGTTAATTACAAATCATATCTTCGTCGTTCTCAAATGTAATACGGAGAAATGTCAAGCACTAATAACCAACTAATAGGATAAGTAAGTGGCAACATATCACAGAGTAGCGATGGAAAGGCTCCAGAGTTGAGCTACAATGATCACGGTAAGATAAGAATAAGAACAGATATCAAGTGAGTCTGTTTACAAGCCCGTCTGCACCCGTTGACTCTTATGTACCAGAGCCTTTAAATGTTGTACCGTCATGTACTGTCATGTGCTAATTTTCATGTGAGTGGTTTCCTTAAATACCGATGTGAAAAATACAATAGAAATAAGGCCAGTTTTTATATATCAAGGTTTAGTATATAAATCGATGCATTAAGACACTCTGAGAGCCAGAAAGATAGTGCTGCAGAAAAAGCTTGGATGCATGAAATATCACACTCATTAATTATCCAATACATATGAAATTGATGGATGGATGGATGGATGGATGGATGGATGGATGGATGGATGGATGGATGGATGGATGGATGGATTGATGGATGGATGGATGAAAAAGAACACTTAAAGTACATTTAGCATCTGCATCTAACGCCAGCACATTCATTGCATCGCTGGATCATCGCATATCATCACGTCCGAACACATCACAAAGCTACAAACTCCATACAAAAAAGAACGCACTGAAAGTCTTCGCTTCACAGGTACTGACTTCGAAATGGGCACCACGAATCCCTATATCTCTCCCAATATCTCTCAGAGGAGGCTCTCATCCGAGTCCGAATCCCGGTCTACGCCCTTCAGCAGCTCCTCCACCTTGTCCAGGATCATGTCCACCACCTCTGGCACTGGCGCAGAGTGCGACAGCGTCAGGGGCACCTCGCGCCGCCACCGGCCGGCTGTCGACGCCAGACAGAGGGTGGCCGGGCGGCGCGGGTAGGCAGCCAGCAGCAGCTCAGCCACGGCCCCGTCCCATCGCAGCGATATGCGGCTGCAGTCGGCGCTCAGGTCCAGCAGACGGTCGGGCGCGGCGGTGACCAGTGCGGCCACCAGCAGCCGGCGCGCCCGGCCCGCGTCCGAGCCCTCCTGGAGTTGGCGCTGGGTGAGCTCGGTAACCAGCTGTACGTACTCGGTGAGTGGCCGGCTGGCCGGCGGCGGTAGCCGACAGTCAGTCGCCAGCGCCGCCAGCGCCGGGGACAGCCGCAGACGCGCCTTGACGCCACCGTTCTCCGTGGCTTTGAGCAGCAGCAGCGCGCACGGCCGCCGGCCCGGCGGTGGCCGCTCCCAGAGGGTCGACAGGTCCAGCGGGAGGCGGACCAGCACGTACAGCGCCGGGCGCACCTCTCCGGCGGCCACCATCGGCTCGAGGGCGTCCGGCCCGAGTTCAGCCAGCAGCTGGCTGTAGCCGTCCAAGAGGGCTCCGCCGGGGGTTAGCCGACTCACCACGTGCGACTTGTAGGCGGTGAGTAGCTGACGCAGCAGAGCCGGCAGGTCAGAGAGGCGGCGCCAGTCGCGCAGCGCCGGCACCAACTTCTCCAGATCGGCGGCGTCGCAGCTCGACAGAAACGTGGGGTCGTCGAAAATGAAATCTGCCGACACCGCGGCAAAACGTAGATATGCCAGTAGAACGAACACGGTATGCCCGGCCAGTAATCAGTCTGTTATCAGATTATTGCTATCTAATTAATCAATAACTGGTGTCTGGTTAATGGCGCAAAGTCATTTAGGTACATCAATTCAGAAGTGCAACAAGCTGTATGTGACAGACTGTAAGAACATCCATCCATAACAACTAAATATGTTTAAGGCAGTTAGCTCAAATGAACAATCAATCACGTCACATAGCTAGCGAATGGGCGGGGGGGGGGGGGCTGAAATGATGTGCTAACAAATGCAGGCAATATTATTATACAAAAAGTCACATGACAATCATTTCCTGTACACAGACTATGGAGACCAAAGGCTGTTGATAATGACATATACTAGTTAAGTGCTATTCTGATAAATTAAATAGCCATTTTAAATCAAGATATCCTAACTGATGCAGCCCTACTTCAAAGGCCACTGGTAGGTGACAGCAAGTTAACTCTAATGAAATGCAACGGATGACTCCATTCTCATCCACTGAGAAGTAATAATGGTGCAACAACCCAAAACAACAAGAGGTTAAATTTGATATCCAATGACCCTAACTTTCTCTACACCAACAGATCACTCATGACACAAACACTCAACTGACCTGGGGCCAGCTCCAGGTTGTCTGCACTCAGCAGCAGTCTCAGACCAAAGCTGGCATTGCTGTAGGGAACAGTGATGCTGACACGATCCAGTGTCGTGCAACTTGAATCGCCAGTATCATCTGCACTGCGGCACTCTTCCACGGAGCACTGTGAGCCGAGAAAACCTGGCACAGGGATGGCAGGAATTATCTTATAACATCAAGATAGTTTCAGCAATTTGCGTGAGAGCGTGACTCATGGTAAATATAGAGAACAACATATTGATATGGAATGACTGTGCTTTACATGACAAATATCATGAAAACATGTAAAAAAGAGGCCACTTAAAAACTTTGTGGCGAAAAATCCATGGCAAATATTTCAACTCAGCATCAACTCCACATAAGCCAGAGTTCTGATGATGGTTAAGATTCAATTCAGATCAAAAAAATGCCACGTACCAACTTCATCCAGACATATCTCGCTAAACAGAGACTCTGGCATTATTATTTTTCAATATCTTACTGGAAAGGAAAAAATTATAGGTAGCATTGATTCTAACACATTTCAATAACAATTCCAAAGAACACAGAAACCCAACACAATCATGAACCATTTTTTTATTCCAATCCCACTCCAATCTCCACAAAAAAGTTTCCGCCTTTTTTGTCATTGACGCGTCAGTATTGTATTGCTAAAAAGAGCTATAAACTGAACTTTTATTTCACTTTAAAAGCATTCTGATAATAGCTATGGATAAAAATTCTTACATGATATGATCTATTTTTTCCAATTATTCCTTTGAAATATTTAAATGGCCTGTTTTTTAATGAACATAATATTTTACGTTTCGATGACTTCATTCAAGGTATTCAAAAATGGCGCAGCTGCGACATTAAACAACTAATGACGTGTCTGCTGTGCATCATAAGAGTCATTCTATGGCCTTGCATTCTTCATTAAAAGTTATTGGTGATTTAATCCTTCGTGACTTGTCAGATAATTTGCTTGAATCCTGGCCGTATACTTTAGATGACCCCTTGCTCAGGGTATGTTGAGTTGAATTTGCTTGAGTCGTTGTTGAGATAGATTGAGATTACAGTGTGGCCAAATTGGTTTAGCGTTAGGGGGAGGATGTATAAAAAAGTCGTATGAAGATGTCCCTATTTAAAAAATCGCCTTCAGCCTCATTTTAGGTGCAGTTTTTACAAGTAATGTGGAAAAACTATACTTGACGTCAAGCTCTGGTGGAAAGTAAAAAAAAAACTCCAAATATTGTCATTAAAGATGTAAAAAAACAACATTGCAAGCGCGACAGCACGAGTATGACGGTGCGAATCGTACATTGGAACATTTTTAATCTGTATTCCTACACTAGGTATGCTTTCACAGCAAAAGCGTCGTGATGATGTAATTTTAAAATTTCTGAGGATGTCATTATACTTTTCATTGGGGGTGACTTTCCCCGCAAAATCACCAATTTGGCCGCACTGTGAGATTAGGTTAGGTCCCGACTGGAAAAAATGCCTCCACTACGCTGAAGTTCTCGGCGGAGGTGATGCGCCGAAATTTCGGCGCAATGGTTTATGCGCCAAAATTATTTTACCAAGCCATGCTTCATGCGCCAAAAATTTTCAAGGCTTACTGATGGCTGCAGGCTGTAGCCACGCACTTTTCGTCGAGGGGGGGGGGGGGCTGGCGTGTGTGTGTGGCTGTCTTCCAGTGACTACTGTCTACAGACGGTTGTTGGCACGGTCGACGGGATCGGGCAGACAATAGACATCAGCAGGCCATGCGGGACCGAGCACCAGCGTTCGCTATCACAAAATCTCCTGACTCACAAACTCACTGGCATGTTCCATAACGTAACCTTTATTTTGTTGCCCGTCTCTGATCAGCAGTATGTGCCCAGCCGGTGACTGACGCCTGACGGGGCCTTCAACAGGCGTGGTGCAAGCACGGCCGATGGGATCGGGCAGATACCAGGCCACGCGGGACCGATTGCCAGCGTCCGCTCGCAAACCACACGCCGGAAATACAGGAATCACAACGGTCAATACGCAAACGATAGCATACGTTATCTGAACTAGGGGATCCGACAATCCATAACCTCACTCTCGATCGGTGAACTGTTCCCGCCGTGGGAGAGTCACAATCAGGTTCACTGAACATGACTTAAATACCCTGAGACGAACACGAGACAAGATGAGTGATATTTAAGATGTTTAACTCCCGAAGACATTTAACCCTCGCCGGCCGAGGGGGGTTGGTGCCACCCCCTGACGGGTTTTTCGCGACTGCTCCGGAGCCGTCTGCGATAGAGGGATAGAGAAAACCGTCGATTTACGCCGAAGTACGCCGAAAATACAGGGCCCTCTAAATTGAAATACACGAGTTGAGATTGCTGCTACAGTCAAATAATTGCTTCTTTGTCATTTTCTACTCAGCGCAGTACTCTCTGGACCTGTGTTTATTATCTGTTGATGTTGTTGAAGAGTTAGGGCGCGCAGTGTTTATTATCATCTTGATTCTTGATCTGTTCGACAAGGTGAGCCTGGCTTGGTTATACACCATTTCTACATAGATTTCATCAATTACAGATAACAGTATTACTGGATTGGAAACAGAATTCCGGCGGCTGCAGTAAGAGGCCGAAAACACAGCTGAATATTTTGTGCCCTGACTGTGATATCTTTTCTCACAGTGCCATGTGGTGTGGTTTGTCGTAAGGTGTTTTGGTTCTCTTTTGCTCTGCCATCTTATCTCCAGTGTAAGGATCAACATTTTCTTAGCATTTATTGTCTAATATTTCACTCAATAATTTTATGTTTTAGAGTCCAAGAAAGTCGCTGAACAACTCTGGCAGAAGTTAAGATGGACAACATTGAAGTCAGTGAGGATCCTGTTGGCCAACCTGGACCAGTCAGCAAAACTTGCACCAGGATTGGCCAGGTATGTATGCATTGAGTCAACTGCAGGAAATATTGGGAGGCGAGTGCTGACTGCTGATTGTGCTAGCCTTTACAAAATTCATGACATATTCAATGTTCTTATCATGTCTTTGATTGCTAAGTTCTTGGTCTGTGGTCATTATGAATAGGAATTAGTAAGTTATATAAATGAATTAATGGTAAAGGAACTTGTTGTCATGTTGTTCTGCTTGTCATGCCCTCCATCTTTTTCACAAGATTTTGCCACAGCTGACCTGCTTCAATTTGCAGAGGTACCAGAAGCTGCTGGATGATGTCACACCTCACGTCAAATGGCGCTGGGTGATCGCAATCATTTACAACATCCTCTTCATGGCGCGCATCATCGTCGGTCAGGTACGAATGGTCTGTTTGTCATAGGTGCATGTTGGTGGTGCAGTTATCTGTGCTATGAATGGATGCATCCCCTACCCATCTTGGGTGAATTAATGTGTTAGAATTCAGTAGTTCTCACTTCTCTTAGACTAAAGTAGACATGGGCTGCTGGGGCTGGGCTGGCTGTCAATAGATAGAGCTCGGAATGCGCCTGTTTTTCTTATTTCCTGTCAAGTTTTCTTGACATAGTCTCATCGTCTGTTGACATGTATGACATCTTAGGCAGGTGTGCTGGAGAGTAAGTATGCCTCAAGATAGGTAGGTACAGTAGTGTAGTGAACAAAACGAGTCCCCTACTCCCTATTGAGGCCCCAAATGTCTGGTCCCCTTTTTTGTATATGTCTGGGTGTCTGGGGCGTTTAGTGACACGGGACCGCCGGCCCTCTGGCCGGCTGCCCTTCTGGTCACGTGTCAGCGTCCCGACACCCAACATAAAAATCCATGATTACGGAGCGAGCGAAGCGTGCGTAGTTTTTCGTAGGTTAACGGAAATTTCTGAGTATGAGCGGCCGGCCGGCCGGCCGTGCAGACGCTTTTGTGAGGCTTATATCTCAGCAACCACTGGACCGATTTACATGCGGTAATTTTTGTAGGGTAGCTTAGCTTCATTCCTTCTACCAAGTATTGGACTATACCCAATGCATGTGGGTGACCCCTTAAGCACGTGCCACGTGCAAAACGAAGAGGTTTCAGTTTTGTAACGATTGCAATATCTCGGTAACTACTGGGCCGATTGCGCTGAAAGTTGGCATGTAGGTAGGCACCCACTAGGCAATGCATATCCATGTGCCACAGTTGGGGTGCTGCTGCACGTGCGCACGTGCAGGGGTCGATTCCAGATCTCGAGAACAGCTGAACCGATTGTGGTGAAATTTGGTACATGGTTAGGGACCGGTTAGGACCGGTGTGCCGTGCAAAAATCAGTTGGGACCCATTTTGCACGTGCGCACGTGCAGGGTGCCGCTTCCAGATCTCGAGAACAGCTAGGCCGATTGCGCTGAAATTTGGCACATGGCTAGGGACCGGTTAGTAGGGTGCAGTGCAATTGTTAGTTGGAGGTACCCCTCGCAATTTCGCACGTGCAAGGCCCTCCCTCTCGCTCGCTCCGTTGGTCGCCCCAAAAGGCGTTTTATTTACTGGTTTGGTAAATACATTATCTCACCCCTCCTCTCTCGACTGTGCTGCCAACAACACCTTCGGACCCCGGCTCCGACGAGGGCTGCCGAAGGGGCCGTCCCACCATCCGTACCAGCGGTGGTGAAGATATTTGGCTACAGGTGGGTTCCTTGCTTAAAATTTAGCGTTGGATTTTAGCCGGCTGACATTAAACTTATGCCAGCCAGCGGCTTTTATTTATTTTAGCCGGTATAAACCGGTATACTTTAATTAAAGCGGTTGATGCGGTCGCCAAACTGTCCAATCCCAATAGGCGTTTCGCCGTTTCGACCAGTGAGTTGGTGCGAAGCTGGAGGCCGTGCCGGGGCAGCGTGTGTTTGCTCTGAATATCCGAATTATGAGTGACATCATGAGAGCGAAGGGAGAATGATGCAGCAAGTGTTCCTGGTGATAAGGTATTTGTTTTCGATAAATACTGGCCGATGAGCACATCTCGTACATCTTCCTTAGCACACTACAACAGCGGACTCCATCACTGACTACAGCGGCACCTATCAGCAGGTGCCATGGCCTGGGTACACCGCCACCGTCTGGCTGACCCACCTGGCCGCCTGCCGTCGCTGTCGCTCCGTCTGCACGTCGTGCTATGCTGTTCTTCGCCAATTCGTCTAGCCACTGTCGTCGCCCCCGCCAGCCGCCATCAACATGGCGGAGCATTGAGCAGAATATATTCGCCATCAACGCGTTGTCGACCAACAACGAGGCCTCGAGCACCCTCACTGTTTGTTTCACCAACTTCCGCTATGCTGACGTCTTCTGGTATCCGTGCCAGGGTATATAGAACATCTTCCGTGCTGTGTGGCGGCAGCAAGCGCCTCGTTGACAGTGGCCAAACCGTCGCGGCGATCTACCGGCACTCCGCAGCGGTGTCTGGCGCCTCCGTCGACAATGGCTGAACATCGCGGCGACGATAACGACGACGACTATGATGACGAGAGAACCAAATCTGAGAACAGCAGCAGCGGCGGTGGCGCTAGCGGTCGTGCAGTGTGATCTGTGAATTAATGCAGTTTAGGACCGTGATTGCTGATTGGTCGACTCCTTTTGTCGGCTTGTTGGGGAGGGAAGATATGTGAAGAAAACACTCCCACTCCCGATGGAGGCCCCAAACATCTTCTCCTTTTTAACTGCTTGGGTATCTGGAGGGCATAACGACACGGGAATGGCGTCCCGTCATCCATAAAACCCATGCTTTTGTAAATACCTACATTCTCGCACTTCTCCTCTACCGACTGTGCCGCCATCAACTCATGCGGACCTCGGCTCCGACGAGGGCGGCCAAAATGGCCGTCACACAGTAATACATAATTTCTATGACAGGAAGAGCAGCAGCGCTTATACTGACAAATGTGTCACCGGCTTGTTACAGCCCAATATTTCCTGTTACAGGGGTGGTATGTAGTCACCTATGCCCTGGCGATTTATCATCTAAACCTGCTGCTGGCGTTCCTGTCGCCGAAAATCGACCCGGGACTGGCCATGATGTACGATGACGGTAAGATACTTTTAGATACCTACTTTGGTGATGGCAATAGCAATACTTAGCGTTTTTTAACGTCATTTATTCGGTTGTTGTGACAACTACTGCAGTAGGTACAGTCGCTTGCTTTTATGCTCCCTTATGTAGTGGGTAGATATGTCATGTGCAGTTCGTATGTTCTGTCGACTTGTACCTACATTGTTCGCTTTGTCCACCGCTCTACCAGAGGATGGCCCGGCACTTCCAACGCGGTCTACCGACGAGTTCCGACCGTTCGAGCGGCGACTACCCGAGTTCAAGTTCTGGTACAGCGTTATGAAGGCGACCACCATCGCGTTCTGCTTCACCGCCTTCCAGGTCTTCAACATCCCCGTCTTCTGGCCTATCCTGGTCATGTATTTCATCACGCTCTTCTGTATCACCATGAAGCGGCAAATCAAGGTACGCCCGCTGTTTCTGCATGTTGCGGGATCAATACACCTATGCAGTGAGGACATCGATCCATTGTTATGCTGGGATTTTTAATCTTTTACTTACTTGCAAGTGAGCGAACGTAAATCATATTTCTATTCATCGTCGTGTTAAATGTTTTGTGACACGCGAACTGCACCGTGTACCAGATTTATTCATGTGAAATCGATATGAATCACCCGTCCACCGATGTTGACGCTACGTTTTCTCCGGCAGCACATGTTGCGGTACAACTACCTGCCGTTCTCGTGGGGGAAACCCAAGTACGCAGCGGCGCCCACAACGGACACTATATAACCGCCCGCCGGCGGAATAGAAGCGATGTAACCGCCCGTCACCCGAGCGGGCATGATATAACCGCCGGCCGTCAGAGCGGACACTACTCGGCCGGTGCCGACTCTCACTGCCGAAACGGTACTTGTGACGAGAGCGTGCCATGGCACATACTCTATGTCGCAACACTGCGTGGGCTACATACGCTAAAACTACAGCAATGGTGTGGGTCTGCCGGCTAGACGCTATATGTGCTGGAGTGGCGGCGACTGGACGATGACGATACACGGGACGTGATTCATCCACACGTCAGCCACCCCGGATGACGTGGTATCCTGACGTCAGTGGATCTGACGTGTTGTTACTTCACGTTAGCGATGTGGCGCGCACACATCAGTGACGTGGCATGTGAACGTTAACGATCGACCTCAGTGAAAGACGACTTGTCGAAGGCGAAGCAGCACCTTTGATGTTGCGTATGCGACTCATGAGTCCACTCACGGGTGTTACGGCAGTATTTGTTACTGGAAACTGCGGACAAGGTGTCGCTCAAGTGCCATTGATGGGTCGGGCGTGGTGAAATGAACCACTTATCCACTCAGCACTCGCACTCAGTGATTATGTGACACCCATTTTCTCCATGGGTGACGTGAGGAGGCGTGCCTGTGAGCCTTAATGCACGCCACCGTGGACAGAATGTGATGCGTGGTCACGCGAGCGGCAGGTCTGTGTTCTGGATATGAATGTGGCGTGGTTCCCAAAGCGTCTGTCGACTGTTTCGTGTTTTGTGTCCGTGACCATCCCTCGCGTGCAATACGGACTCGCCGATACAGTCAACTGTCCATGCGTGTATGTGTTTGTTTGCGTATGAGATAAGTATTCCCGCAGGTTATTTTTCTCTGTGATTGATTTTGTTTCGGTAGAATCACTGAAATGGCCTGGTTCAGGTCAATCTGTCAACATTGCTATCGAACCGGAGATCCAGGCATCGTTTCCTGTTTTATCCGCGCATGTGCATTCAGCATTCGGATGGTTAGTGCGCATGTTTATTTTATTCGAGCTGTGGAGTCGGAGCGTGGCACAGTGGTTCGTTTTATGAACACGCACTGACAGTTGTGTACGACATACGCACATGAACACGTTTATTTCATCCAGAGGTCACCTACCAGCCATGCATATCACTATGCAGTATGCACCAATCCACACAGAGCCCTGGAGGCTCGATAGGCGAGGCAATACATGCCGACGAACCTGTTTGACCATCGAGTGTTCTCGTTGCTGGTGGTATGGCGGCGCGATGCCGGTATTCATCAGGCTAGGGGAGTATGGACGAACGAGGGCGCCAAGGATGGATCGATTCATTACCAGAGGTTTGCGCGATACACGCGATGGACAGGCGACAGCGGTCGTTATGTCGGGCAATCTCGAGCTGTCAACGATGGGCTATTACTGACCGCGTCGTAGGCGTGTGATCGTTAATAGCGCTGCAATGGAAGGTGCACTTTGGAATGAAACAACTCAGCTGCATGAACTTATGGCGTTCATAGCGTTACCCAATGTCTTGTTCGTGCTCCCCTGCTCGAGTTTGACGTGTTGTAATTAATTACAGTCGGATAGCGGACACAAACTGAGAAAATGGCGAGGCACATGCAATATATAATGTTGAATTGATTCATATATTTGGCAAACCCTTGTTGCTACATGGCAAACCCGATATACAAAATGCAGATACAAAATATATAAATAATAAGACAAGCTCACAACGACGAGTGAGTGGCTTCAGTTTTCCGAGAAACATAATTTGTTAATCTACGACATGCTTCACTGGGAACGTAACGACGACAAGCAAACAGAAAATTCAGCCCTAAATACATTAAATATTCCTAAGCTCCAACATCTTTGCAAAATCAAACGTAGGGCTCGGCAGATTCGTGCTGGTTTAACATTGGTACAAAATATGCAATGCAACATAGTTGACAACAGAACACCCGAAATGAAAAGCTCGCGTCGTTCACACGTTGGTGAACCCCACCATGAGATGAAGCTCAAAATCATCCTGAGGGTTCTACGCACATGTTCTACGTGAAAATGCTGAGCTGGCGAGCCCTGCCAGCCGGCTGGGCCGCCGGGGACCCAGAGATCTCATGTCTTGAGCCGACTTAGGTTCCAATATAGGACATGGCTGTGCCCCCGGAGTCACCCAGCGCGACGCTGCGCAACAGCATAAAACGAACATCGCGAACCATCGTCAGTGCGGCGACGAGACACTGCAACACACAAGCTACAAACGAGGCACGCTCGATTTACCAGCTCTCGACTCATTGTAACGCACGCTACAGTAATTAGACGTATGAATATCGTCATACGGCAGCACTGGCCGAACCACAAATCAACCCGCACCCCGATATTCAGCCCAGCAAGCACGTATTACATCGATGACAGCCCAAACAACAGCTCTATGGGACATTACACAAAGCATTGCACAATATCCCGCTTCGTGACCACAGCGCCATGATAAAGTTTGTCCGACGCGAAGTCGCAGCAGCCAGCAGAAAATACCTTCTGGATTATCCTCACAGCGGCACTGAAAATCGTTCACGTCTGATTCACTGCTAGGCTCGTTGTTTATCGCTCGCTCGTCGACTGCTCCCCTGAGTGTACCTTTTCCCTATCGAATATCGTCTCGCTCGCATTCGTTTAACTCCCGATGAATCCACAGCCTGTGCCCTCCCCACCCTCTCACTTTCTCCCCTCTCTTTCTCTCTGCCACCGCTCCGAACACGCACCTCACAGAGCTCACCCCTCTCAGTCTCTACAGAGCAGCAACCCTCAGCTGTTGGTCACCGGCAGTACACGACTGACCGAGTCCAGACTCATACACTTGCACGGACAGCCGGTGACCGGACACTCGGCGTACTCCTCGAACCATGCGCCCATGTGGGCGGCGTGCCCGCCGTGCCGGCACGTCTGGCACCAGGTGAACCACGAGTCGAAGTCGGCCGAGCCCTGGCCGGCGGCGCCCCAGCTGGAGGCCGGCGTGCCCAGCTGGATCATACAGAGCGCGCAGCGCGGCAGCGCCTTACGGCAGTGCGGGCAGCACATCGGCTGCGGGCGGAAAGGGACAGGCGAGTGAGCAATGCGTAGAGAAAACGGCTCCAGAACGGAGGGAACAAGAAGGGAACAAGAGAGAACGAAAAACAAGACGTCATCGTGAGCACAAAGCAAACTAAATATTCTTTGTATTGCTTGAACGACAGACAACCCTATCACACGACTGCGAGACGGATCATCAGTTAAAGATTCATTCTTATAAGTAAACCTGGTCACCTGACCTTAGAGAGCGGCCTGCGACCTCCCCTAGAAATATCACCTTGACTGAGTTGGCTCCAGTTCGTGCCATCTGCCGCCTGCGTCGCATATCGTCGATGTACGCAGACACGCTCTTGTTGCAGAAGTTGCACGTTACCACCGACTGCGGCAGATAGAAACACCCGTCATGCACTCGAACTCGAACACCGACGCAGCAAGAAGTTCACTGGCCTTCAGCCATAACTCATATCACCAGTCAGTTACCCAGCCATTCAATAAAGAGCTGCCAATCTCTACCTAGCTACCTAACCGTTCTTCCTGATTCTGGCGCGCTGCCGCCGACCTGACTGTACCTACCTCCACGTCCGTTAGTTGTGATCCTCGTGTTCTATTGACCTCATACGCAATTTTGAGCAAATCGGATTTCGTCGCTCAAGAAGTCACTGACGTCGACGCCGACTTCACGGACATGCTCTTTTCTGGCACTATTAGCCGGTGTACTCGCCTGTTTGGGGTACTGCTGCACGCCGGCGGTCTGACTGAGAACACGGACATCGAACCGCGCCCGCTGGTTCCACAGCCGCCACAGGTCCAATAGCGAGCGGTAGCTGCGGGGAGCAGAAACAAAGAAACAATGAATTATCACCTGACATAGGCAGACAATTAGATACCGAATTCTGGTTCCACAGTCGCCAGAGGTCCAATAGCGAGCGGTAGCTGCGGGGAGCAGAAACAAAGACAAAGAATGACCGCCTGACATACTAACAGCTGAGCAATCAGCAATGCCTCCACAACAACGGTTCCACAAGCCGCCACAGGCCCTACAGCGACCGGTAGCTGAGGGATCAGACATACACAAATGATGGCCAGCCGACTCACATAGCAGCGGTGCAGATTAAGGAGGGACAATCAGGCACATACGAGTGGAGCATTGGATGTAGGCGCAGTCGAGGCTTCTATGGCCGAGCTCACTGTCTATGAGCGAAACAACAGGTAGGGTGTTTCGCCCGCCCCGAATGTAAGGAAAACCTGACCAACCACCTCGGTCACTAAGTTGTCACAATCTGCCACAGGCGATGGTGGTATAGTGGTGAGCATAGCTGCCTTCCAAGCAGTTGACCCGAGTTCGATTCCCGGCCATCGCACTTCTTTGACCCCATGAGAATCAACTGCGGCATTTTATCGCTTGCCTTCCTTTGCGTTTGTCAGTCCCGCAGTTCGTGAGCACAGGTTAGGCTGCACCAAAGCACAATGCTGGCACCAGGCTATGGCCATAACACACATCATAAACACGATGCAACTTGACCATCTGTGATGCTCCTAGGTTCTGTGAAACCACTACTCGAGGTGGAAGGATGTCTCCATGACGAGGTACCCAAGTGGCTTTCGACTCGGAAGTTGGAACAGGTCACTTCATATTATTAGCTCAACATAATGGGTAAGCTGTTTTGCTCGAGAAAAATAAACGCCTCAGGCGCCCGGCCGATGTGGGGACGTTAGCCTTTACACAATGGGCGAGGTGTATGTAAGGGGGTACCTGGACCTGAGGACCTGGGGCAGCCAGATTTTGGCCAGCCTCACCTGTCGATCCAGACGCTGACGCGCCTCTCGGCCGCCTGGCCGGCGTACGAGGCGATCAGCGCCGCCGTCTGGACGTCACCGCTGACGTTGATGTAGTTCTGCAGCAGCTCCAGACCCTCGTCAGCCACGCCTGGTGGTGACACACAGCGGGTGAGGCAGGTCTGGTGAGCTTTAAATAGGGAAAGCATTTGTATTTTATAATTATGCCCAAGCCCGGAAATCAACAATCTAAGAAAAGCAGGCGATGCCTGGAGGCCCATTCCACCACGTGCTAGCAGCAAAATCTCTTCAGGTCGCTCTGCCGTCCAAAGCCAAAACACCGTATCCCAGGTTTTTCAAATTTTACAGGAGAACGATTTTAAGCTTTCTTACTTTGAGGTGTGATTTCTATGTGAAGGAATCAACATTCCATGATAGGAAAAATACCATTAGAATTGTCTGATCTTGCGGAATTGATACATATATTCAAATTTCATAATAATCATTATCATTTTACTTAGCATTCGATATGGTGTTTTGGCTTGGTTTGTATGTAAGTTTTGTGTCTTTTCGCGAAGCAAAAACACCGTATCGCGTTTTATGCCCCAATGCGGCGTTTTGGCTTGGATGACCTCCAAGTTACGGTAAAGTTGAAGCATACAATTTACATGATGGAATGATCCATCGACAATTGCCAGCATTCGGAATCATCGATGCTGCATCATGTGTAGGAAATAGACGGGTCTATATGGAGTTCGCGACAAAATTCACGAATAATTAGGGGAATGTTTTACGGTCTAAGGCATTTCAGCAATACCTGCCAGACTGTCGCGTGGGCGAAGTGGCTCAGATCGAGGCTGCTTTGAATGCAGCAAACAGGCGGTCCACCTCACTTCAGGCAAGGAAGCCAGTGGCGAATATCGAGGAGAGGCCGATCGTGAGTAGGTTGACGACGGGGTGACGGCGACGGTGTCAGTATGATGAAAGAGGTGATGATACATAAGATTAGGTCTGGCCATGCTCCTCCGTCCCTGGGTTACGGGTCTTACTCTTCAACTGAACAGTGTGGCAATGCCTGAGAACACCCGCAGCGCCCGAAAGGACTGTTATGTGGTGTCCGTTTGCATCGTCTGGGACGAAGGGTGTAGCCGGACGTGGAACGGGTGGAGGTATCTGGACGTGGCTGAATCACTTTTTTGCTTAAAACTTGGGACTTTCACACAGTCTACAAAGGGGAGAGCAGAATGTGTTTGATATCGGAGAGTCGGAGACTGAAGGCAGCGGCCGAGGGGGGCGAACGTTTGATGCGCCTACATCGGGCTTTTCTACAAATTTGCTACAATAAGAAGACGGTGCTAAAAATAGTTAAATGAAGCAACGGAGGTTTTGCCATCTTCTAGTTATAGGAAAGTCTGAGTTCCAGGCATATTCAAGCGTTCACCGGCCGCCTTCATAGGCTCCGAAACCAAATGATTTCAGTTTTGGGTATGGCTACGACATCGGCGTTCATGCCGGTGTTTTCATGTTAGATCGACTTTAGCGTCAGTCTGGATTGTGAAGTGGTTCGATTGCACACTGAACAGCATTCATCAGCGTCCACTTTTGGACTGTGTGAAAGACCCAAGTTGCAAGCAAAAAGTAAATACCAGCTGTTAAACGCCCGGCTACATCTTCCAGATGATGCAAATGGACACCACATAACAGTCCTTTCGGGCGCTGCGGGTGTTCTCAGGCATTGCCACACTGTTCAGTTGAAGAGTAAGACCCGTAACCCAGGGACGGAGGAGCATGGCCAGACCTAATCTTATGTATCATCACCTCTTTCATCATACTGACACCGTCGCCGTCACCCCGTCGTCAACCTACTCACGATCGGCCTCTCCTCGATATTCGCCACTGGCTTCCTTGCCTGAAGTGAGGTGGACCGCCTGTTTGCTGCATTCAAAGCAGCCTCGATCTGAGCCACTTCGCCCACGCGACAGTCTGGCAGGTATTGCTCTAACGGCTTACATCTTTAAATATTATTCCTCTAAAAATTGTGTCGTTATTATAATCGCCGTCAATTTTGTCATGAACTCCATATTGGATAGCTTATTTCCTAAACACGTTGAATCATTTGTGTCATAAGAGCGCATCTCAAGGTGATCGAGAGTTACAGACATCAACCGATGCCAAAATACCGCATATCAGTCAATACGGTGTTTTTGTCACTGGTTTTGTCGGAAACCTCGTCCGAACTCAAAGCCAGAAGACCGCATCGCACGTGAAACGGTGGCATGAGAGTGGCATAGGTTCAGCGTCCGCCAAGGCCAAAAGACCACATCGCTGTGATACGGTGTTTTGGCATGAGTTGACGACTTGAAACAACTGGTTAATTTCACAATCACACTCATTACGGCATTTTGTTGGCACCAAGTAGCTAAAACATGGTTTATCCACAAAAGCCATAATACCTTATCGGATATAATAAAAAATATAATTTTGATACAAAACTATAAATGGTACAGCTAAACGCAGCGTCAAAAATGGATTGTCCTGGTATCAAAAACCATATTTCGGAAAAAATGGCCCATACGGTGTTTTGGCTTAATTGGACGGCAGCGCTCATGATCTCCGAAATGTGCCTAATTTGTGTTCATAAAACCCGTGCCATAAAAAGTAAAATAATTCAGAATAGGCTTTGCCAACCTCATCTCTGCTTTCACCCAGTGCTACTGAATATGAGTGTTCGTGATCAGACTACTGGGCTATCTCCAACTAGCCTGTCTAGACTAGCGCCTTCTCGCTATACGCTCACATCCCGAAACCACCGTTCGGCGCCACCAACATACCGGTGAGCAGGATGGCCTGTAGGTTGGCCTCGTTTTTCAGCGTCTGTGTGATGTGGTTCAGGCAGCTGTGCAGCTTGTCATCGGGCAGAAAACGGCAGGCGAACGCCACACGGTCGTGGACGGTTATATCGTACTCCTTCTGTGGACGGAAGGCAGAGGCGGGAGTGAGAAACCGAGAGGGGCGCTGGGAGGCTGCGGCGGAGGGGTGGGAGAAACGTTAATGTCAAGAAGTGAATAAAAATACAGACCGACCCTGGGCGCGTAGCGCAGCGGATAAGCTGTAATTCGATATCTGTTGATATGATAAGCTGACTAGTTGATTCAAACAAATTCAAATTGTGTTTAAAGCAAACGCATCCACAATCTTACTCCAAAACACCGGCCGAAGACCATCTGATATGAGTAAACTGCAAACCAAATTCAGATCCCCCCTTCCCCAGCTGAGCCCCTCCGCCGTCCACTGACCAGCACGCCATCGTAGTCGTCTGCCTCGGCGGTCAGGAAGGAGAAGATGGCCCGGATGTACGGATCGGTGAGCGATGGCCGCAGCTCGGCGCTGATCTCGTGCCACAGCGCCTTCTTCTCGTTGGTGAAACCCGACAGGGCCATGGCTACCACCTGCAGACGGATTGGAGAAAGTTAATTGAGGGAACGAGATAGGTACGCTGCGTATTCTATGGGCAAATGATGTAATGTTTGGAGGTCTGCAATTTTATACACAGAACACCTGTGTCACCTTGTATGCTTGCTTTTCCTGTTTTAATTTTGCGATCACCAACGAGTTTGCAGCTAATGCCAGTCGACGTCAGATGCCGGTCAAATTACACCTCAAAATAAATTATAAACGTTACTTCAACCCTACCGCATTTCGCAACATCACCACATTCCCCTCTGCGCAAAGTGATGCAAATGGGGTTCACGAGTGGCCATAAATACCAAAAAGTCAAGTTTACCAAACCGAGTAAATCGCGATATGGCTAACCAAAGAAATGTTTGGTGCATCTGAAATCACATAGCTTTCATGTTTTTGTCAAAACCGGCCTCGTATATGATTGTCAGAAGTCGTGACATTTTCTATGTCGTAAAATGACTATCAGATACTTGCAAGTTCGAACGCCGCTAGCGTGCGTTCATTTTATACAAACTACAAACATTATACATGGCAATGATCCCTAAACCCTGTTGCTTCTCATGCTGGGTCACAAAAAGCTGTATCTCTTTTGGTCTGGCGGTGATTTAATCATCTGTCATCATGTTGCATTAACAATTTTTTAGTGAAAAATATTTGCTTTCGTTTCACCTACAGCAGCTAACACAGTGTGTGCCCGTTAGTACACCATACCATAGCATTCCCTAATCATTTCTGATCCACACCGTGAAAGAATTAAGGCGCTAGCACAGGGCAGACCGGCGCTATTGAAGTTTTTGTCCGGCGCGGTCGGGTGCCGCGGTCGGGGCGGATTGCTTTCACCGCGGATTGCAATTTCGACAGACGTTTGACTTTGACCTACTATAAGTAGGTCAAATATTGACCTTAAGTCAAAAGTAATATGCTCACTCGCGAGATCTTGTCAAGGGCAATCCGTTGGTTTTTGTTGCGAGGCGCTAGGACACTTCGTTTTGGAACAGGAGAGGGATGCACCGGCGAACCCCCGCTGTGGCCGCCCGCCCACCATGGCACCCGACCGCAACGGACGAAAACTTTAGTAGCGCCGGTTAGCCCTGTGCTAGCGCCTTAATTCTTTCACAGTGCGGCTCAGAAATGATTAGGGAGTGCTATGGTATGGTGCACTAAAGGGCACACACTGTGCAAACTGCTGTAGGTGAAACGAAAGCAAATATTTTTAAGTAAAAAACTGCGATTGCAACATGATGACAAATAGTTAGGTCAACGCCAAACCAAAAACGATACGGCTTTTTGTGACCCTGCATATTTAGAAGCAGCAGACTTTGGGGATCATTGCCATGTATGATTTTTGTCATTTGTACGAAATGAACGCACGCTAGCGGCCTTTGAACTTGCGAGTATCTGACAGTCATTTTACGACATAGAAAATGTCACGACTTCTGACAATCATACACGAGGCCGGTTTTGACAAAAATATGAAAATTATATTTTTCAGACACCCCAAACATTTGCCTGACTGGCCATATTACGATTTATTCGATTAGGTGAACTTGAAATTTGGGCCTTTTCGGTATTTATGGCCACTCGTGGACCCCATTTGCATCACTGTGCTGCGCCACCTTACCTTGAGCTGCGGGTCCTGGGACCTCCTCAGGATCTGGATGGCTCTCCGCAGTGTGAGCTGAAACACGGCCACGGCGGCTGCGCGCGCGTGGTTACCCTCCTTCTCGAGCGCGTCCAGCAGGGTGTTCTGGGCGAGCTCGTCGGTGGCCCAGCCGCACAGCTGCAGCGCCCGGTCTCGGCTCGCACTGCGGAACACCTTGCACTTGGCCACGCGCTCCACTCCGATCCAGCTGCGCAGTTCGATGGTGGATTTGACCGGCGTGCTGCCGTCACCGGCTAGTACAGACCTGCCGTGGAGGGACGGGGAAGGGTGCGGGGGTACTGAGTAAGGGGCAGAGGGGTACAGCCAGTGACAGGTCAGGGTTAGACTGCACGGTCACAACTCACTCGTGTCAATGTGCCGTCAGCCTCATGTGGTGAATGTAGTTATAATTGTGCCCCTCCATCAGCGTGGGAAATCAACGCACACAATTAACGATGCTCATAACCTGCTCATCATGTACCGCAACAATCTCCTCGATGAGATAGTTCACACACGAGCAAAATTCGCCCAATCATAGCCGTAGCTGATAGCATATCGAACTGTCATCTAAGCCATCCCCTACTACTCTAGCCCACCACTAATCCCTCGATCCCCGCGCCAGTGATCGCTCTTCCTGATTGGTCTCCCACCTGACGCCCTGGAACGCGCCGGCGCCGGCGGCTGCGCTGCCCTCCTCCGCCGCCCGGGCCTGCAGCTGCTGACTGTACGCCATCCACAGCCACACGTTCTTGAGCCGGTCGTCTCCAGCCAGCGCGGCGTTATCGCTCAGCCGGTCCGTCACTCCGTAACTGAACGGAATGGAAAAGATGATAGACGTCAAATGACAATATATCGGCGCCATAACTGAGGCTGCCTAATTAGAATGACGGATCTGACAAATTTTGGGAAAGGTAACACTTGTTTTCACTAGGATTTCTTACCATAAGCCTGAATGGCAGTTCAGAAATGCAGGCATAACAGTGATGTGTAAAAACCCCTTAATAAGCGCAAATGAAACTAGCCTATTTCAAGCATCTCAGTTCACAATCTTCGAAACCAGTTGCTGCTGCTCTAAAGTTTAGTGCGTTCAACTCAATCAAAATGATCAGTATTTTGAGAGCCCAAACACATCCGACCCCAGTGTGGTTCCCGCACACTCACCCTTTGAGGGCTCGGTCGCGCATCACCACCGAGATGTCCTCGAGCTGATCATAAGTGTCACTCTCGTCACTGACCAGGTTCAGCCTCCGGCCTCCGTTCGACCAGATGAACGAAAATCCCGGCGACCAGTTCATCGTAATCCGTTCGAATATTGTGAAGTCGCTCAGTTTACCTGCGGGAGGTAAATAGAGTGAAGCTTACTAAAGGAAAGAAGAGTAGTATGAAAACAAACATGAGTTTTCGGAAATACTACATACTATGATAAGACATTATTATTTCATATTTATTATACATATTCATTATTATCTCCTGATCATTAGACAGTCAAGACTGATGAACTATCATAATATGCTGAGCAGAGCAGACCTAGCCCTCCCCAGTCCCTCCCCGCCGTCTCACCGGACGCCGACGAGACGACGATGCGGTTCTCGTCGGTCGGGTGCCACGAGAGGTCGGCCAGCGGGCCGATGCCGCCGCACCCCTCCACGTAGCGCTCAGCCACCGTCGGCTCGATCTCGTCGTTATTGACGCAGTAGTGGTTGATGTCGTGCAGCTTCAGCAGGCCAGAGTCCTTCCCCAGAGAGGACAGAAGGTCTTGGCTGGAGGTAGGAGGGAAGAGCACGGGTGAGAGTTAGCATATTGGACGATAGGACAATCAGAACACGCATAGAACACGTACACTAAAGCACATGACATCATTAAATATAACTTCTCGTTGATAGACAACAGCTTCTGCGCAAGAGAAACAACTATGTAAGCCTTGCACTGCGGTTTCACATACGAATTGCCCCAATCCGTGGCTCGATTCCACATACCTACACTGCAAAAAGTCTACACAACCTTTATCACACCTAGCATGAGCAGCTGAGCTGCTTTAGAACCAACTGAACCACCTGTACCTTGCAGCACAACCCACAGTCCTCCGTCCCCGGCTTCACTTACCGTGTGGGTGACCATCCTATGCCGAAGATGGCCTTAGTACGGGCGTCTGTGAGGGTAATCACCGGCTTCTCGAAGTTCCGACGGTCCCAGATGGCCACTTGGTTCTCAGCGAATGTTGCCAGCCTGCCAAGTGCCAGTACGGGTCAGGTCACGTCAGGTCAGGTCAGATCGAGAAGTTAATACAGCTATATCCGATTGGACTTACTGGAAACCCATACGTGATCAAACACTATTGAAGGTGTCTAAAAACATCGAAATCAACGAGTAGTTTTAAAAAGTCATATGCTTACATGGTGACTGTGCCATTCAAGTAAAAATTTTACAGTTCCAAGAATATATAAATATCCAAGAGAAGTTGAGACCATATAAGCAGACGGTTACAAATAGTGCGCTGCGCCAAACTGGCCGTGTTTCTTACCTGTCATCCAGATAGGGGTCGACACACAGGCCGTACACCAGTCGGGTGGCAGCACTCATCTGCGGTTTCACCGGATCTGGCAGCACAGAAGGCGTCAGTCACACACGGGTAGTCATGGCAACGGCAGCAGGCGAGAGTGAGCAAAGACTCATCACAGTCAAATAAGGCATGATATAGAATGAGGCGAAACGAAATAAGGGAAGTAAAAACTATCACATGATTCTCAATTCATCGGCTTTGTCCATGAGCTTTTACATAAGTCGTTAGAGCCGCTTATAAACTATATTTGCAAAGCATTTTTTTCGGGATGAATAAGTTCGAACGAATGTAAGTCATTAGTGAAGCAGAGACAAAACAGAGCAAACAACACAAAACGCACATCGCTGCACGAGAGGTACAACTAAAAGCGCCATCTCGGATACCTGCAAAATCTGAACTCCGAGCGAAGCATGAACTCAGCCAGATTATTTCAACTAGCATTAGTAATAGGGCCCCCAAATATGACATAAGCGATGCCTGCCAATACAATGAAATGAAGTCGCTAGGTCGATAAAATAAATAAACAAACTCGATAATCCCTAAGAATCCCGTTAACATCTGTAAAATGTAGGAAAATTATTTAGAGTCAACGTAAAATCCATTACGATTCTCAAGTCATACAACTTGTGCGTGAAGTCCCCTAGCATGCCAATAAACTTCTCAACAAAACCACGGAGGGATGCGTTGCTGGTGGTGGTGACATTTCTCACAGTGAAGGCAGGTGGCGGCATTGACACCACACGCGGCAACTGAGCTACCCTGGCGGACAGGCCGACTCTACAGGCCGGCCAAGCAGCTACACTCACAGCCAGCGGCACAAATACAGGCCGCCGCCAGTCAGCTGCAGGCCGCTACGGAACTCGCTGGCACGCGTGAAGCGGACGACGGGCTACAACTGAGCACCTACAGAGGCCGCCGCGGAACACAGCTCAACACGCCGCGGGTCGGGCTGGAAGCAGCAAACTAGCGGGCCGTCGAAGGGGAAGCCGGCGGCGACGGCGGCACATGCTGAACAAACGGACAAAGGGGGAGGCGGGCCGGGTGGCTGCGCAGGGTAGGCGGGGAGCGAGGCGCTCTCACTTACACCTGGCCAAGCCGGTCCGGTCGGTGGCTGAGGTGGCGAGAGAGAGCGTTAGTCAGCGTCACTCACACACACTTCACACGCCATGCAGGTGAACCACGCCGCTGGCTGACGGTTCACACACTCCCGCACACAGACAGGGTACATGTAAACGCGGGGGGGGGGGGCACAGTGGGAGCGGGCCGACACGCCGACAGTTTGAGCTCCCCATTCCACGAGCTTTGTAAGTTGAGCACCATCACCACAATTATGGGAAGACAGTTAAAAACGATGTTTGATAGAATGCTTGAACGACAGATGGGCAGGATGTAACACGCATAATTAATTAGAAACCACCTCCATTTGACCTCCACTCAAGCCATGGAGTTATGAAATACCGCGAATCCAAAACACCTCTCTCACACGGGGACCGAAAACCACCACACAGAACAAAAACTAACTACGACCGCACCGGACGACACAAGACTGCAAACACATCTTGAACAAATCAAGAACAATAATGGCAAAACCATAAGGAATTAAATCGTAGTTAGAACCAGGCATTCGACAGTATTTCGTATCACACCACGTCAAATCAGGAAAAGACCTGACGTCAGGACGTGTGACGTACCTCTGACGCGCAGGTCGAACACCTTCAGTGTGCGGTTGTTCATGCCTGCCACCAGCACCTTGGGCTGCTTGAACCAGGCCAGGGACGAAGTCGACTCAGAGTTTCCGATCTCCAGGTAGGGCTTGGCCGGCTCCATACCCAGCCGAGATGACGACAGCTGCCGCAACATAGGGTCGTGACAAGAATTGTGAACAGCTGATGGAGATGAATGTTCTTAAATTTGGCTTGTACTGAAGCACATTTGCCTACGAAAACAAATTATTTGTTCCTAAACCATATTCAAATTCGAAGCTGAAAGAATCCGACGCCTGCGGCATTCTAAACACGCTTCATTATACGGCAATAATGGTACCTCAAACTCCGTCTACATATTCGTGATACCCTCGACTCTGCCCCCACGAGTGACGCTCCCAGCCCCCAGTCCGTGACCCGAGTGTCACCGCACCTGGCCCGGAGCGCCGGTGGCGTCCCACACGAAGATGGAGCTGTCGTTTCTGTGCTTGTCCAGCCCGACGGCCAGCAGGTTGGAGCCATTGCGTTCCCAGGCCACTGCGTTACACTGACGCTCGTGTTTCGGAACTGGCGAGACCGAGAGATACGGATTCGTAAGAGCTTGATGTGGTAGCAATGATGACAAAGGTGAAAACTGAAAGCATCAAAATAGGAAAAGTCGGCCTAGCCGAGTTTGCACAAAATTTAACAGAAACTGCTGCGCTATTGCACCTTCTGAACACGCTGCTTAGGCACAAAATGAGTAAAACGTGTGTTGACTACGATAGTCTGATCACCACACCTACCAAAGTTGTTGAGCACATTCAGGTCCATGTAGTTTTGGCTGATGGCGGCGAGCGAGACGGCCCCGCTCGTGAGGCCGACGGCGAGCAGCATTGGCGAGCTGGAGTACGGACAGGTGGCCAGACAGCGGATGTACTTGAGCTCGCTGTATGTGGCCACCAGCTCCACCTTCCGACAGCAGTGCGAGCCTGATGTGGATGGGGGGGGGGGGGAGGAAGGTGAGATAGACAGATGAAGCTGTGACTCTTGGAGAGTTAGATTCCAATGTTAGATGGGAGAACAAGCATAATAGTGTACGGTTCTCACATTCAAGTATAATAATGGATAATGTACGACAAATAGAAGTCTGAGAAAAGATAAAAAACGAGATGATAAGTGAAACTTCAAATCCAAATCTTTCATGTAACTTTGTTCATGCTTTTTTGAAATCAAGTGCATGGTTTGCATTCCAAAATTACGAACGAAGCCTTAAATTCAATGACAAAACGTACATGCTTGCAGCGCACACTGTGCCTAGCTCATAATATCACAACACATCACCCACCATCTGCGACAGGATGACTTTTGTCCGCGTCAACTCTGTGTAAGGAGATCTCATTTCCCCACGAGAGGAACATGTCCTCCTTGTGTGGAATCCATTGGACCCTCATTGTTAGACTTAGGAGACAGAACTGGATTGCAATTGGAGTTCAGAGACAGAAGTAAGCGAATTAGTAAAACAAGCTTGAGACCAGACGCAAATGGTTGACCTTAGAGCTTCATTACCACCTGAAAATAGACACAGGTAGGTTACAATTTGATATACCTTCTTAGGATAGCATGTTGTAGTGCTTTAGTATTCCGTAGGCTCATTATGGTTTTTGTTTTTGGGATCACATTGGTATATGTATAAATAATTTTTCCAAGTTTAAAAATCAAGCGTCAGCATCGTAACAATCGTTAGAGTGGCCGCATTGCCCGACTCTCCTCTACATGAAAAGAGCTCCGTCTTGTATTTCTTTGATTGCAAAATCTGGTCCAGGTCGCACGCTTCGTCCTCTACCTGTATGCCTGTCTCCGCCAACGTTACAGGCCATGCACATTGGGCAGGTCCCTCCGGCATGCCGATCGGTCTTCCCAAGCCCTGTGAAACCCCACTGAAAGACAGTTCCAAATGCCAGTCTGAGTCGCCTCACTGGCCGGGTACGGCCCACTCCAGAGTCCAGACACAAGTTCCATGGTTAGGGGCCCGAAGATCAACCAGCCCAGTCCGCACCTTAGTTCCAACCAAGATTCTTAAAGATACATATTCTGATTCTTACAGACACAGATACAGATTCTTACAGGTTCCAACCGTCCAAGGGCTGTCACAAATGTCAACCTAAGCGGCTTGTTGGCACCAGGTGGCCTCGGGATGAACATCACGTACTCTTCATCGACTCTGGTTTATGATTTGAATGTAGTTTTACTGTGAAGTCCAGACTAAAAAACATCCATACACTTCGCCGGATGCCTGCGAGACCATCTTGCGCCGAAATTAGGCGCAAGCGATTTTGCGCTGATATTTCTGCATGATCTGTGCCGAAAATTGGGTGCCTATTTGTGCCAAAATTAAGCCACTTTTACGTAACATGTGCACATTCTCCGATCACGGCTATATCAACCAGACAGAGCGTTCCGGGGCCTTGGACGCCCTCCCATGTTTGAGCGTCCGGAATAAGTGAAACCCAATACCTCAATACGCTTAGCACACTCATTATCAACGCCGTGCCGTGAAACAAGGCCGGAGCCGGAAGTTCCGGAGCCACAAAAATCGACGGAGCGGCGTATTTGAGGCTGGCGGGAGCCAGCGACGGCCGGGCAGCGGAGCAGCACGTGCTCCGGCACATCAGCCTCTTCTCGACACATGGCGCAGAGCGCCGCATGGCACCGCTTGTCTGGGCACTGCTGGCACGCCGCGTAGTGGAGACAGCCGATTCGGTATATGTACTGGAGCGAGCGGTCCCAGTGGCCCGCCCTCATCTGGTGCACCGAAACGGCGTCCTCTCGCTCCTCTCCGGGGATAGGGAGCAGCGGCGTGCTCCCGAGGACTGGCTTGAACAGTGACACAGACCAATTGTCGCGCCATTGATGCGAGGACGCACAATGAACCACCCTGGTCAGCGAACGGGCGTTTGAGGGTAGGGTGGCCGCTTGTTTCGCCAGGTCGTCCACGCTCCCATCCTCCTATATATCGCAGTGGGCAGGAACCCACTGCAGTATTACTTAACAACGCTCGGCGATGTTCAACAAGGTCTTCTATACCTATTACCTATCTCCACGCCGAGGGTTCAGGCCTCACCTGGACGGCCGCTCCTCCGCTGAGAAGACTCAGGCCTCAGGGCAGCTTGCCAGTTCGAGCAACGACAACCGGGGCGGGGATGTCTCATCCCGACACCTCTCCAGAGCCGCCTGCACGGCGAATCTGCTGCTATGTAGATTGACCAGCATACCGACTAAATCAGTGACCGTCTTTCACCAAACAATTTGGCGGCCACCTTGCCCTGCGCCTGAAAATTCAGGCGTTGCCATTCGCTGAATTTGGAGTATGCAATGTTACGCCGGACGTCTGCTGAAATTTTCAACAAAATCCTGCCACTACGCTGGCCAGCTTCAGCATAACATGTATTTTTCCAGTCTAGAGTGAAGCAAGCTTAGGTTAGGTCTCGTTTTGTGCCAAAATTCCTAAAATCGTCCATTTGAGCCAAAATTTATTTGTATATCTGTGCACCAAAAGTTTGGCAAAGTTTGAGCACACTGGACTCTATTCTGTGCCGAAATTGCGGTGCAATATCGAGCAGTTCAAATCACGATTGGATGCCCACTGGGCAAACATCAGGTACATGGTACCAGAGGAGCTAGAAAAGTCCAAAAGGTCACGAGCTCGATGAGAACGGTTCCCTACAGGCCAAGTGGCCTCTAAATTCCGATCAAATTAAGGTGAGGTAAGGTAAGGTACGTACTAGGTAGGCAATCCCCCCGTTACGCCATTGACAGTAACATGAATTTTCCAGTCTGGATTGTTGTTTGATACTGATACTGCAAACATGGAGGATCTTGATGCATTTTTATTTGTTACGGAGCGAGCGAAGCGAGCGGAGTCTTACGTAGAATAACAGAAATTTCTGAGTATGAGCGGCCGGCAGGCCGTCCGGCCGTGGTCACGATTTTGCGACGCTTATATCTCAGCAACCACTTGACCGATTTGCATGCTGCAATTTTTATAGGGTAGCTTAATTCCTTCTACCAAGTATTCTGTATTGGACTATTCCTGATGCATGTGGATGTGGGTGACCCCTTATGCACGTGCCACGTGCAAAACGAAGAGGTGTCAGTTTTGTAGTAGTTGCAATATCTCGTTAACTACTTGGCCGATTACGCTGAAAGTTGGCATGTAGGTAGGCACCCACTAGGCAATGCATATCCATGTGCTAGAGTTGGGGTGCTGCTGCACGTGCGCACATGCAGGGGTCGTTTCCAGATCTGGAGAACGGCTGGACCGATGGCGCTCAAATTTGGTACACGGTTTGGGACCAGTCAGTAGGGTGCCGTACACAAGTCAATTGGGACCCATTCTGCACGTGCGCACGTGCAGGGTGCCGCTTCCAGATCTCGAGAACGGCTGCGCCGATTGTGCTCAAATTTGGCGCATCGCTAGAGACCGGTTAGTAGAGTGCCGTGGACAACTCAGTTGGAGGTACTCCCTCGCAATTTCGCACGTGCAAGGCTCACCCCCTCGCTCGCTCCGTTAGTCGCCCCAAAAGGCGTTATACCTACTGGTTGGATAATGGCGGTCGGAGGGGCTGATGAAACCGATAATTTGAGAGCTCTTCAACAAAGTTTAGTGCAAGTAGATATCAGTAACATTTTTACACCTACCCGGTTTTCAAGGTAATTTAAAAAAAATATTCAAAGGGCTATAGCTAAACCTATGCTCGGCTTAAATATTGTAACATGAGGCTTTAAGCGGAACCTACGCATAACGTGTTGGCAAAATCGCAATGTTCTTTATGCCGATCAGAGAATACGTCCCAAAAGTGAAACGCCAATTGCCTAGCAACAAGCCTACAAATTTAAGTGATTTTTTGTATTATTTATCGTATAAATATAGCTTTCATCGTTAAAATGAAAATTTAAAGCAATTTCTATGTCAAATTCGAAATTCAATCAACAAATATGTTGGAAATCAAAGCAAATATCTTGATAAAAACAAGTTGCCTGGCAACGTCTACTACTTTTTCGCAATCGCTGAACAGATATTTGTCGACGCTACACCTTTTCTGTCACTAATTTTTGGTGTTTTATGAAAAGTTGAAATTTTTAATTCTTTTGACGTCCTAATTTTAAAGAAACTTTTCTCACCTAAAAATGATATCAAAATTATATATTAAATTGTTATCTTTATTTCTGGCAAGTGCAAAAATTTAAAATGCTTTGTTGCCTCGTTGGTATTAAAAAGCACAATATTTACTTTTACAGACGTCATTTGTGAAATCATTTTTTTACATGGCGACTTCTTTGTTGATCACTTGCAAAAAGACGTCCCTGGCTCAGTCAGTTTTCGTGTGTTGTTTTTCGTGCGTGGGTGGGTTGGATGGGTTTACAGCTTGCGGCGTAGTTTCGATTTATTATGGGATTTAAATGAGCCTCCTAGTTAAAGGCATGTAATTTTATGATTGTGATAACTGTTTTGGATCAAAATATGCTAGCTCGCTCCATTTGAACGCTTAGGCAGTAGGCTGCCAAGCGCCAACTCACATTGGTGTCGCTCCCCAATAAAATATCTGAATACTGAATAGTGGGTAGGTGTCAGGTGATAATTTGTTTTTTTTTTCTGTGTCCTAATTATCTGCAGGCTTATTGATATGCCTCGGATCTGAATGCCATCCTACTGCACTGCTGCAGAGTGCAGAATGCCACAGCAAGGGGTCGATCACCAGGCAGTGCTTGAGTTAATGCCGAGCCCCCTGCAGATTGTGAGTGGAATCTGAAAACTGCCTGGGGCAATGTGATCAACGCTTTTGAAATTATCACGTGACAATTGACCTGTTAGAGGCATATTGAAAGGGAGAGGACTTCTCAGTAATCATGTGGCTAATATGCCTTCGGTGCCCTGTTTTCAGATCAAGATTCCACCAGAATCAGATTGTGTGGCATGGCATCACTTCTACCAGGCATGCCTCCACATTACTCATTAGGAAGGCAGGCATTTATCAGCACAGCTGGCTGGCTGACTGCCATGGGCCCTGCAGCTAGTAGTAGTGGCAAATAGGTAGAAGATGTGCAAAATGTGTGATGCCTGGTGGCTGGTGCACCCAAATGCATAGATATCATATTTTAAGCATCATATCCATGATTTAGCAGTGTTATCTCCTCTCTCATTTTGATTTGGAAAAGCTTGAGCATGATGGCATTTTATATTTTAGTCCAATTCCAGTCTCCTTGTTCTCTGTCTGTTATCAAACTTTTTAGCATTAGTGCCATAGATAAGCATATGCATGTGCTTACATGGTGAAAGTGTTTAAACTTGGTATAAAGGAACTTCAACTTTTGGTACAAATTATGCTAAAATTCTTGCTTAAAATGGCTTACACCAAAGTTTGGTGCATAAGTGTCCCTGACTCCCTGAGGTGTTTGGCATGGTGAATGGATTTTTTTGCCATTGTGGACTCTGGCTACCATTATTTTGATCTTGGATTTAAGTCTAACAAGTTGAACCAACCACTAGAAAAGTACCCACCCACGAGCTGAATCGAAAGCTGTGAAATTATAAGAAAGGCAAACTTAAACTTTCACACTGATTTTAATATTTACCTGGCCTCTGATCATTTTTAATTCATTTCAGATTAGTAATCTAGCTGGAGATCATTTGTGTGAAGATCACCAATCAACAGTCAGCTCAAGGTAGGCTGGATATGCTCCTAATAGTTCTTTTTTAAAGACCCTAATGCATTGGTCAATGGTCATTGACCTTGTGGCTTGTATTGTTTAACTCTGTTTCAACTTCTTAAACATTAAAGGAAATAGTTCACTTTCCTGCAATTAGTATTTTGCTATTGATTTATGATTTTTTATGCTCAAAATGATCATGAAATAAAATAAAACCTTTTTGTAAAAACAATTATTTTCTATATTTTTATATAGGACAAACTATATTCTTTGTAAAATAATGTTTGACGCGGAAGCTTATTACGTGTTGACCAATCATATCGCGTAGTTCAAACCTACGCATACTGCATTGGCTGTAAGCAGCATGCTGATTGGCTGACGATGACGTGGCTGCATTCCTGTGCAAGGCACACATTCCTCTGCAAGGCACTCTTTTCGGAACGAGAAATGGAATATCTTCGTCTAGGGTGATCATTGAGCCGTAAAAGCTCCTGATTTGTGCTAGTCTCAGCTCAAGCTACGTAACTGCTATTCCAGTTCAAAACCCCATGTTAAAAGTGAACTATTTCCTTTAATCACTATTCAGGCTCCATTGCAATATGAGATATCAATGACTACCATTTTCTTATCCAATGACATATGGTCCTGTTCAAGTGTGTGCGGCCGCCGTGGCTCCCGCGCTAAAAAGGCAATGTATGTGTAACGAACATATGACTAGACGATCAGCTCGTGCGTTGTACTGCGTTTTGTTTAGTGGATATAATGGAATTTGCCCCGAAATAGTGTGTATAAATATAGTGACCTTTAGGGCGTTGATCGTGGCTCGGCGAATGTCCTAGAAAGCATGACTTTGAGAACCTTGAAGCTTCGAGAAATTCAAGGAAAACAGCCGACCGTGGCTCAGTGACCGATGTATGCTTGGAAATGCGATCGGCACGAGAAGATAAAAGTATCCCATTTTCGTCACCTCTAGATCGAAGTGGATAATTGACGTTTCTAGGCGATCAGTAATGTGAATGTTTGTTATTGTTCAGTGTTGAAATGTTCAGCAATTACTTTAATAATGTCCATCTGGACTATGTTGAAACCGAAAGAGATCGCGAAGAATGAGATGTCTGTCCTGATATGAGACTAAATCGACTAGGAGAAGCCACAGGCGCGATCTGAACCGATCGTTGAGTTGCAAAGTGATTCGCTTTTTTGCGTTATGTCTCCTTTTTCCAGCCCACAGGCCTTAGTCAAGGCAACATTGATGGATTACCCATTTTAAAATGAATTTTTGGTGCTCACAGAGTACTTCATCTAAAAGCTATGTTTTTTCTATCGCTTCTATGTTTTTTATATTGCTAATTGATGACATCCGTATCCATCATGCTGGTATCTCTATTCTCTATCCTCCCCTTCATTTCGTTTTTCGTTCCGATTCGGTAGTGGTTTTGGCCGGTTTAGTCCGGTTGAGTGACGTTACATCCGGTCGGCACTCGTCTTTAGTTTACAAACTCTTCTCGGGCTTCCCTGTGAAGCAGCCATTTCGCGTGCATCTCCAATTTCAGCCGCCCTGCTTGTGGTCACTAATGTCTAGGCTACTGGTAGGAGATAGGGTAGCCGCTGATTGGCTGTGCATATGGCAGCCGTGCCCCCTGCCCCCTCCACGCGCCGGCCGCGGCCGGCGGCACGGCGGACCGCCAGTCGCTCCCAGATATCGCGCGGTGAGGGTGGGGCGCACTCCGAACGTCGGTGTAGATATCTAAGGCGTGGACGGGGGCGGGGCACATCTCTGTTACACGCGGCCACTTCTCGCTAGTCTTCACGTCCTCTTGTTTACGATCAACAAAACGTGCACCATCAATCTTCTTTCGTGGGTCGCTCAAAATATTTCCTGTCCGTTGGCGCACCCGGCGCTGTCTTCACGTGTCCTCTCTCCGGTCTTCTGTGCCTCAGAGTTCAGACCCTCCGGTCTGTCGGAGCAGGACGTCACCATGGTGCCCGTACTGGCGATGCTGCTGAACGGCGTGCTGCTGTTCCTAGTGCCGCCGCTGCTCATCCTCTATACCACTCTGATGATTCTGGCGCCGTTCGGACTCTCGCTCGGCGTCCGCAAGAAGTATGTCCAGCTGCTGATCAAGATCTTTGAGGTGAGTGATGGCCTGATGGAGCGTGGTGTGGTCGGGCGCCGCTTAGCTCGGGGACATTTCTTGGTTACGGCAAATTTGGGTTGAACAAGTTCTCATGGTTTGTTAATGCTCGTTAATTCGTAATAAATTTGTCGGTATTTTGACACCGATGATGCCTACCTACCCGTTGAAAATGTTAGACTGTATCTTGTATTTCTGTTTATTTATTCGATTATAATTATGAGATTACAGAATCTGAACAAGCTAAGGGATAACACTGTTGACGCTAATAATATGCATTCTGATACGCATCCCTTCGTGTCATACCTATGTGTGCGGCACGATTATCTAGATAAGCCACTGCTGTACGCAGTTTCGTCCAGATACGTGCCAGACTGAAATCAGTAAGGCTTTGTTCGCGGGCCAAAATCAGCTATCTGCCGTGCCAGGCCCCCGTCATGCACCCGCATTTGCCTTACTCTTTGTTGAACAACGGAGAAAACAAAGAACGCAGTTACGACCACTTTAGCGTGAATGGAGCTCCTAACCGACCCCTTCGTCCCCATCCCACCGATCTGGGCCGGCTGTATGGCTATTCCGGACCCTCTTCCCTGCCTTCCCGGCTCGATCGCATGTAACGCGACCGATCGTTACGAGTTACCACACTGCTCTCCCCCCCTCCTCATGTATCACCCTCCCCCTTCCCCTCCCCTCCGGTCGCCAGTTTGGTCGCGTGCGTCTGGAACAGAAGAGAAACAGAAAGAACCAGATGTCCGGCGACGGACACCACGACCAAGACGAGGACGAAGAGATGGACGATAAACTGCTGTTGGTGCCAGATCCGGACTCTGAGAAAAAGGCCAGAGAGGTGGGTGCCAGGGGGATCAGGGAGCTGGGTGGGGGTTTGTTTATGGGAGGGGAGGGGATAAGAATGCATGCGAAGGTGAAACATGTTGGGACGATGGGTATTAGTTAAGTATTCTTGCGATGGACAAGGTCCTGGATGGATATGAGTAATGCGTGTTTGAATGTGAAGCTGGCATTTCCAGCGATTTATCGATCCCTCCTAGATTGATGCTACCATGCGGCTGGTTTCGATGTTTATCGTCGTGCTGCTATAAAAGTCCATGATTTGGTCTGTAGGCAAACTGTACCCAATCACTGTATGCCTGCAACTGGTACGGGGCGGCTGCAGACGACAAAGCGCATGTTCTGCTAGCTTTGCATCAGAAACCGGTCTGGCTGCTGCTGCTGCTGCTGGCTCAATACTTATCATTCAGTAGTGGAACATATTTATGACAATTTTCGTCGATATCCATCGCACGGCTCTTAACCCGCGCCCCGTAGGGCTACCGGCGGACCCTACCACCCGTAGGGGGGGGGGGGGCCGTTTCGCCCCCCCCTAAGATCTCGGAAAGTTACCGGCCGATTTTCAAAATTCAAACGGAGTTCGATAGCCCCACCCGGGAACTACCTTGTGACCAAATTTCATTGACCTAGGTCAAACCGATGACGTCACAGGTCAGGTCAAAGGTCAGATTTTCACCGTTCACAGGCAATTCAAGAAATGTGCTGTGAAAGCGAGTAAATTGGTAATTTATTGAAAACCATCGATGGTACATTGTTCGTCAAACACATACTTTGCTATCTGAGGTCACTGATACCAGGTCAGGTCACAGCGAGGTCAGGTCACCGGGGGTCACAATATGAATGTGTCGTGTGATACATGTTTTATGGTCCATTTTACATGACAAATGCGATTATGTGGGTTAGGCAGCCTTTGGGGCCAGCCTAGGTCACGTTTTTGTGAAGGTCAGGTCAAGGTCAGGTCAAATTAGGTCAAATTTCAAAGTTGATATTTTTGCATAAAATGGGTATCGATTCGATGCAGCTCGTCACGGGGAGTCTAATGGTGGTCTTCGTTTTGCTCTACGAGTTCTAGAATTGCCAAAAATTGAGTTTGAAAATTTGACATCATCATTTTTGAACAGTTTTTTTTCGCTATAACTTGGCCAAAAAACGAGGTATCGATCTGAAATTTGGTATGTAGATAGAAGACGGTAGGCACTATCACATATATTCCGGTTTTTTTCGAAACTCAAAAAACTTTTTGGATTTTTTGGCGAATATATCCAAAAAAATGTTTTTTTGATTTTTGGGGGTCAAAAATCAAAAATTTCAAAAATTCGAGATAGCAGTTTTGTAGCCCTGTCAATTCTACACCTTTTATGTCTTGATCATTTTTCTGTATCTTCAAAGCTGTAGTCCTGACAGGTCTTCTCGCGAAGGTCTTTTTTCGGTCGAAAATGACAGAACATGACGTCACTCTGACGTCATTTGTGGCCAACCTATCATAGCCTCTGGAAAAATTTTTGGTCACAATGTGTAAAATTGATGCCCGGAGGGGTCCTGAAAGTTTGGTGGCGATATCTCCAGCCGTTTAGGAGATATCGACCGAAAAGGACAGGGGGGGGGGCCGTTTCGGCCCCCCCCTACGGGGCGCGGGTTAAAACGTTATTTTTAGACTGTTGGGTAGTGGCTTTGAGAAACACGTCAAGGTACAATCACTAACAACATTTATTTTATCGTTTAATTGATGTATTTGAATTGCTATGTTTCGTTCAAAGTTACAGTGATTGAAATGGTCGAAGTTCTGGGTGTCTTCCCAATATAACTCCGATTACCCGAAACCAATAATCAACTCGTGATCTGGAGTCTCCTAATGAAATTAGCCTTGCATAGTTTCGATCCTGGGCCATTTTCCGCTCCGCCTGCCCAGTCTGTGACCTTTGATGACCTCTGACCTGGCGTAACCCCGCGTCCTCAGAACGGCCGCCGGATCCTGCGTATGGGATCGGTATGCGAAGCCGAACCGAAGGATCTGGTTAGCTTCCAGCTGGACTCGTGTCTTGACTACATCAAATCGGGCATCCAGGCCATCGTCGATGATGAAGTCACCAAACGCTTCTGCGCCGAGGAACTCAAGGTCAGTCCGCAATGTGGGACTGTGGGTGGAAATATGGAGTTTTAAGGGGGTACGCAGGTGCTCTGGCATAGATGGTTTGACGTCAATGTGCAGGCAGCCTGGTCTACTGGGTAAATTAAAGGATAACGAACCTTATTATTCGCAAATAAGCAAGCACTTTTTCGAATTGTATGCTTTTGTTTCTGAAATCCAAGAAGGATTGTCCGTATCGGCATTATTGTCACGACTGCAGGTCATTATTTGCCATTGAACTCGGTGCGTCACAAGTGCGTCACTGGCTATATGTGGGCTACCGGCCGGTCATTTCGGGGAACACGAACGTCGATGTTCGCTCAACTCCACCCATTGTGGTCTTAAATGGGGTCTCCGTAGTGGGCGGCGTGGGTGGCGGACTGGCTGGTAGCGGACACTGGACCGGACCTGTACTCCGGTCAGCCAACGGCCGCCCAATACCCTTCCTCTCTCCCCACCTCCGCCCCCCCCCCCCCCCCCCGCACTCCGTCGGCCGCCGTTCCCCGGAGGAAGTGCGGTACCGTGCTCCTGACATACCCGTAACGGATGGCCTTGCCGAGTGCACGGACGGTGCGCCGTACCGTGCCGGGTTGACCGTCGACATTGCGCTCAGGGTCCGGTGCACTCGGGGTCGGGGTAGTGCGCAGTGCGCACTGCGCTTGTTCGCTTCAGGCCTAGTGCAAGTGTCAGTAATGTCCTACTCCTTTCCGGCTCCCTGATCCCCCGTCTGCCCCTCTCGGCGTGGCGTCTTTTAAATGTGGTGGCATGCTATGTTATCTGCACCGGGCGGAAGGGCTGCCTTAGTCACAGACTTCGCTACTTCGTCATTGCAATCTTTGATAGACTGAGTTGGGGCCTGCTTCCTTGTGCAAAGTCACGTATGAGCTATTACGCAAGTGTTGGTCTAGTGCGGTTCAACTACTCCTGATATTGCTCGCTGAGCCGAGTGGGAACATACGTCCTCTCCATTCAGTAGCTTATGTTTCCACTCAGTTCGACCGCTGCTGCCTGAGGCGATCTCCTTATGCACATATGCATCGTCAGTGGAACTTTACAACCGGTCTGGGGTGCTTCACATGGTAACAGGGGGCCCGAAGCGGGTGAGGACTTTCAGAGAGCATTGACAACCGGCTGGTTATGGGGCGATGTGTAATGCTCCGCACTCTGCACAACTGCACAACTGCTGCCGTGTGAAAAGCAGCTGCACTGCAGCACTCCAAGGTGGACTCGTCAGTTCACATGGCGTTTCCATGGCAATATCGATCTTTAAAACGCCGCTTCCCTATGGACAAGCACATGCTCCGCCCTCAACGCTCCGGATAAATTTACACGTAATGCTGACGATTTCGTTTTCACTATGATCAGAAGAGCGCCAGATAATGATATATTTATCGGTGTGTGTTTAGTAATCAAGTGTTCCGTTTTTATTTTAAGGCACGAGAATCGAGGTTCGGTAGTAGGACAAGTACGACCTGCCGAAGGTATCTCGGTCTCAGGTAGTTTGTTTTGTCGTTTCGCTGTGCCAGTCATCAGTGGTTGTGGCCTTACTTCGTTATCTCGTATCATCTAGCGGTTGGGGCGGGGGCACGCCTGTCATTCGCCAGTGACCTTTGGTCCACTTCGCCCCTCCCCCTGCCCACCCCCTGGCGTCACACCACCGGAACAAGCCAGCTCGACGTTATCGCCCCCCCCCCCCTTCTACCCTGACCTCCCGTCAGAGTGGCCTTCTCGATTCTGCCTCGAGCGGGGGTCCTCCAGTCTCCCAAGCTCAAAGTGCTCTGTTCCGGCCGGGTGTAGGGAGGGGAGCCGGGGAGGGCCTCCTACATTCAGAGCCAAGTCCGGCTGCTCCCGAACAGCCCGCCGCGCAGGTGGGCGGTGCCGGTCACGTGACTAGCGCCGGTCACGTGTAGCCGCCCGCACGTGACCGGTAGGGGTCACGTGACGTGAGTTTGGTTTGTGCCCGCGCTGCGTTCATTGAGAGGGAAGGGTCACGGAGGCGCGGTGGCTGTGGGTAGTACGGTGTGTTCTGCCCTTAGTGGCTCAGGCTGGATGGATGAACAAGGCAACTGTTCACTGTAGTATCTTGTTTGTAGAGTCACCAGAGGAATTTGTCGAGTTTTTATGACTGATAATATTTTTTTATGACCGATAATAAGTGTCTTGTGAACGGTCGAGAGTTTTTACCCTTCTTCTTGTCTTCACGGTCTGATTCTCACGCGATTTGAGTGTAGTGGGTGAAGAAGAACCACCGGTGCTGATAAGCGTGCCTGCCTGTATGTACTGATCGCCTATTTCTATATTTGTCAAAACTTTGTTACCTTTTTAACTAGAATCTCTGCAACAGAAAACAAAACTTTGAAGTACTTTGTTATTGAATGGCCTCTGACTTTCTGCTTTCGGAAAGGTTGTTTCACGAGCAGTTTTGTTGTTTCGTTACCTCGTAGCTTGGTTTCGTCAGCATTGCACCGCTGCGCCTTCTACAATCAGTGCCTTTCTGTCCAGCCCAAATCCCCGTACAGCCCAAATCTTTAACGAGCTTGCAAATGATGACTGATGCCATCACTGTCAACCGTGGAAGCCGTATGGCTACCCATCTACGCTGGAGTACGAAAAACATCATCTCACGCCTTTCTGTCCACAAGTTCCACCGTGCGCCCAGTGGTCAGGGACTATATCACTGAATCAGCGTTCCGTCCCCGTCCGTCTGCCCCGGTGGCCATAGTCCTCACCCTCGTAGCTAATCACAGCCATACGAGGAACGGTGGCCGGCGCGGCGCGGGCTGAGTCGGCAGCCCACCCACACGGCACAGTCACCGGGCAGGACCCTGGCCCCCGGAGTGCTACTGCTGACTGTGGGCGAACGGTCCGATGGACTGAGCCTGAGGACGCGCCGCCGGTGGGCAAAGGGCGCTGGCGCTGATGCTTGCCTGCTGCCCCGCTGCCCCGCGAGGCTCACTATCCTGCCCCACAACCCCCCGCTCATTCATAACTCTCCGTCTTCCGTTGGTCATCGCAAATTATCTGCATTTCGACAGAAACATGGCATCTGGCTGTGCTATGGACAGAGAACGCAGCACTTATTGCGGTTTACGTTTCCACAAAAATCCCTTCGCAGAACCGCGCCACCCCTGGCTGAGTCGTTTTTTGTACGACTGCTATTTTCGCACGCGCGGGTATGCCGAGGGGTCGCTGGCCATCCCTGCAGACAACTCCCTGCTAAGTGTATAATAACCGCCGTCCGGGTGAAGTGCGTGCGTTCTCAGCTGTGTGCAGTGCGAGTCCGCGTGCACCAGCCTAGCCTTTTGCTCTGTTATGTCGACAGTTGACCCAATCTACGATAATCTCGCCTTCGAACGCGACTGGGTCAGGCTGTCGCTGAACGACCACCGAACTCCGTGGCATATCCTCTGAACACTCCGTGTTCCCTGTTCAGTGACGGCTGACTGATCTCTAGCCGCATGCGTTACTCAGTACTCAGTGCTGCGTAATTGGGTAATAATAGCGATTTATGAAAGGGAGAACGGGGCCGCAGTCCGTCCCCTGAAAGGGCTCAGGAATGTGGAATGGCTGGCAATGGAACCGGCTTTTGCGTTTTGGTTCAGAGAAGCGACCCGGAGCAGTGAGTGCGCGCATGGGAGAGTGGTGCCCGGGATGAGGGAAGAGAAGGGTGTGGGCTATGGTTGATTGCGTCGGCAGCGGCTTGGCACAAGATCTGGCCTGCCTTGTCCTTCGGCTGGCGTGGTGGACGACCGGAACGGTGGGCACGGGTAACAAAAAGTGACGGGGCTTGGCAGCCTGCTGGGACTGGCCTGGCCAGCGTGGCTGCTCTAACGAGGCCTCTTGTTTTCATGACAGGCAGCATGTTTGGTCGTTTGAAGTGCCGCTTTGGTTCTAATGTTGTTTACTTATGAATAGAGACATGCAAGGATCCACACCGTGACTCTGCGCATTTGGAATATTATATTTTTATTCGCTAACCCTCCAGCAAATCGTGTATTATAATACCCTTGCTGTTGATTCTTTATGGCGTTGCAAAATCTTCCAAGTCTGTGGAAAGGACAGAAATAGCATTTTCGACTGTTCCGCCATGATTATTAGTAGTAGGGCCGGTCAAGTATCAGTGACCTCACATTCGTGCCATTTCCATATGCAGTGTATCTTATGACCCCTGAGTTACATAAACACCGTGACTGCATCCTCTCGGCTCGCCCGTCCGGTCCGTGCTAGCCGAATGTAACCCTCGTGTTTCTTTGCTGTGCGTCCTGAACTTCGCTCGGCGCCGATCGGCGATCACTCTAGGACCGTGTGCCCTTTGACGCCACCCGGGCGCCGCGTGCCACCGCGGCCCGGCCGTCACCAGGCGCCGTGCTGTGCACGTGGTATGACCGGCAGCGGGTCAGTGATCGGCGTGACAGATGAGGAATGAATCACAGAGTTACCGCCCGGCCCAGTTATTACAGCTGCAGGCGTGGGCTAGTTTTGCCAATGGCTGCCGAAGCGCTTCAGTGTGGCCGCTGGATGTCTTGAGGGTATAATTGAAGATATATTTATCTTTCATTTGGATCCCTATCTAGCTGGTAGCTAGATGTCTATAAATATTTTTTACTCATTCATGATCTAACTCTTGCCGCTATCGTTTGCGTGCCGCCAACCCCATCAGCCTCATCGGTCCACAGTGGTTCAATCCTACCAGCCTCAGTCTCACCCGTCCACGGAGGCCTATTCCCGTTCATCGTTTTCGTCGCCGTGACCACGCACCGTTCGACCCGCCGCCGTGGCCGCGTACCGTTCGGCCGGCCGGTGCACGTGGTGCTCAGTGGCCACGCGGCACGCGGTATGTCGGCCAACCGTCCCACGGACCGCGCTGGTGTCCCGACCGTGCCTACCGACCGCATCCGAACTGAGCGGAGGCTTTTGGCGGCGGCTTGACTGCTGTGGTAGTTAGAGTCTTAGACCATGGGCGCTAGATAAGTTTTGTAGGTTCTGTAAATGAAGTCACGATGGATTAGAGCGTATTACGGCAGGCGCCGCACAAAAGCGTCATGCAGCGCCAGCGCCGAGCTCCAGCGTGGCTGGGGGCGTGGTCTGCCTGTGACGTGGCCAGTGGTGAGTTGGTGACTCTCAGCCAAGGCTATGTAGCTCTCAGCTAATTCCCGCGGCCCGGGCGCAGCCAGACTACGGAGCGTAGCTCGGTGTGACGTCAGAAGCGTCATGTCTGTCACAAGGTCAGGGCTGGGAACCGTGTGCGGCGCGCACACGATAGACCAGAGATTAGGAACTCTACGCAGTCACTCTAAATGAATGGAGGATGCGGGTAGAGTGAAGAGAGAAACCGTGAGTGTGGAGGGCACCGCTGTAGATATCAGTACAGGACAATTCAGCGGTGTGGGCCGAGAGGCGTCGGTCTCTGCGGGTGGCCGCTGTCCGTTCCTGACGTCTGGCTTGTGTCGGGCACTAGTGTCACCCGGCCGACCTCTGAGCTAAACTGTCCCTCCCTCCTCCACCCAGTGCCGACCTCTGCTCCCAAGTCCTATTCCAATGTCCCCTCACACCGCCTTCCATGTGGCGGATGTCTAACATGAACCGTCCCCATGCCCCGGCCCGTCACAACTCATGGCGGTTAAGTACCCTCGGCTCTGCGTTTCGGCATGTCCGGTCGCTTACAGACTACAGTCGCACTCTCTCGATCCTTCCCGTCCACGGCGGATGTCCCTCCCCCTCTCCCGGCTGTCTTCTCAAGTTGGGAGAGCATCGAGACCGGTCTATCAGGCATATCTACGGACACTGAGGCCTCTCGGATTAGGGTTGGAGAGTCTGGCGCTCAGGGCCCCGGGTACGATGAGCCATGGGAGGTTTTGTGGCGTCGCAAAACGCTGATCGAACCATGTGAAGAGATAAGGTGCATTGAGAGCACGCTATGACCTTGGAAGTGATGTTTTCATTTCACTGGCAATCGTCATTCATCTCAACGCTCTATTAGAAAGTATGTACAAGTGGATCTTGATTCCTGGGGGCTATATACGAATATATCTATACTTACTCCAATTACATTAGTCTAATTCTAGGCCAAATCGTTTAGTTCACTTTCAAGGAAATGATTGTATTTCTACGCCACAACAATTCGTAAAGATAATCTCTCAAAACTATGAGATACGTTTTATGCCATTTTAACCCACAGCTGTTTTTCTTCCTGCTGTATTCACCGCGTGGCCCGGTGTGCGTGAGTTGGCCCGTTTAGCCGCTCGGATCATTGATTGACGCCAGATGACCTAGGGCACGAGTCTGCGTCCAAACTCTGATCGGCACGCTCATATGGACCCTATCTGGGTCACGCGTGCCACTGAATGGTGGAAGGCGCCTGACTGCAAATGTCAGTGGACAAGCTTTTCTGAGTGAATTATGTACGGAATGGAGCCTCTGCTGATGTTTGCATTTCTACTAGCACATGGGTGGCGGCTGGATCGCTGACTTTGGATGCTGGTACGATGTTTTGCTTCCCGAGTGGTTAGCAACGACGAACCGTGCCACTTAGAGACAGCTCAGTTTGCTTACCGATCACCATATGTTTTCGAGATATACAGTTTTCAGTGATTGCCAGTTCACAGTTGCCACCATCGCGTACTGGGGAGGCCCGATCAGGGTTCGACAGATACAACCAAATATGTATACTGTATAGTGAGGTACACGTGGGTCGAAACGGAAGAAGCCGCTGCATGGGGACTGGTGGGGGGAGGGGGGGGAGCGGGCGGCCTGTTGGCAACAGACGCGATGGTCACTGTCAGGCAGATGAACCGGTAAACACGGGAACGGATTCTGCCACTCACAGCATGGTAACAACCGGTAAAAGTACTGCTGACGGAGTGACGGAGTTACTCTGGCAGAGCGTCTGGTGGACGGGTGAGCGACTGTCGGCTGATGAGAGGGTATTGTCGGGGGCTCGATCAAGTGAACGATATTGGGAGAAAGTTATGGGAACCAACTATGGATATCAAACAAGACGACTTTTGAGCGACTCCATTTGTGTTGTGTCTACAGAGACGGGCGATTGTGTTTTCTGGGCGAATGCTAGCACACATTTCTCTGTGATAAAAGGCCAGCTGTCCCCTGTCATTCATGTGCTACTGTAAAATGAATGGCGTCTGCTTTCGGCGTTGTAGTTTGTGAGTCGTACAGGGTGGAAAGTAATTACGCGAACATGTATTTTCTTACAATTTTGACCGTCAGTGGAGCATTTTTATGAGTACGGGCTGTCATGGAGCATAATTGGTCGTGTTTGTTGTCGCCTCATCTACCAAAAGTGACCTAACTTTGAACAATGACCTGGAAGGTCTTAAACAACCTCTCGACTTAAAATGGTGCAGACACCATACGCTGCACAAGACCGAAATGGGCAAAAAGCTCAATTTGGAGCCGCCAGGGAAAGCGTTTGTGATTATTTTCGCTGGACTGGCGGAGAAGGGATTCGTAGCGGTCTCAGCACCAGCATTGCACAATTATACGTTTTTTTAAACATAATAACACTTGAGAGGACTTAAAAAGCAAAGCCGTCCGCGGCAGCAACCCCTCGGCGAATTCTGTCGCCGGACGGGTGGTCACCATGTCGGCGACAAAACGACGCCAGTCGACCCGAAAACTGGCAAAATAGCTTACTCTGGCCGGGTACCCGATCTAGGATATCACGATTCGCACATTAATACGCAAAAATTCGAAAAATAAGTCGTACAAACCCTCGGGATGACCAAAATTCACGAATTAACAACAGAATTGTTAATTGAAGCTTTTCAAAGACAATCAAAGATGGACAAAGGAGGACAGGCAGCTGGATTTGTGGTTGGGTGAGACATCTGTGAAACTGTTTCATCCGTCAAACCTGCAGATCAACTGCTCTGAGGGCAGCTGTTGCGTCCTATGTCCCGTCCGTCCGAACCTTCAAACATCCGGCAAAGGAACACATCAGTGGGTCACGAGCCCCCGGGTGGTGTCAGAATTGCGTATAGCGCTAAGAAAGGTCACTAAAAATAAAGTATACAACCGGTGGAACATCCTCCAAGACGAGTGTCTCTGTCTAATCCACCGTGCAACGAAAGGGGCAAAATGACTGGGCGCACTTTTGTGCCCGACGCAAAGAAACTGCTCTTCGTGATTGGTGAAATCCTTACTTTCACGGCCAACAAAACGCAATACTGGTGCTGTGAGAACCTGTTTTTCTTCAGGACATACAAAAGCTGATCTGGGAAACGCCTGGGCCTCAATTCGACTAAAAATCTCCAGATGACTCCTCAGGAGACCGTCTAAAAGCTGCAAGGAGCCACCAATACCGATTACCTCACTGGACAGCTCTTTAAGGTGTGGGCTGAGCTTTGGCCAACAGAACTTCACATGCTGATGTAAATCATGCCGGAACGCCTATGTCAATGCATCGCAACTAGATAAGGATAAAGTAAAACATATATTGTTTATGTCACCGCCGTTTTTTTCATTACTAGAAGACGAAAAAGTATGTTCGCGTAATTACTTTCCACCCTGTAGGTCTATCGACCAGCTAGTCTATCTGATTGACTGTTCGTGGCTATCCTCTGTCATTGATCCTAATACTGTCCTGTTGTCCTTTGCGTCGTGGGGAATTATTGAACACGTGTGAATGGCACATCAGAAAGTGAATGAGAAATGTCGCGCTTATCGGCGACCAATGACGACGTCGATTGTTTTTATTCATGGGGCCCTCGGAAAAGATCAGCATTAACAAGGGAGGATTGACGTTTGGTGTATATCTGTGTAACGTTTCTGTCCTTTTTGCAGTCGTGGAACATGCTGACGCGGACGCAGCAGAACTACGAGTTCATCAGCTGGCGGCTGACGTTCCTCTGGTTCGTCGGCTTCTTCTTCCGCTACTTCTTCCTGCTGCCCGTGCGCATCACCATCTTCTTCACATCGGTAAATACTCGGACACATTAAATATCGCCGCCCAGCCCCGCTCAAATTTGCCACTCAGTTCTGCCAGGCTAGAGCGCCATCTTCGTAGCATTCGTAAACGCAATCGGGTGATGAAATCCGGCTAAACATTAGTTGTGCGACTTATCATCATTGGCTCAGTCGCATAGGCTCTCATGATTAGATGAATTTCACCGTCTAGTCTTCATTGGCTGTATATTTTATTTCCTGAACGTTTCAAGAGCTCGACTAGCCGGGCATGTTACTAAAAGAGGCGTGTTTAATGTTGTCAACTCTTTCAAATTGTTGGTTTTTATTTGTGAACGCCGTTTTCCATGATAAACACGTACCAATTTTTTTTACTTAGGATGTTCAATGCTTACAATCAATCGTTTCGTCGTAGTGTGTTGTTTGACATATTGTCAATGGGACGGTTCTTTTATTGGAGCACGAGCTGTCATCGATTCTATTATAGTCGCCAACTGTCCGACACATAACCCTCATTAGAAGATTGAATGCCATCGGCGCTAATGCAATGGCTTTGTCCTGAGAAATCGTATTCGTGTCTAGGTTTGTGTGTTCTATTGAAATATTTGATGTTTGCTGTGTCACAGCCATCTCGTCTGTCTTGTCATTTCATACAGTGTGCCTTGCTTGATGCAAATAAGATGTTCTGTCAACTTTATTGGCTCATCTTTTTGTTTTGTGTTCGTTTGGACTGTTTTGTAATGTGTATTATATTGACCTACGACTTACCTGAAATGATTGCCCTGCGTCCATTCATCACTGTTGCCTAGTTAATCATTTACATTCATGTACCTCACTAACAGAGAACGCCTGCTCCATTCTGTGAACCCACCGCACCCGTCTGACCGTCCCGCGTCTCTGCACATGAAGGTATCGACGTTCGTGTTTGTCGTCTCCTCGGTGGCGCTGGTGCCCGAGTGCGCGGCCAAACGCTGGATCTACAACAAGGTCTCCCTCATGGCGTTCCGCATCCTGACGCGCAGCTACTCGGGTACCATTCGCTTCCACCAGCTGGAGAATCGGCCCCGACCGCAGGGGGTCTGCGTGGCCAATCACACGTCCCCTATCGACGTCTGCATTCTCAGCTGTGATGTCAGCTACGCGCTGGTCAGTGGATGGAAGACTGCGGTGGTCCGTTGGCTCTCCTTGTTGGGATGTCCTGTGGCTGTTGTAGGGATGGGAGCTGGTGTGTTCGGTTCAGCAACTCCGCCAGAAAATCTCGAACGGGTGTGTTTGTCCTCCTGGGTGTCCGTCCATAATTGTCCAAGCTCGCTGGGTGCTGCAGGCTGGTCGGGTGTAGTAGTTTTGTCCGTCGGGGAGCTGGTTTGAAAGTGTCCTCCTCAGTCGTGGCTAGTGGTATGTTTTGGCGTTGAAGGTGGTTTTCGTCCAGGGCGCAACGCTGGGCGTTTTCTGGTCGGGGATGGTTTGGTTGTCACTAATCGTCTACTTCTGTCGCTCCAGAAGACAGAGCCTCAAGCTGCACGACTTCGCGACTTTAATCGCCAGTCAACGTTGACTGATGCGTTGACTTCGGGTTACAGGGACAATGTGTCAGCCTGGCTTCCCTATCAGTGCCAGTCGTGGCCAATCCGTCGTGCAATATTCTCATTCAACTCGCTTCTCGACATCACTTGCACGTTTCCTGGGCGTACAGACAGCTCTTTCACAGCGTTGTTTTCGTCTCCTGCCGGCTAGCACTCGCTTATTTGCGGATTCTGTCAGCTTCACAGAGGTCAACAATAATTGATACCTCTCGTAGGACGTTATCAGTAAGTGATACTGTCTCAACAGGACGGTTTTCGGCTTGGTCTGTTCATTATTGATCGTCTTTTTTATTTGGCGTCTGTGTTGTGCAATGGCAAGTCTTCTTGTCCCATCGCTCGTTCGTTTTTGTCTTTTTCCGTCGTACTTGGCACTTCAATCAATGTTGTGTTCTGTTTTTGTCCAGAAGCGCCGCAGGTATAATATCCCAGGTGAGACGTTGTTGTTCTCGCCAGTAATGGGCTTCTGTCGGACTTCAGTGTGTGGTCACAGTCGGTCGATGGGGCCTGCTGCGCGAACGATTCAGTTCACATATCTTCCGTTGCCGTCAAAACAGATCGATGTCTTCGAGACTTACTGTTGGGTGTCCGTCTTTAAAGTGCCGTCTCGGACTGTGTTAGTTGTATTGGATTGTATGCTTGTGAGTCTACGGTTTGATGTCCCTGTCTTACGGTTCATGTGTAGTTAAGTAAGAGCTGGGAATTTTGTCTGCGTTTATACTGGCTCCTCCGCAAAATTATATGTCATTGTTAGTGCTTCCCTATCTATGCTATGTGATTGTCTATCCAGAATAGATCGTTCCGTGTCGATCACGTCCTTTCCGAGATCCGATGTCCTATTCCAACCACAGGCCGTTCGGAGTTCTATAGCCTTGGGCCGTTCCTTTCATCTAAGACATGCTCGCTGTGAATCACCTAAATTCACCGACCCTCTCCGTTTCGCGTGTAATATTGGAACCGTACACCGTATTATTGCAGGTCTCCACACCGGACTGAGGCCAGCTATCAGGCGCTGTCGAGTTGCTATATGGCTTATCTGTGACGCCGGCCCCTGTCTCTCTCGAGGAGTCCTGACAATCGCCCGCTAAGCTTCCGTGCGGCCTATCTCGTTTGTGGCGTGATTTTAGTGGGCTGTGCCGTATAACTTACACTTGATCGTGAAACGTGATGCGTACTAATGCTATCAATTTATCTGTACCTTCTGGACTACCGCGGTTAGCGCAGGTTGTATGCCATCTCGGTGTTTTTTCTTCAACTGGGTTTGTTTATTGTCATTGTGACAACATATCGTCCAGGGTCGGGCTGTGTTGTCCGCTCCCCGTTTCGTGCGTGTCGTCTGTCCCGCTTTCTAAGAGTCCCGTCCCGTCAGTGTGCTCACGTCCCATGTGAATCGTCTCTGTCCCGTCCGCGCCGCTCTCTGCACCGCCTATCTCTCCGTCCGTCCTCCGTGCCGTCTGCAGGTGATCTGGATGGTGCTGGTCATGTCCCTGCTCGGCTGTCTGCCGGACAGTCCGGCGCGCCGCTGGACCGCTCAGCACGTCAGTGTGTTCTGCTTTCAATTCATGTCCAACACCCTCTCTGCCGTGGTCACCTACCACAACCCCGAGAACCGGCCGCGTCGCGGCATCTGCGTGGCCAATCACACCACACCGATCGATGTGCTCATCCTCAACTGCGATCAGGCCTACAGCTTGGTATGTGGCGCAGGCGGGTGTGTGTGCTAGGGTGGTGCATGTCGGGTGCTTGGGCTAGTTTTATTTATGCGTCGGTTCATTTTCTGTGTTCATGTGAGAAGTTTCGGGATTGTTGATATTTTGTGTAAAGGGAAGGAAAGCCGACAAGTGAGACTTGTTTGCGACGCTTATCTTTAAATTTGAATAAGATTGCCTCAATGCCAAACTATATTTGGTCTATCATCTGACTTTGATGTTAAAACATTAAAGAATTGGGCAGTCAGCTACCGATGGAAACCAAAATAATCGTTCCTGCTGTTTGTTTTTATTGTGCTTACCCCTGCCCCCTCCCGTCTCTGTGACGCCACAGATCGGCCAGCGGCACAGCGGCTTCCTGGGTCTGCTGCAGCGGGCTTTGACCCGCGCCTCGTCACACATCTGGTTCGAGCGTGGCGAGACCAAGGACCGCTCGGCAGTGACGCGCCGCCTCAAGGAGCACGTGGACGACCCGAACAAGCTGCCCATCCTCATCTTCCCCGAGGGCACGTGCATCAACAACACGTCGGTGATGCAGTTCAAGAAGGGCAGCTTCGAGGTCGGCGGCACCATCTACCCGGTGGCCATCAGGGTAAGGAGTCAAAGGGGAAGTCGGTAGGGATAATGCTCCACGTGGGGATTATGCTCCATCACACCATGGCGGAACAAAGAGGTGTTTGAAAGACTGTTAACCCACGAGCCGCTGGGGGGGGGGGGGGCATAAAGTTGCCCCCCCCTTTACGTTTTGTGAAATATCTCCGAAAACTGATGAGCTACGAACGTGAAACTTGGCATAGCTTCAAATGAATACCTAGGCAATGTTTGAAAAAAGTTTGGTGGTTGTAGCACCTAAGATGACGTCACAGTGACGTCATAAAGTTTTGTCGTTTTCCGATATGGACCGTTTCTGATGACGCTGAGCATGAACCTCGACTGTAAATGAACTAGACAGCACCTGCTGTCATCCTAAAACATCTTACTACACTTCCATCTAGTTTCTGACCAATATTCGGCCCTTTATATTCGGTCCCATATATGTGATGTATCGTGAGGAATATGAGAGTCGCAAATCTATAATTTCACTTATGACGTCACTGTGACGTCATTTCAAATGGGATCGACACCAAATTTGGACACAACCTCGGCTAGGTATTCCGGAAGATGTGTGCAAAGTTTCGCTTCTCTATCTCTTCGCGTTGCGACGATATCGTCGCAGAAGTAAAGGGGGGCAACTTTATGCCCCTCCCCCAGCGGCCGGCGGGTGGCGCGGAGGCCCAGCGGCCGCCGGGTTAAGGCGAGGCTACCTGCAAAAGAAAACATGCTTTCTTCTTACATATCATTTAGGGTATGCGTTTTATTTACAAATCACTTGATGTTGCTTGCCTTCAGGCAATTTTAAGTTGCCCGTAAACCGATTTCGAGTGATTTGCCAACCGGTCCATTCTGGCCCTCACTGCTGTCACTGGCATGACTGATAAGACTGACGGTCAGTGCAGTTTGAGGGCCTCATCACGATAAGATACTCGTGTGCCATAAGGTCAAGTGACCGTATTGTGTGCAACCTCTCAATTCAGCCACCGCTATCAGCGGGACAATTACTGCGCAACCGGGGCTGAACGCTGCCGTCTGTGACGGTGGGCGTTGGCGCTAGGATCTAGCTCGTTAGCTCTTTAATAGTTTGCTAGCTCTTTAATATTTGGCCCGTCTCGGTCTGTCCACGCAAAATCACCACACCGTTTTTCTCCTCCGGTTGCTTTGTCTTTCACTCTTATTTTCACTTCTGACCGACTTCTACCGTTCTCGCGACTTATTCGCTTTACGAGCTCCTCCAATTACACTCTGCAGTGCTGACGTTATGTATCCCACACTCTCTCCACAGTACGATCACCGGTTCGGCGACGCGTTTTGGAACAGCAGCCAGTACAGCATGCTGCACTACCTGTTCATGATGATGACGTCGTGGGCTATCGTGTGCGACGTCTGGTACCTGCCGCCCACCACCCGGCAGCCCAACGAGTCGGCCATCGACTTCGCCAACCGCGTCAAGGCCTCGATCGCCAGCGCCGGCGGCCTGGTCGACCTCATGTGGTTAGTATCGGCGACCAGGGGAGACGAGGGGACGGGACACGGAACGGGGCTGGATTTGGGGCTTATCTTCTGCGACTTTGTAGTCATTACAAGACAAGCATTGGTGACACCAGCTGTTCTTCGTAGATTCTAAACTGATAGTGTGTAATCCTCGCGTGTCTTTGCCTTTTGTTTGCCTTTCTTCAATAGCTGCTGTGCTAAGCCTAAGTTTTCGTGCAGGCTTTATCGATATTTCGATTTGAGATCTTTAATGACATGTTCCCAATTAAGACGGACGCGTATGCTCCTTTCGTGGGCCACAAGAAGGTATCACAATGTCGCTGTATTCTGGCTTGCCCTGATTGACCTGATGAATCCAGGTCTGCCGTGACCCGACCTGACCTGACCTCGGCCGTCGACTCCAGGGACGGCCAGCTGAAGCGTATGTCGGTAAAGCAGGAATGGCGAGAGAAGCAGCAGCAGCACTTCACCCGCCGTATGCTGGCCATCAACAAGGAAATACGAGACGACGAACAGCGAGAGAAAGACGAGTGAGCCGCGGCGGTGGCGATAAACGACGCACCAAGACACGCAGGGATTGGCGGGTGACGAGAGCGCGCACGCCGGAACGGAACAGGACAGTCATGAGTGAGTGATAGACAGCTATGCAGTGTGAACAGTCAGGTTTGAAGAACGTGATGATGAACTTCACATCTGTAGGTGTGAAAAATGGAAAGTGTTCTTTGGTGAGCGCTGGTGTGATGTGTTTGGTCGCTCGGCGGTGCTGAGCGGGGCGATTTCTGCGGCATTAGTCCACGGACGGCGCACGACTCGTCCGTAAAACTATGCCCGGCCGACTGCCGATCTGCGTGCAATACGACACTGCTCTCTCCTAGACTGAGCCGGCACCGACTGGAGAGGCCTCGGTGCCCCGTCTGACCGTGGAAGACGCTGTGCGAGTCTACTGGCCGGCGCAGACGCAGGGAACGACCGCACACATGGCGAGCGACCCACCTGGGTTGTGCCACTGAGACGCACAGTGCAGTCAGTTCAGCATTCGTGGACCTTCGCTAGTGTCCAGCGTTTGCGAACCAGTGCTGGCTGCGTCAGACTCGATCGCGCTGTCCGCGACAGGTGAACGACAAGCCCGAGACAAGCCCTTCCTGCGGCTGGGGCCGGAACAGTGCCGTGAGCTTGCCAGTAACGCTGTGTTCTGAGGACTCTGATGATGGGGACTGAACATTGGGGCAGTTTTGTCCCGTGGTGTGAAGTAGGGGCTACGTTTCAGACCAGTGTTGTGGTACCTTGCGGTGTCCTGATATCATAGACGGTGTGTTTCTTGTGATGACTCACAGTCGAATATCAGAGCGGTGCGGGAGGGAAAGATTCAGCGGGAGGGCTGTAGTGGGACACATTGACCGTTGTAGACCGATGACAGTACTGGAGACATGGCAGACTAGCCGCACGGATGCATCAATCGGTCCCCACGGACCAGTTCTACAGATACTCATCGAAAGCTCAGTGTTTGCATGTGTTCGTTTTCCGTCTTTGTACGCGTGTGAACGACGTATTAGAGGGCGAGTGGTCCCTGCAGTATCAGTGCTGCCAAGTATGATCAGTGTGTGCCTCGAAGAGACTATTTTTGCGTGCGGAGAGGCTACTAGGCGGGGAAGTGAGTGCTGATTGTGCCCTGTTTGATGGTCGTTATCAGGAGGCGGGGAATTCGGGGGGCCAGGGAAGGGACCGTGACCGCTTTAAGGCGTGACCGAAAGTGACGCAGTACTCCAGTTTTGTTGATAATTGCGCGACAAGTCTTACGTGATCTATTATTTCTGTGCCTACATCAGCGTTAGGCATGTTTAGTCAGTCGCGCGTTTGCCCGGTCCATTCCAGCAGCTCTACTACAGTCGTTGGCCATAGTTGGTGTGCGTTTGTTTGTTTGTTTGTTTTTCAGAGGACCACGCGTTTGTGTTTGCTGGGACGCGCCGCCCGCCCGCCCGCGGTGGCGGCACGCCCGGCCGGCAGTGCTTCCATACCAGGTTGTCTAGTCGTTGGGTGCGAGTTGGTGTCGCTGGAGCCGCCCCTGGTCCGGGGTCGGTCCCTGTGTGTTAGCTCTGCCAGTGGCGGCGCCAGGAGACCGGCCTGGGGGGCAGCGGTGAGCGCCGACTGTGCCCTGTCAGTCAATACACGGTTCTGACCGATCCAGTGTGTGTGTAGTAACGGGTTGACTCGAGCAGAACAGGGGGCACACAGGGCAACTGAGGAACCGGGACGACTGAGGTGAGGCAGGAGGGGCACACGGGGTGTGCGGAGGGTGGGGTTGAAAGAGGCCCGGTCACGCGACAGGCAGCGGAAGAAGCTGGATTTTAGGTTGAGATGAAAAGCATATTTATTTTCTTCTCTATTTGCTGATTCCTTTTCACACTAAGTTACAAATTGTACAGTGCAATCAAGCCAATCGTTCTTGATCGAAATCAATCAGTAGATCGTTATTTCGCTCATGGTTTATGACTCGGATGAACCTTGTGAACCTACAGTACTTTAGTCACTACTATTAGTTTACTATTAGTCACTTTTAGTCACTACTACTGTAGTTAGTAGTGACTAATGAGTTGCCGCCGTAAGAGAGTGGTACCCAAGGGATGAATCACCAATCAAACGTCTGAGTATGAACGCCTCCATCATATAGCCGGGCTAGCGGATTACTCGGCCGGGCGGGGCCATGAGCACCAGAAATGCTTTACCAAATGAGTATTATGTATTACACCTTGCTCGCATGTTGCACATCACGTGACCAACCACACAAATCTGGCAACACTTCTAAGAGAGCACACGGTTATATACATTAGTTATGGAGTGCAATATGCACCACTACTTGCGACTGTCAACTGTCCCAGGTTGGAACGCCTAGCACACATAAAGCTCTGGAATGACTACAAAATTATTGGAGTTTTCTGTTTGATCATCACTATCTCGTCATTCACATATTTACACCGTAGGTAGTTAAGTACACGTCCTTTCCTTCAACAGTCTCGCAGTCTCTTGGTGCATGCATTCAATGGCACACCACTGTGAAAAATACACACCATGAACCCTGTCAAACAGTTCTCCTCCATTGTCTATACCCACCCCACATCACAGTTCTCCCAGTCCCGTGACCGCCGGCAGCGCCTCCAGCGGCGGCAGCCGACACTACTAGTTCGACGGTTCGTCACAGCTGGCAGCACTTGCGCATGTTTGTGCCGGGTTTGTGAGGCTCCGGCTGCTGTGACTGGGAGAGCGCTCTCAGCAGGGTCATGGGTCGGGTGTCACCCGGCAGGCCGTCCTCCGTGTGGTAGTCCTTTATAGAGCGCTGACTGACTCGGCGGTAAATCTCTGAGGGCATGTCACGGGGGAACGAGCGATAAGTTTGCTGAAAAAACGTCAGAAAGATGAGAATCGACGTAAAAGGCACAGGACCGAGCGTTACCTACAGGCTGCTTCGAAGCCAACCAACTAAATCAAACATTGCTAGCAATGTGAAAATGAAGATAGGAAAAGCATTTCAAATATTTTGAGAGCTCCAAAATCTGTGCTGAACGGGTCACAGCTGAAGTTAGGTGCTCACGACAGCCAAACGCAACAGCTTTCTGTCAAGCTCCTCGACCACTCCCCACCTGTGACAATGTTCTCGAACGCGGCATCCACGTTGGTCGAGTCGAGCGCCGACGTTTCGACGAAGCCGAGTCCGTGTCTCTCTGCGAAGGCGCGTCCCTCCTCCACCGAAACGGTACGAAGGTGGCGCAGGTCAGCCTTGTTCCCTGGGGGAGCGGGTAAAAGGGAGGTCACGAACGGGACCAGTGCTTGGTGATTGGTGAGAGGGTGTGGTACGTGGGACTGAAGAATGAAGAGTGGGAGGGATAGAGAAAAGCCGAGAGAAGAGAGAGCAGGGAGAGAGAGAGGGAGGAAGAGAGAGAGGGAGGGAGAGAGAGAGGGGGAGAGAGAGAGAGAGAGAGAGAGAGAGAGAGAGAGAGAGAGAGAGAGAGAGAGAGAGAGAGAGAGAGAGAGAGAGAGAGAGAGAGAGAGAGAGAGAGAGAGAGAGAGAGAGAGAGAAACAACAATGTTTATTGCGTCAGTGATCCCTAAGTCGAAACATAGAGGCGAAAACATAAGTCGAAACATAGAAGCGATAAGACCCGGTCGAATTGGGTAACCAGTGTCTCCTTGCTGCTGCAACTATCTTCAATAAATCAGATCGAGCTCGTGAGGTGCCGCCCTACCCCGAAAACAGTCCTGTTACAAAACACTCCATGCCACGTCACAAGTCGGACCAGCGTCTGCCGATAATGACGTGGCACTCCTGGATGACGTCATAACACCAAGTAGCGCCACGCCCTCCGATCACGACAAGTGACGTCACACAGGTAAAACGGACTCATTGCTACGCGCCTCAAGGTGAGATTGTGACGTCATTAACCCGCGCCCGGCTGGGGGTCCTGGATTTCCACGCCCTGCTGGGGGGGGGGGTGTTTGAACACCCCCCCTTGTAACTCGGCTCCTGGGCCACGTAGCGATACGCGGAAGGCGGCGTTCGAAAGAGCGTCAAAAATAATGACGAAATCATTTCAGTCAATTTTTTGGTCAGGTCAAAGGTCAGGTCACCAGAGGTCATAGAAGGCAAAATTTCGCCGATTTCCAGGTCGAATGTCGAAAATTTCCAAGAAGCCAACGCATAACTCGGGAACCAATAGAGCTACAGCACCGCGGAAAAGCGCATTCGATAGCCCTATTAACGCCCTTTCTGAGTAATTCTCTCAGATTTGACCTAACGTCAACGGTTTTGCCTGCAGGGGGCAAAAACTGCGAAAATAGCCAATTTTTTTTTTCGGAAATAATTTTTCTGCAATAACTTTTGACCCAAGCCTTGTACGAGCTTATTTTTACCGGCATCGTGTTCCTCTCGTCAAGACGCATCGAATGAACTATAACTTGACCTTGAAAGGTCAACTTGAAAATTTGACCTCAGGTCAAGGTCATGACCTGACCGGAAAGGGTCATGTTGCATATCAGTCGATCCGTATCGTCGAGCTGAACACATCTAAGGCGTTTTCATCGCTCTAGCATGCCTCTATCAAAAGTTATTTGCGAAAAACTGTTAGATACCATTCGTGACCTAAGATGACCTCAGGGCATAAACAAGGGTCACGGACACCATTTTCATGTTCTGTGTGTCTAAACCACTTGTAATTCGGTGTTTGGGAGTGCTTATAATGTCTTTCGTCCAAAAGAGGCGCATTTCAATTTTCTCCCATTGACTTATAATGGGGAGGTCGCAAAATTGACCTGACCTTAGGTCATCGATATCAAAATTCTGAGATATACATTTTGTACATGCTATTGCTCTTAGCAATCGCTGAAAGTTTCAAAGCGATCGGTCACTCGGTGTAGCTATGACAGACATTGAAACTTTTTATGAGGTGAGGTCACTTCAAGTGACCTGGTGACCTGACCTTGAATGACCTTGGTCTGAAATTTTCACAACATGTGTATAATTGATGTATGATAAGGTGTACCAAAAACGGCGGCGCTCCGCACCGCCGTTTTTGAGATATTCGCGAAAAACCACAAGGGGGGGGTGTTCAAACACCCCCCCCCCCCCCCGCAGGGCGCGGGTTAATCTGGATGACGTCGACATTTGTGAACTGTGTGATTCACCACCAGGAGCTTAGAGAATAAGCGCTAAGGTGTAAAAGAAGAACAATGCCGCGTGTATCAGCGACGGATTCCGTAACGAAGGACGAAGTCCGTGACTCGAGTACCTATTTGGCTGACGGTGAGTCAATATAGAGCTAAAAACCGTTAGCAAATAGTCCGAGTTGTGTCTCATTCCTTCCGCGTATGTTCATCACCTGATGAATTAAAAACCGCTGACTTCTACAGGAAAATGATGTGGCTGAGTCCGACAGCACACTGGATGAATCATAATGTCGTCCCGCCTCTGCGTTCTCTCGAAATGCCTATAATTTGTTCGCAGAAGTAACCCCGTCACCAGTCACCTCAGCCTATTTGGGCGACAGTGACGCGATGTAGGCCGGTCGGTGGTAACCGTCTGTTGATGCAAACTGATGCCGATAGTGCCTACTGGAACTGTCGCTGGGCTGAATGGTCTGCGTTTCGTGGGTCACAACTCACAAGTAAAAGGAACATCGAACAACTCGATGTCGACGGTTGACAGGCGGACAATTGACATGGACTCATTTTATCGTGCTCCTAATAGACAGGCAGACATTCATTTGTTTCGTTCACTTTTCGCTCCTAGCGACCGTTTTTGAGAGATCGATTCAATCGGTGACTTAAAAGGTCCTTGAGTTCGGGAGTTGCTACCATCACACTTCAAACCAATAGTACCGCTGTTACCAGTAGGTGTCACACGATGCAGCCTTTGCCTGTCAAGTGCCACACACCTACTCGCACGTCCAACTAAACACACCAAACCGCTAAACAGCTGAAGTACATCTGTCGGTCAGCTGGTGATCGCGCCGAACAGCCCAATCAACCATCTGCGGCCAACGTAGCGGTCTGTGACGTGACTCAGAGTCAGACACCGTGACGCCCCCCCAGTCGTGACTCCTATGACGTCACTGACTGTGGGAGCGGCCGATCGTTATCGAGCGAGACAGCTCGGCCCGCCCTACACGGCCCGTGGGTGAGGGTCTGAGCTCTGGGGAGGTTGGGGGCGACTGGCAACCCTGAGGACACCAGAACGGACCTTGGACGGACTCAAGACGGGATCAGGACAGACAGACATACAAGACACATGACGGAGGACCCAGGCCCCAGGGTAAGCGGCAGTGTTCATGGTAGGGAGACCCGCCAAGCTGACTTTTTCGAGACCCCAGCGATCCGCAAAGAGTCAGGCCGCCGACGGTTTCTTTATTCAGCCGTGACAACATACAACTCACTGCCACCAGCTCTGCGAGGCCTGGGGCCGCCGCAGTTCAAAGCCCAGTACCGAGCACTGCTACTCCGTGAGCAGTATGGCGATGAGGACCCGTGAGTGTGTTTTGTATGCGTGTGCTAAGAGCGAATGTTTTATCCATCACATCTTCCAAATGACATGACGCCCGGAATAGCCGTTCTCGAATGGATGGGTTTGTCGCGACGTGAAATAAATAAATAAGCCCAGGTTGGACACAAGGCGAACCTATAGGGCGAGTACAGCGTGAACTCAAAGTGAACCCATGGAGGACGTAGGAAGCAGGCAGGACGGACAGATAACAGACCATAGAGTCAAAGACCAACGAGGCGAGTCTGGGACGTTCAGAGGAGGAAACCCAGGCAGACCCAGAACGTGGGCGGGGCACGGACAGAACACAGGCAGGACGCGAGCAGGACGGAGCGGGAAGCACGGGATATTGGCCCGGATGTGGGGTCAGGACACCCCGGAGAGGCCAGGGTGACGGAAACTGAGCTCAGCAACGGAACTGGCAGGATCTCCCGCACAGCGCTGGGACGCTGGACAGAAATTAGCTCACGCTGCTATGACGTTTTAAATTGCGTGTAAGCAATACAAATTTATACAGCGATACCATGAAAGATTATGAATGGGAGCGTTGGATGATAAATTCACCGTGATTTGCGATATATTTTATATAAAGTTCTACTCCTTTAATCTCCTCTCCTTCATAGCAATGCTAATGTCTGACTGGCCCGAATACCCGGAAGGTGACTCATGCTCCAGCAATGACACGCTAAAAGCCTCCGATCGATACGGCCGGGCGCACTGGGACGAGCCACGTGTGGTTTTCTCACATACCACGTATGGTTTTCATACAAACCATGCCAGACGGTCACGTGACCCTGAGAGCCTGCGGCATTGCCTGTCCAGGCCACCGCTACCCCAATTGAAATGACCACATTAGCTAGTATGATATTTCGCTTCACTAGACGTCCGAGTCAAAACCCATAAGACTCATCATCAGACTCATCATAAGACTCATCATCATTCATCAGAGAACAGATGAATATGGTCAAACCGCTGCAGTGGCGTATGACACCGACTCCCGGGCAGTGCTTCTTTCTACCTGTTGTATAACGGACGCTATCACAGCTTAACTGACCTATGGCAAAGGAATGTCGGAACTTTTCTGCACCTTCCCAGAATACAACCAGTAAAACGCCTTTTGGGCGACCAACGGAGCGAGCGAGAGGATGGGCCTTGCACGTGCGAAATTGCGAGGGGGTACCTCCAAATAGCTTGTGAACTGCACCCTACTAACCGGTCTTTAGCGATGTGCCAAATTTCAGCGCAATCGGCCTAGCCGTTCTCGAGATCTGGAAGCGGCACACTGCACGTGCGCACGTGCAAGCGGGGTCCAAACTGACTTTTGCACGGCACCCTACTAACTGGTCCCCAACCGTGTACCAAATTTGAGCGCAATCGGCCCAGCCGTTCTCGAGATCTGGGAGCGCCCCCTGCACGTGCGCACGTGCTGTAGCACCCCAACCTTAACACATGCAGATGAATTATCTGATGGAGGCCTAACTGTGTACCGAGTTTCAATTCAATCGGCCCAACCGTTGTGCCGTTATTGAGGTTGCAATTTTGGGGGTTCTTAAAAAATGTCCAACTTTACCACGCGCCACGTGCGGTGGTTGGCAAGAACGCATGGTGGCCATCACACCACAGAACTTTTACGTCCAAGTGACATTCAGTAAAGAAGACCGCTTGTCAATCGGATGTCCCGTTCCTAAGATATTAGCTTTTGAAGAGCGTTCCCACGGCCGGCCGGCCGGCCGCTCATACTCAGAATTTTCCCTTAATTCAGTATGAGACTCCGCTCGCTTCGCTCGCTCCGTAATGACAAGGAAACTCTGTGAACTCTCGTACATATAACGCTTGTTTCTGCCTACCGATCAACGCGCGGTCTGACTGTGGGGGAAGAGGCGGTACTTTTGGCTGTGGTGCCTACTCACCAACAAGAATGACGGCGATCTCGTCGCAGGCGTGCAGCCGCAGCTCCTGCAGCCATAGCCGCTCCAGGTCGCGGAACGTGTCCCGTTCAGTGACGTCATACACCAGCAGGGCGCCTAGCGCGCCGCGGTAGTACCTGTATGGACAGATATGACGTCATACACCGCCCAACGCGCCGCGGTAGTACCTGTCCGGACAGATATGACGTCATACACCGCCCAGCGCGCCGCGGTAGTACCTGTACGGACAGATATGACGTCATACACCGCCCAGCGCGCCGCGGTAGTACCTGTACGGACAGATATGACGTCATACACCAGCAGTGAGCAGGGTGCCCAGCGCGCCGCGGTAGTACCTGTACGGACACAGGTGACGTCATACAACAGCAGAGCGCCCAGCGCGCCGCGGTAGTACCTGCACGGACAGATATGACGTCATACACCAGCAGGGCGCCCAGCGCGCCGCGGTAGTACCTGTACGGGCACAGGTGACGTCATACAACAGCAGAGCGCCCAGCGCGCCGCGGTAGTACCTGCACGGACAGATATGACGTCATACACCAGCAGAGCGCCCAGCGCGCCGCGGTAGTACCTGTACGGACACAGGTGACGTCATTTATTGGCAAAACTAGTCAGTGAGTCACGCGCAGACAACAATGGAACGGTGACGCGGCGTCGTATCGATCCTACCTTTGTGTAGAGCGTTCGCAAGTTTGGGATGTTTAGCTTTGAGGCGCTGTCACAATTCTTCTGTCACATATAGACGGTCGGCTTTGGACCCATTACATTCGCAACAATGCTGAGCTAACGTAGCCGGATGTCGGTAATTGCTGTATAAAACTGCGATCTTAACAACTGATTACTGAAGTCCCACAGGAAGACGTCATAGTGTACTGCACTGCATTGAGAAGCCATTGTCTTACAGGTCGCCACACAATTTGGCAATTATGTCATGGAGCCTGCATTCGTCACCCGGTGTTACCACCATGACAGTCAGTAATTAAACGGTGCGCACTGACGTAATGCTTATCGGAAGGGCGCCTAAACTAAAAGTACTCTTAGTTTAGAATGCTCCTCTCTTCTCATAAAAGTACCCTATGAAGAGAGGAGCATTATTATGCAGCCTGAGAGCAGTAACTCAAGCACGCAGTTTTTCGCTAAACTTGCTGTTATCGGACGGCTTTATATCATGCACGTCCATCCGTCGTGTATGTATTCCCGAGTCCCGACATGACCTGTCCAGACTCGATAAGGCCCCGATATCACCACTGTCGGCTATTTACCCAGTGGCCACTATTTGTCACGTCCACTGAAGTAAACAGAGTTGGATACCGCCGAGTGCACTCAGTGCAGTGCGAGTGGACAGTCGAACAAGAGATTAAAGGGAAATTGCGACGGTCCAGACTTCAGACGACGGGATGTCTTTCCAGTATCCTCCATACAAAGTGAAATAAAGTCCTGGAGGGCAGATCAGTCTGTACGGAAGGCAAGATTAAATCCCCGAAGGAATAGTGAACGAAATGCGGCATTGTAACAACGTTGCCACAGGCGCTAGCGAAACGCTAAGCTTGCGAAATTACTTCGGGCGAGATCGAATCGACGCAATCTGCGGTAAATTTGAGGCGGAATGTGATCAAGGTGCTTGACCTTGTGACCTCGGACAGCCGTTCCCTTCAGGAAGGCAGTCTTGACGCTACCTCAGTAGCGCCAACTGGGTCACCGGGTAACGAGTGCAAGGTCAAGGTCACCAATCTCACGGCGGGGCTTAGCTTTCAACGCTGAGAACGCTGGGAAGGGAAGCCGTCTCCGCTCCGCTACTGGCGAATAAAATAGAAACAAACGGCTGCAGAAGCACCGTTCGTCAGTTTTCTCCACTCCTGCTGAATTGACCTACGGGGCGACACCGCGGCGATACCAGTTACGGGGAGATATGGAGCGTGGGATGGGACTGCGGACGGTCCGCCGGCGCCAGGGAAGCACCAACCGCAGAGGAAGTGGTCACGGCTTCGCTATCAGTATCGCCTGGAAAACCAGCCACCTGACTTTTCAACACGTCCCCAGCGTTGCAGCAGTGACAAATGGTGACAGAAAAAAAGATCGAGAGGTTGGATATGTATAGCATGCACCGTGTGTCATCCACAGGTCATGAAAACAGGACAGCTAAGTCACGGTGGAGTACAGGCTATCACCACATATCCCCGGAGGAAACCCGCATTTATCGCACGTGCTTCCTTTGCAACCGAACTGTGCAAAGTACATAATGCAAACCAGGTCGTCCGCAGTGAAACATCGTCTCCCGCTGAGTGAAATGAAACCACCATCATCAGCAGCTCTAAATGTAAACTGACCGGTCTCAGTCTTTCCTCCTGTAACAGCTGACTGCCCGACCAAGCTAGAGCGGAGCGAGGGCGGGAGCAGGGCGGGGACAGAGACTTACGTGGAGGCGAGGGCCTTGAACCGCTCCTGGCCGGCGGTGTCCCAGATTTGAGTCCGTATTGTCCTCGAGTCGATCTGCGGTGGAAAAGACGGGGTCAGACGGGGTCAGATGGGGTCAGACGAGGTTAGACGAGGTCACAGGTCAGCCAGGAGAGCTTGGCAGTGGCGGATGACGTGATATCCGACTACCGCTCTCACAAATCGTATGAGTGTAGTCTCAGGTTGATGGTAACAAAGTAAACGTCTTACGAAATACCGATTTAATCCGAAATGTGCGTTTAATTCAACACTTCATTTGACCAGTGGTAGAAAGCATCACCATTACTTCCGTTGACGACTTAGAAGACAAGACCCATAGTGTTATTTGCGACCACGAGCCAAGAGAAGACGGTCTCGACAAAGGCAAACGAAACACATTTATCGGAAAAATATTTACGTTGCCAGAAGACCCACCAACACCTCGGTATATACAAAGTTCCTCGGACTCACCACCATGTTCTTGGCGTCGAAGTCGAGGCCGATGGTGGGCAGCGTCTGCAGCCTGAACGTGTTCCTTGTGAAGCGGGAGAACAGGTTGCTCTTGCCGACGCCCGAGTCGCCCACCAGCACAACTGGAGGTCACAAATCGCACGTCAGTTGCACGGTACCACGACATCAAACAAGAGCCAGCAAAACAACAAATCAACCGTCAGCGTCAGTTGACCTCTGTCCTCTGCAGCCACCGTACTCGACACTGGAAGCTAATGCGGACTCATGAATGCGTGGTAAAATGCTTAAGAGGTGCAGGACCGACCAATGGCGGTAAACTGCCCATTGGGCATTGACTGCCTGGAAAAGATAGTTTACAGCTTAGGTTTGCACTCGCCCATCACACTGACGTCTGCTGAATGATGCCTGACGAAGGCAAGTCGATCAAATAAACAGTTTTAGAGTCCAGTCAGCTGCCGGGGACTTACATAGTGTCAACATGAGGCTGAGTGGTGCGCACATACGACTCAGGGCAGGCAGGACTGCGATGGGAAGAGTATATTTGGCTGTCATATGGCATGCATAAAATCATGTTGCAGTCTACTCGATGCGAATTGCAATGGGGCATTGGTAGCGTACGTTTTCAAGGTAGCAGGAAGGTCATCACGCATTCGAGACTCGAGTGATCACTGGTCAGCTAGTGCCAGCTCCCAGCGAAGGTCAAGTGACGCGTTGATTTGCATTTAGATCGGCAAAGATATTCATGGTTCTCTTGGCAACACAAAAAAGTATGTAGGCACTAAGAGCAAAGTCGCTAGTCACATGCAAGGAACAAACTCAAGATAGGTACAATAAAACACGAGATTTAGGAGATTGGCCGATGGATCTGCTGAACAGATACTGAAAAACAAAATCCCCATCATATCCTCTCATATGTCGGACGGCACAAGACACTCCATTCACGGCCTTGCTCTCGGGCCTCGGCCCCGATAAAACGCCCCTCCCCTTCCCCGCCCGGTCACTCCCACCTGGGCGACCGTTGAGCCTCCCCCCTCCCCTCCCTGCACTCTGCAGCACCTGCAGTATCCGGTACCGGCCGGCCGGTCCGCGACTCACCTTTGAAGATGTAATCATAGGAGTCGTACTCGTCCGAGTCCGCCATGACTCTGTAGTCGGGCGAGGTAGGACTGGTAGGGGACGTCTGCGACCCCGGCTGAACGGGGTCTAATTCCCCGCGATGTGAACAAGCTCCAGAAAGAGTTCAGGGTCAACAGACCACAAGCGAAGCTTGCAGATCAGCAGCCAACACCGAACGCACCTATAAACGACACACTAAGAACACTTCTCTGTGCACTGCGGGTGGTCAAAGCGAGACAGAATACCGGAGAGCAGTTTCGCAAACCACGGCTCTTTCCCACTCAGTGCTCGCGATAAGTTATCGTCTCTGCGCCAGCACAGGCCGGACCTCGGCCCGTCGCTTTCACTCCGCCGTCCGGCACAGCAGTGGGTACCGTCCCACTCCCCACCTCTCTCGGAGCGGCCTCCGGCGCTACTGGCCGGCTGACGGAACGGAGCGGCCCTCACACCAGCCGGCACGCTCCAGTCGCCGCCACGCCAGCCGCAGCGACGTGGAACACCGTCATGCTGACGTCACGGACGGCTGTGTGACCAGTCATCGGTCGGAGTGCCCGCGGAGTGACGTCATACGTCGGTCGCCGGCAGCTGGGCGACTGGGGTGTGCGTGCGGTGACGGCCGACTGCCCCACCCCCGCCGCAGCTGCTGGGACGGTAGTGGGGACAACGGCCGGCCGCAGAGCACCACCTGGCTCCCCTCTGCCGCCGGCGGGGGTGGACGCCCCAATAGTCAGCTGATCGTCAGATGCTTCCAGTTCGCTGCACAGCGGCAAAACACGCCGAAAGGGCTGCTGAGCGCAAAACTAATCAGAGCTTATACCCATGGCCCGGTATAAATATTCAAATGATCCCACCAAACGCAGCATTGATATGACTATTTTATTCAATAAGGTCTCAACATGGTTTACGGAAACTGTTTCACAGCTACTGCCAGCGCGCTCGCGGCGCACAGAGACGGCGGTAGCCACGGTGCCGGCTCTCTCCCGCCGGCACCCGCGCGCGCAACTAAAGGCACAACAAGCGGCAAGGCCGTCCGGGCGCCGGGCGTGCCTTATTACAGCCGCCCGGGCGCAGCGCAGCCAGGCACTGCCGCCGGCAGCGCGCAGGGCGCCTCTACCCAGTACCCAAACTAAACTTTGGCAGATACGGCGGCGCGCGCGCGACCGCCGCGCCGGCAGGTTAAACAAGGGACTGTTTTAGACACGTGCGCAGGCGCGCGCGACACTAACGCGACGGATACAAAAGACTGGTTACGCGACCACAAGTAAACACAACCCCTCGCGCGGCGGAATGGGCCATATAACAAGAGAGTGGGCCGCGGGGACCGGCGGCGCCGCGCCCGCGCCATCGCGGCCGGCGGCGAAGAGTGGCGGCTGAATTTTCAACACTTTTGCGGCGTGAGGCCGAACGCGTAGCAATATATCACAATTGCCTCCAATAAATAGCTGTAAAAAAGCCGCTCGGCGCGCACGCGCGTGTGTGTCTGTGTGTATCAGTGTATGTGTGTGTGTTGTGTGGTGTGTTTGCCGGTCGGGGCCGCTCGCTGTCGGGGCGGCGGGCGGCGGGCGCACTAGCAGCACTGCTTCCTGCCGGGGCCCGAGTCGTCGGTGGGCTCGATGGTGATGGGTCCAGCCGAGGAGGGGCGCGGCGCGTCGTCACCGTGGTCCGGTATCTGCTTCTGCGACATGATTCGGTAGATTTCTGCCAGCGGAACGGTGGGTCAGAGGCCGGGTCACCGGGGGCTGGTCGGCCGGCCGAGGGCTGTGTGTTAGTGCGACACGGGTGGAGGATAGGCTGGGTAATGAAGGGCGTCACAGACACTCGGGTAACGGAGAAACAGGCGGTCAGCTGCCACGCCGTGTAGAGATGGCAGTATGGTCCTGACAGGTCACAGGCAGTGATCGGCCGGGCACACACAATACATGACGTGCGAACGGATCTTACCAGGGACACAACCACAGAAAGATGAACTCAAGAAGGTAAAGCGGAGCCATTCACAGAAGCAGGCATGCAGGCAGGTCTGATGGTGCCAGTGACGTTCTTCTAAAGCCCAGAGATCACACTAATAAGCAATAACAGCTCTCCGAATTCACAACTAAACATACGATAGGCGTACTTCCGGGGCCGTCAAACAATTGCCCAACCGAACACGATGGACCACCTTTTAAAGAAGAAAACGGCGCAACGCGGTGCACAGGGACAAAGAAACGCAAAGGAAGCGAAGTGCAAGATAGAACAATAAGTCCACAAATTAGCCGGTGCCGATAAGTATGAAACAGAAAGTGATATAAGTGCAGAACTGATGGCTTCAAGTGCTCCAGTGTCCACATCCAAAGCAGGCATAAATCGAAGTCCACAAGCAGCGCTTCAAAGCCGCATACGCGGACGAATCCCCATTGATTCTGTGGTCCAGGAGTCGGTAGCGATGACTGGCAGGAGCAGGAACGGATGAGTTCAGTGGCTTCGATGCCAGGAGCGCTGGATCAGGGGATGGCGTCGAGTCGATCCAGGAACACGTGGTCGAAATGTGTCGCACAACTTCACAGCCCTTAGGCAGCGGACACCAGCGTATAAGTCTCCATACTAACGAATGCCAACATCTGCGTAAAAAAAAAACTATGGCATAGAGCAAAGGTGTGACTGATTCTCTATGCCTTTCAGCTGTCACTGAATAAGTCTCCTGAACTGTTACCCAACAGACTTGAAAACAGGTGAATGTTTAGCTATAAGTTTTTCAATTACGTCAAGCACACTCTTTACAGCTTCGCACTTGCACGAAACTTGACGTATCACATCCAATTACACAGCAGTGGAACGCCCGAGCTGGTTTCCTCCCGCCGCCCTGACCGTTCGGTCCCACTCTGCACCCTCCCCGTGGCAGTCGCCGACTCCATGCGGACCTGTCGCGTGGCGGAGCCGCGGCGGCCGGCGGCAGCGGCGGCGGCGCGCGCGCCGGCTAGTTCTGGCAGCACTGCCGGCGCACGTTATCCGTATTGACCGTGGGCTCCACGTGAATCGACTTGACGTTGTGGGTGGGCGAGTCTTCGTCAGCCGGCTCGCGGATCTGTTTCTGCGAGACGATCCGGTATATCTCTGCAGCGGGCGCCGGCCGGCGGTGTCAGAGGCGGGCAGCGCCGAGCGGAGAGGAGGCGGCAGCGCGGCCACACACACACGGGGTGCTCAGTCACACACACTGACGTGGACACCAGGTGACGACGGAGACCGGACAGACCGAGGGCCACCACCAGCAGGATGTGTGTGCGGTCCAGTTCGGATCTCGAGTACAGACTCTGACCGGCCTCGGACGAGCGAGAAGGACGGATGATGGAGGCGCCGGCGGCCACAGAGGGCGGCACTGGGCGCCGCGGTGCCGAGGAGAGCAGTGGTGGTTGGTTAGTGGGGTGGCCGGTGGGAACGGCCACACGGCCGGTCAGCTCGGGCACAAATTGCAGCGACACTCCACGGCACACAACAGAGCCTGTCTACAGCTGTACACTCATCGAGCGGCATCAGACCTGACGCAGAGCCTAGTCAATCGACTGATCGACAACGTGAAACTGACTTGGGCCGTCTGCGAGATATTGTGATCTATGATGAAAGCAATGGTTCGATCAAAGTATCACCAGCAAAGTGAATGAGCAGCTGAACATATAATAATGTCGTTAAACTTACAAAGCACTTACTGACCCCGTCCAGCTTTAAATTAAAATGCGTATCAATCAGCATTTGTTGATAGTGTCCTCGTCTCTAAACAGAACCAATGAAAACTAAAATGAGATTAACTTGAAAATTATGCATGCTAAAAAGAAGTCAGCGACAGAGATCGAGCCCAATTTCGCCAACCAGTGTCCAATTTAGAACGGCATCACGAAACTCTACTCCCTGAGCGCGGAAAAATCATTACTGAATTAGCGCCATCTTTCGTGCATGTCACCTGTCCACCAAACTTCGTTTAGGAGGCACGCTATCTTTGACATACGCGCCAGCGGTTCCACTGAAATCGCTCACATGGGAGACTAAAAATAGATAACACCGATTCACAACCCTGGTAGCTCCCAGCCTTTCCAACAAAACGACATATAAACGATAAGTGATACCCCTGTAGCACCCAACCTCTCGTAACAAAACGATACCTGTATAGCACCCAATCCTCTCCTAACCAATGACAATTGATAGGTACTGCGTTAGCACCCAGTCTCTCTGTAGCACCCAACTAGCCTCTCCTAACGAATGATAGGTACTGCGTTACACCCAGTCTATTCCAAAATGACGCACTACGTAGACCAGCTGCCGTCCGTACCTGTGAGAATGTTCTGGAAGGCCGTTTCGACGTTGGTCGAGTCCAGAGCCGAGGTCTCGATGAAGCTGAGCGTGTTGCGCTCGGCGAAGGCCTTGGCCTCGTCGGTCGGCACGGCTCGCAGGTGTCGCAGATCCGACTTGTTACCTGGTGATACACAGGGAGGCGGGTGAGCACACTGAGGAAGGGGAATCGATACTGCAGAGCCGGACAATCTACCGGAGCATACGGGGTATGCGTGTCATCGGATAGTCGGGAGTGATGATAGAAGTACGGTTCATTAACTTTTCATCCGCTTTGGTTTCGTTTCATATATGTTTTATCAGCAATACGATACTTTCATTAAAGGGACTATCCCACCTTCTAAAATGTTGTTAAAACCAGTTAAATTGTGCCCGACTTTATAGATTGGATGACCAGGAACACAGTTCTGGCATTTATTTTTCATTAAACATCTTAGGCTTCCCATATTCCAAACACAAACTTTCAAATATGTGACGTCACAGCCCAAAATTACCTCCTTCCCCAGGCCACATTACTGTCATAAAGCTGATTCTTTTTACTCTGTAGGCACCACAACAAAGTTCAGACCAAGTTTTAAGCGATTTTTCAACGAACAAACCCATTTAAATCAGAATGACTAAACGAGGTGACGTCACACTAACGGTCGCTCCATGTTGAAGATAGAGCCTTGTACAAGGCCCATTTTCAAATGAAGGGAACGAATTTCTTCAACACCAAGAGGCCGCGGGGGTTGCAACCTAGATAGATAGTGGTTTCTGAACCTCGCCGCAAACTTGGCTATCTCAACTCAAACCCCATGTTAAAGGTGGGATAGTCCCTTTAATATGACGTTCCCTGAATCTTGATGGGCATAAAACTATATCATTTAATCATTCCGCACACGTCGAAAGAACACATCAAACATTGATCAAGTACCGACCATCATACTAAAGAGGAGGGCCCATCTGACCTCAAATAACAAGTTCATCCACAAGAAGCGGAGCACCGTTCCACACTCCTCAGTGCGACGACAGCATAACCCAGCATTAAGCCAGTATAACGTCCATATGCGGTCGCACCCTCCCCCTCCCACCCGGTCAGACACGGTTCCCCGAATCACGGCCCCCGGCGCTGCCAGACCGCCCGGCGGCGACCCATCAGAATGTGACTGTGTCACGCACCGCCGAACCAGCTCTGCTCCCTGTCCCCGCCAGTGCCACCCCGCCGTCCGACCGCTGGGCTTCCGTCCCATCCAGCCACCCCACCGTCGGGCGGTCCCCGACCTCCGGATGTACCGCGTTCAGCACACCGGACAACAGCTTCATCCCAGCACCGTCAGGAGGGCGACTATCAATTCCGGACCTCGCGTCGGTAAGGCCGAGACCCAGCGCTCTGCGCACCACGCAACGACCCAATGAATGAACTAACGACGGTCGATCCGAGGAGAGTCATATGAGTGATACTCTGATGGCCAATGACTGACGTACTGGTGATGACGACCCAACCCTCCCGCTATAACGGCAGTGCACATTAGGGGAGGCGGCGCTGACGTCACCTAACGAGTCTGGCGCTGCGACCGCCCGCCGCGTGTGCCGTATCGGTTTAATCTCAACGGAAATGCTGGATACGATAGGACGGCGTTGGCACAATGCTGTCGTCGTGCCGACATCCGCGGTTGGCATTCGGCGATGCACAAGCACGTTTGACAGAACGAATGTCGCAACATATCTCCCCTTGTAACACTGCTAAGTCTCATGAAACATGCATCTGAAAATCCCTCTGAGCCGTGACAAATCTATCTCCAAAACCTTACCCTCTCATCATAAAGCTAGCTAACTTCAACTGTTCAACACCAATTGGCATTACACGCTCGCTGCACGCCGCTACCCGGCGCCCACCGCCGGGCCCACTCCAGCCGCCCACGGTACATAGAATACTAGGTAACACCGGTTTGTCCGCTCAACACAGGGCCAATGGTCACCACTTTCTTCAGCTGACGTCTGTGACCTTGAGCTGACCTAGGATGATAAACAGCTGACAATTTAGGCCATTTGGAGCTCACTTGACAGCTGAAGTGCGTGATTTAAAATATAAATATTTGTCAGGCACTGACAAAAGATATTATTCACCAGTCATTTTTTAAGCACATTCTGTCATAAATTAGTTGACTCCCTCTGGTCTTCCACACGGCAGAAAATGCAAGTGCAAATTCTGCCGTCTTGAAGTGAGCCAAACGCTTATGATACACATGATCGTTTCTCTCAAATCACAACGGAAACTGCGAGAAAACAAGAGAGAGTCGGACTCTACAAATGAATGAATTTGGAAGAAAAATAGCTGTATTTTTTCCTGTGGAAATGTTGACTTTGAAAACATTGGCCATCAACTTTAAAATTGCCCCCAAATATGAAAATGTGTGAATTGACAAAACAGGCAATCTTGCTGTTTTTGCCCAAGTTTGTTCATGATTGAGAGAGATTCGATGCGAAAATGCACTGATATATACTTTTGGAAGCGAGGTCTCGATCAGTGTATTAATTTTGATTTTTAACTTAACGCTAGTCCCACTTTTCCCTCCAAGAAAATATATTTGTCAATTTTTCAATAATCATATTATGCGTCATTACTTTACAAATAAAGAGAGTCGGACCGTAATTCTTTCAAAATGACTGATCGTGCTCAATATCTATCGGAATATATCAACAGATTGGCCAGACTCATTGGCTAAATATGTTTAAATTGCATTTTTCTTACTTTCTGCAGAATTTCCTGCAAAATTTTACTGTAGTTTAAGCTGCGTTTCCTGCAGATTGTGTTCACAGACCAATGGGAGACAAGTATTTCTTCATCAACAGGTTTATTCGCCATCAATTGGTCTAGCTGGTGTTTTTCGTATGCGCAGCTTATGTCACAGCTGCGTAAGAACACGTTCGCTTTAAATCATTATGGGTATTTCTTTTCGGAATATCAAAGGTCAATGTTGATGTGTTTCATAAGATTTGTGGTGGCGGGATTATCGTCATTAACTAATTACTTGATAGGGAGTGGTGTAATTCCCGCACGACTGTTGACTTTCATTGTAATTGCCTGAGCTGGTTCCTGGGCCGCCTCAGATAGCAGGATGGTGTGTCAAGTATCAACTTGACAGGAAGGTGGGTACCCAGACACTGAAATTTCTGTGTAATTTGCGCCAAAAATTAGGTACCTTTTTGTGCAAAAATTAAACCCTTTTTATATAAAGCACATGTGCACATCTACTGATCAAGGCTATATCAAGGCTATGGCGTCTGCCGCCATGCGCCGAATTAGGCGCATGCGAAGTTACCTACGCCGGACATGCGCTGAAATTTTCGGCGCAATCCCGCCACTATGCCGGACATATTAGGCATAACGTGTATTATTTCCAGTCTGGTACAAAACAAAAATCAAACCTTACCTAACCTCATGTTGCATGTTCATATGAACTGTAGATCATATGTTTTTTTGAAAAAATACCCATCTTTCATCCTTTCAGCATACCTACAACCTACTAAACAGCCTTGGTATCAACCTAGCATTCATACTTTATCTGCACATACATATTGATATATGTGGTATGTTTTGTCCAGTAGGTTATATGTGGTAGGTGAGCCGTCAGGTGCCTACATGCTATCATTTGTCATGCTTTGATTTCAGATGGTGTCTTGTGGGCTTTATAGTGGGCTTTGTGGCCCTCGTGCAAGGGTTAAGTGTTGATGCACATAATGCAATGTGTTTTTTCCATGGGCGCAGGAACCTCACGTAAAGTTTGGGGGGGGGGGGGGCAGAGAACTTCAATGTCACTTTGTGGGAACCGTAATACCCCTATGAACAAATTCTTTGCAGTTTCGTGCTCATCTCACCTTGCCGAACCATTTCTTGCTCTTAGTTTTGAATTTAAATGAAAAATAAATATTTTACTTTAAAAATTAGCATAGCTGAAAAGTGGGGGCATGCCCCCCCCCCTCCGCTCCTACGCCTATGGTTTTTCTTAATGGTACAAATCATCCACATTCATATGTGAAGGGTAGGTAGCTACCTACAGAACCAAATCAATGCCTCAATTGCTCATTGATTTCTTACAATAAGTCCCTCCTCTGCCAATCGCACTTAAGTATCTACTGTCACAATGCAGTGTGCGTCATGATTTCTCAACTCTATGCAGTGCTTACAATATATTTCCATTTGTCAATCACATATTGTTTTTTTTTTACAGGCTTTCCGGTTATGACTGAGGCCGGCATCTCACCTGTCCTGGCTACGCCAAATCACTGCGGATGCCGGATGCCGAGGACCGGAGAGCCAACCGCTTTGAGGCGTGAGCTCTGTGGCGTGGCTCGAGTGACGGCTACGGCGCCGTCGACCTGGTTGAATAGCTGGGGCCTGGACGAGGGTCACAGGGTGCCCTTAGTACGGTGGCCAATCGGTTACGTCCGAGGGGCGCTCGAACACGCTGCCGTCGCGTGGCTGCCGGCGGCCGCCCACTCGCACGTGAATCTTCTGGAGCGAGGACTGCGAGAGGCGGCCGCATCATCACCTGTGTCCGCGCTCAACACCGTGCCACGCACTAATGGCGGAAGCCCGACTTTCTCCGATGGAGGAGAGAAGCTGGACGCTGGCTGCCAGGCTGCTGGGGAGGACGCTGGCTCTGCCATCAGGGGACCCCCTGCGCGCGACCGCCAAGGCCTCGGCACCGGCGCGCCTGTCTTCGGTCCGAGGCTGGAGATTGCGAGGCCGCCAGGCCTGGGCGAGAGCGAGAATCCCACCGTGTCAACAGACGGCTGGCGTCACCTTCCGGTTGGACGTGTGCCCGATCCGGGCTGGGGCCACGGCGGCGGAAAGGGAAAGCGTGGCTACGCTGCACCTCGCGTTCCTGCCCCTGTGTGCTGTCCGGCTTTGGACGGACGGATCTGCGGAGGGCGGAGTCTTCAGGTGCTGGGCGGGAGCCGTGCTGGTCTGGCTGTATTTGTATTTGTATTTGTATTTACATTTAAGAGCGATCCACATACAAAGTGCGTGGCGATTACTGCTCAGAATCCGTATCCGCGGCTGCTGATCTAATCATTCAAAACATTTGCACATTCACGAGGGTGCCCTTAGTACGGTGGCCAATCGGTTACGTCCGAGGGGCGCTCGAACACGCTGCCGTCGCGTGGCTGCCGGCGGCCGCCCCGCGAACAAGGACAAGGCTGGACGAAGAGGCCGAGGAACTGCGGGCCCCGGCCGGAGAGCTGTGCTTTAGCTACCGCGCGGAGATGGTGGCGCTGGTGACCGGTCCGGAGACCCTACTCGGAAGAGACAGAGACCAGGACCTGCGTTCCGTACCTATCTGCTAACTGTGCGGTGGTGCTGGTGTAGTGCAGCATTTTTGGATGGATAGCTACATTTCACGATTAAATAGCTGTTACGTTTCAGTGCAGGTGGCGTGACGAACAATGTGGTAGTTATCTGTTGGCCACTTCTGCGGCCGCTGCTATTTCCTACTCGAAGGCGGGCGCGCTGTTTGGCTGGGCCGCCAGGATGTTCCCATTATGTGTCGACGACAAAGCGAGTGAATTCGTGTTCTTTTAATGCACAGAGGTCTGTTGTTGTATATTTGAAGTTTTATTTTAAGTTGACGATTGCGAAGGGCAGATTCATCTTCTCTCTTTCATTTGTGTTGCCACTTTATCGTTCAGGTTTGTTATAAGTGTCCATGCGGCTTGGTTGTCATCTTTATTTCTGATGTATTTTATTTTACGAACATGCTGGCGATCAATGCAATACACTTTTGGTTAATAATGCTGCTTTAGCTCTGATCCCTTGTGGTATGTCTTGACTGTACTACTGCGATAGCGATTTTTCCTCACCAAAATATGCAGGCAACCAATGTAAATGCTGCCAAAAGTTTGTCATTACGTGATGTATCTTAAAAACATCGAGTTCCTGAACGTGGTCGTGTACTACGTAACCGGAAACTCAATAGGACGCAGAATTCTGTGAAGCAAAACTACAGAAGTGAGGCTGGCCACGCCAAAATCAAGTGAGATATGTCTAGCCTTTCTTCAGCCGCCAAGGCTTCGATAGACTATCCCCGGGTTCGGTGTCTCTCGAACTACGAAGATTTAACGTCGTCCGGCCAATCCTGGTTAAGGTCAGCGGGGATTTAGCTGTGGTTATGGAACAGGATTGGCCGTCCGAGAGACTCCGAACCTGGGGTATGTTGCAGCACAGCTATGTCGACCGAGTGTCGTCGCAAGCTGCACCACTAGACGAGAACAAATAAAACCGTCCCGTCCTAGGCTGACTAGGCTTAGCTAGGTGGCAGCACAGTCGCGCCGGCAGGGGGCAGTGCCACAACCAGCCGACTGATATTTTCGTGTGACGTCAGAACCGGTGCCTCCCTGCAGCCGCCCGACCGACCGCGGCGGGTCAGCTGACCAGCGGATCAAGCACGGCGCACAAAGCGGCGGTCGGTCGGCCGGCCGGCCGGCTCTGGGGCGACCTTGACAGCACGAATGGCGCAACAGCCGGGCCACATCGGGCGCATCCCGGCGGCCGGCAACCGGCCAGCCGCCTCTGACCGGCCTCCGCGCCGCACCGCGCGATCGGCCGCCTTTCTGGCCGATACGCGCTGATAAGGCGTGTAGTGTTCGGTGCCGGTTGATCGGTGGGGCGAGAGGCACGTGCTAGGCCGTGGTTGGGAAGACAAGCGGCGTGGTGGTAGGGCAAGTAATGGCATGGTTAACTGATGAGCGGTGAATCCACGACGGTCGTGCGTGACACGCCGACAGCTGGGGTCGGCGTGGGACGGTATCACGGGCGGCGGCGGCCCAGCGGCGGGCCGTGTGTGGGCCGGTCGGTCCGCGTGACGCCCCCCACGTCACGGACCGGCCAGTGCAGACACCGGACACCGGGCCAGGAGCGCACGGCTGGCCGGTCAGCGGGCACAAACACTCCAGCCCTCCGACAAACAGAGCCCAGCCGCCGGCAGAGCCGGGCGCCGCGCCGCCTTATCAGACCAGAGCCCCGCGGGGAGCCATCGCTGCAGTCGGCGACATCCCCAACCCGACCGGCAGCATAGAGCCGCTATACTTGGACGTCGCCAGCTGGAACCGATCCGGCCGTCACAAGCTACACCATTCATTCAAACCGATGACCTCTCCGTGACCTACAGCGTGACCTCTAACCTCCCGTGGGCCCCGTCAGGAACACAAAGAGACGTTTGGCCACCGCCAATGGAACCTGGACAGCCACGCGAAGCGAATTTCCTGGCGTCCCGACGGGTGAAATAAGGATGAATGTTCCATCACCACTGACGGTGGCCACGCCCCGTATCGCGATGGTCCGCGGTGGCACCAAGCAGCGCCGTCTGTTCCGCCGAACCGTAATATGTCGACGTGATACCCATTTCACACCGCGACCCCGACAGGTTATAGAGTAGGAGGGGCATTGCAGTCGCCACCCGCCGCGTATCTCGCATACCTGAGGCATTAAATCAATGTCGAGTCCACGCCTTGTGCACACTACACCTCTTATCAACCGACCGGAATAATGCTATCAATGAGTGGTGTGATGTGTAAATACAGTCAGCCAGACAAAGTGGCGTGAGCTAATTCATCGACAAATCACATTTCCTCCCTGGTGAATCATATTATCTTCCCAACAAACACCGACAGACGTCATTGTCTCGACAAAATCGCATTAGAACTGCCAAAAGTTACATAAAAAGTTTGTGCGCCGCCATGACGCCATTGCGATTGCGCATACCTCAGGCTCTGATAAGAACATTGGCTAACTAACCGACAAGAACCAACAGTGACTCGGTACATTCAGCTCTATCGAACGCATGATTGGCCCGCTCAGGACCACTCGAAGGTCCGACGAGCATAGGAACGACCGGTACTTTGGCGACTGAGAACGAGACTCCCTGACGATAAGAAACCTGACAGATCAGCTGGGAAACCAGCAAATATCGCAACAAATTCCTACTTTAAGACGAAAAGATATGTAAACCTCGAACGGTCGAGCCCCGAAACGTAAAAAAAGGAAAACGAAATTCCGGGAGAAGTCTACCGGAAAAATTACCAAAAATGTCTTGGAACCCATTGCAGCTCCCGTCTACTTCACAATATTGCAAAACTGGCCGTTTGGCTAGCTTTCCATCGCGCCTAGGAATAAACGCAATACAACGATAACAGACTCTTCCTTTCATCCCAAATACTCGCCTACCAAACGGCATCTACGAAGTACGACATTCTTTCCTCCCCATACCCACCACCCTTCCCATGCATCTATATTCTCCAGCCAGCGCCCCCCCCCCCCCCCCCAGGCGTATCACTGACCTACGAGCATGATGACAATGTTCTGGTCGGCGTGGTCGCGCAGCTCCCGCAGCCAGCGCTCCACGTTCTCGTACGTCAGGTGCTTGGCGATGTCGTAGACGAGCAGCGCCCCCACTGCACCCCGGTAGTAGCTGTAGGCCGTAGGGAGTGAGGGAGGTCATTGGCGAGGTCCGAACTTCTCAGTGGAGGGCTGAACAGTGGAGAGGGGTTGGCTGAATGATCGCACAGCGGAAAGTAGGAGAGTGGCAGGTAAACCACTAACACAAATAGCTACTTTAATATAAGAACATTCATTGAACAGCTCAGGTTCAATCTTATGCGTCAAGTCATAAATAATGGAGATACAAAATAGCAACTATGGTTACCAGAGACATAAGTGTTGCATTTCCAAGTTAAAACCACCTCCATGAGTTCATAGTTAAACACAATTTAAACAACTTGAAAACTGATGATTGACATCATCACCTGAGTCACATCACATCTCTCACAATCACATCTCTGGTAATGTGAGCTCACCACCAGACCCAAAGCAGTTTGTCAGTCAAGAACTTACGCTGATGTGATGGCCCTATACCTCTCCTGGCCGGCAGTGTCCCAAATCTGTGCTTTTATCGTCTTTCCATCAACCTGAGGCAGACAAGAGCTTTGTTAAAACAATGTCACAGGTTCATTCAGTTCAGCACAAAACCATGGGAAACATATCATGCAATTTACTGCATTTTTTCATACTATGGGTAGGTAGATTAGATCATTGTCAAACAGATGCTCTTGCAATTTTTTAGTGGTAAGTAATAAAACACTTAAAACTCAATCTAGTGAATGGTTGCAGTGTCCTAAAAGGACAATTGGCCTTAACACAGCACATTTTCACTACTTACTGATATACTCCTAGTGGCGAATTCCACACCAATGGTAGACTTTGACTCTAAGTTAAATTCATTTCTTGTGAATCTTGAAAGCAGGTTACTCTTTCCCACACCTGAGTCTCCAATTAGAACAACTGTGAACAGAGCATTGACATGTGACTTTTGTAGAAAACTGAACAACAACACTTTACAAATGGCTAGTTTGCAATACAGAAAATACTAGTTTTTCTGGTCACCAAGTAAAATCACATGCAATGAGAGCATTTTGTTTATTATTGGTATAAACTTTTATTAGCTAAAACAGCTTGATTTAACCCAATTCAACATTATAGACAGATACAAAATCTTTGTAAACAAACAACACATCCCAAAGGTACACACATTACTGATATACTAAAAACAATGCCATGTGATTCTCACCTTTGAACAAATAGTCATACTCATCATCCCTTGTGTTACTCATGGTGCACCTTTACAGTGAGACAGGATACAGAAGACACACACTGTTGCTTGCAATCAGTCAGGTGCCTGGAAATGAGAACATGTTAGAGCAGCATAGGCAACCAATGAACACATTAATTGCACAATTGATTAACCCGCGCCCTGCTGGGGGGGGGGTGTTTGAACACCCCCCCTTGTGGTTTTTCGCGAATATCTCAAAAACGGCGGCGCGGAGCGCCGCCGTTTTTGGTACACCTTATCATACATCAATTCTACACATGTTGTGAAAATTTCAGACCAAGGTCATTCAAGGTCAGGTCACCAGGTCACTTGAAGTGACCTCACCTCATAAAAAGTTTCAATGTCTGTCATAGCTACACCGAGTGACCGATCGCTTTGAAACTTTCAGCGATTGCTAAGAGCAATAGCATGTACAAAATGTATATCTCAGAATTTTGATATCGATGACCTAAGGTCAGGTCAATTTTGCGACCTCCCCATTATACGTCAATGGGAGAAAATTGAAATGCGTCTCTTTTGGACGAAAGACATTATAAACACTCCCAAACACTGAATTACAAGTGGTTTAGACACACTGAACATGAAAATGGTGTCCGTGACCCCTGTTTATGCCCTGAGGTCATCTTAGGTCACGAATGGTATCTAACAGTTTTTCGCAAATAACTTTTGATAGAGGCATGCTAGAGCGATGAAAACGCCTTAGATGTGTTCAGCTCGACGATACGGATCGACTGATATGCAACATGACCCTTTCCGGTCAGGTCATGACCTTGACCTGAGGTCAAATTTTCAAGTTGACCTTTCAAGGTCAAGTTATAGTTCATTCGATGCGTCTTGACAAGAGGAACACGATGCCGGTAAAAGTAAGCTCGTACAAGACTTGGGTCAAAAGTTATTGCAGAAAAACTGTTTCCGAAAAAATCGGCTATTTTTGCAGTTTTTGCCCCCTGCAGGCAAAACCGTTCACGTTAGGTCAAATCTGAGAACATTACTCAGAAAGGGCGTTAATAGGGCTATCGAATCCACTTTTCCGCGGCGCTGTAGCTCTATTGGTTCCCGAGTTATGCGTTGGCTTCTTGGAAATTGTCGACATTCGACCTGGAAATCGGCGAAATTTTGCCTTCAATGACCTCTGGTGACCTGACCTTTGACCTGACCAAAAAATTGACCGAAGTGATTTCCTCATTATTTTTTACGCTCTTTCGAACGCCGCCTTCCGCGTATCGCTACGTGGCCCAGGAGCCGAGTTAGAAGGGGGGGGTGTTCAAACACCCCCACCCCCCAGCAGGGCGTGGAAATCCAGGACCCCCAGCAGGGCGCGGGTTAAAGAGGGTTGTAGGGTTATATTGCTATGTCAGAAATTCCATTATCCATAGTACACCACAGTCCATGGCCCATTTTCCAAAGTCCATGGTCATGGAATCCATGGCCTGTGTCCAACAGCTCATGGTCATGTTTCCACATGCTAGCTGGTGGCTCATGGTCCCAGGTCATTGGTCTCTGGGTTATGACTTTTGGGTGTTAATGCAAAGTGTCAAACATCAATGGGATCTAAAGTTAACTGATAGGCACTTCAGTAGGTATGTCCTGCCTGGTCAATGTTGTGTTTATGTTTACATGACAAGATATGCTTGGTATTTGTACACCAGACCAGAGATGATCAATTAACTAGTATAATAACTTGAATGACAGTGACATTATCATGCATTTCACAGTGGCTAAGCTACAGTTCTGTAACATGAGACAATATATATGAAATTGTGCAGAAACTAGTATATGGCAATGCCATTGTTCATAAAAGCTGCATCTGGATTCTGGAACAATTCTGTCTATCTCCCGCCTATATCAGACGAGCATTTAGTAGGCCCCAACACCCGACTGGAAAAAATGCCTCCACTACGCTGAAGTTCTCGGCGGAGGTGATGCGCCGAAATTTCGGCGCAAGGGTTTATGCGCCGAAATTATTTTACCAAGCCATGCTTCATGCGCCGAAAATTTTCAAGGCTTACTGATGGCTGCAGGCTGTAGCCACGCACTTTTCGTCGAGGGGGGGGGGGGCTGGCGTGTGTGTGTGTGGCTGTCTTCCAGTGACTACTGTCTACAGACGGTTGTTGGCACGGTCGACGGGATCGGGCAGACAATAGACATCAGCAGGCCATGCGGGACCGAGCACCAGCGTTCGCTATCACAAAATCTCCTGACTCACAAACTCACTGGCATGTTCCATAACGTAACCTTTATTTTGTTGCCCGGCTCTGATAAGCAGTAGTGCCCAACCGGTGACTGACGCCTGACGGGGCCTTCAACAGGCGTGGTGCAAGCACGGCCGATGGGATCGGGCAGATACCAGGCCACGCGGGACCGATTGCCAGCGTCCGCTCGCAAACCACACGCCGGAAATACAGGAATCACAACGGTCAATACGCACACGATAGCATACGTTATCTGAACTAGGGAATCCGACAATCCATAACCTCACTCGCGACCGGTGAACTGTTCCCGCCGTGGGAGAGTCACAATCAGGTTCACTGAACATGACTTAAATACCCTGAGACGAACACGAGACAAGATAAGTGATATTTAAGATGTTTAACTCCCGAAGACATTTAATCCTCGCCGGCCGAGGGGGGTTGGTGCCACTCCCCGACGGTTTTTTTCGCGATTTACGCCGAAGTACGCCGAAAATTTCGGCGCAAGCCGTCGATTTACGCCGAAGTACGCCGAAAATTTTCGGCGCAAACGCCCAACTACGCTCGAGTTCTCGACGAAAGCGTGCATTTTTTCCAGTCGGGCCCCAACATCCCTCAAGACAGGTTTACTGCTCCCCCGTGTATCACCCAGTGATTTCCTATTCTGGACCATCAGTAAGCCACTTTCATTTTCCTTGCGTTATGAGCAACTTAATTGCTTAATTGCTTCCAATACCAATTTATACTCAGGTCAAGACACAGTTCAAGTCATTCCATTGCAAAATGCATGCAAATGTAACGAAATGCACACCAACTCCCTTTCAATTAGCTCAGAAGTTACATATGACTTATCAGACAAGACTTCTTGTTGGATCGAGTCTTTGTACAAAGATGTCAATTAGTAAATCACTTATCTCCACTTTGCCATACCGCTTCCAACCATTCCTACCACACAAACAGTGAAAATTTCAAATGAAACCCTAGGGACCCTTCATCAAAATCAAAATAATGAGGAAGTAATCAATTACGTTGCTGTTTTGTTCAGTGGTCAGCGTCATACATAAAGCAGCAACATTCACAGAACGGATTGAGATCCCTGTGCAGAGTTGTTCTGAACATCAGGAATCAATATACTCTAACAATTTTAACTTAAATGCCTTAGAGTTTCGTACCATTCATTAAAAAACAATCTAATAATGATATGATGACGCATCAGAGATTCGAAGAATGTGAATGAGGCGAAAGCGCCGGGGACTTGTGCACACTGCACAAGGAATAACACAAGAGATATTGAGCTGACATTCAGGATTACAGTGCAGGGTATTAAAGTAAACATTTATGTACCTTGCAAACTACGCAGTGAAGCACACATTAACGAGAAAACATGTAATGTAGGCGGCCACACACCACACCGCCGCAAAAATGGAGTAGCTGGTGACGCCCCTGCGCATGCGCAAAAGCAGCGACTCAGACTCAAGGAATCGGCTTCTAATAATGGGCCACTAAATTCTTTTTACGGTGAGTTTTCATAATTAAACCGTAAACGGCAATACAATTTATCGCCTTAGATCAGCATCATACCATCGCTAGCTACTGTAAATCTTTTATTACTATTCATCTATACTTTTCATGCTATGTCGTGTTATATTTACACTATAAAGACTTGTTTTGCTTCATTAAGGTTCAGAGCCGGTCATCATGTGGGCCTCCATGGGCCTGACTGATCCATCGAAATAAATCCGCAGGTCATCAAAGTTTCAAGAAGACTTAGCTTAAGCTTGCAAGAAAACCCCTTCAAGTTTCTCGTCGGAGTAACTTGGAACCCATATAGCGAACGATCATAGCCATTCAGTCAGCTGCTACTTTTTCGCTTCTCACGGTGATCATCAGGCGACAACCCACAATTTTTTATATATTTTTTTTTTATAAATTTAGTCCGTATGGTTGAATGGGTGGATTTGAGGAATCAGAGCCCGCACTAAGCATAGGTTGTTGTGCTGACCCTGACCCCACCACCCGATCGCGCAATTCCAGTTGTATGGCAGGATTTTGTGCCCTCACGACTGGACACGGATTTGCTTTCGAGCAATTGCTTTCGAACATCTATGCGTATGCACACTGCCCAGCCACTTTGCTTCACTAAGAATCTCTCCCTCATTGCCCAAGACAACGGTTGGCAGGTACCTACATCCTTGCCTACATCCATCAGTTGTAGTGAATGAAACGCCCGTTTCGGCTCAGTCGATAGCAGGCACCAGATTGAGAATCTGTAGCATGCAGGATTAGGCAGAAAGTGCAGATTTAAAAAAAATGTGCGTATAACTACAAAATACGTATAGAAGCGGGTGACAATCTCTATATCACAGAGTCGTCAACAACTTATAATCACGAGTTATCTGGGCGGCGAGAAGCCTCCAGCGGTTCAGGCCACGGCCAAACGGTTCATGTCCACCATAATATCGTAATATTGCACAACCAGTCACACAGGTCGCTGTAGTAAACGTATCACAGTGATAAACTGATTTTCGTTCAGAGCACAACGGACACCAAGCAACCTGGCTCGTTGTTTCTAACTGGGACCGTTCTCGTCTCTCGCTAGCGTATCCCGTAACCAGCGTATTTCAGCAACACAATCGCAATTGGTCGTATCTGCCCAGTCACACAGCAACGACACCGCTATTGAAGTATGCAAGCTACCGGACACCAGCACAACATGTCGAGAGCGAACTGAGTGGCGGTGGAAGTCATTCGTCATCGCAACACGAAAGTGGACCAAATTTATCGACCAGATATAGTGTCCGTAATGAAACACCAGCGAGCGATGCCATGGACGGCGGACGCAGGCACGACATTGCTAGGTAGGCGAGATAGGTCTGACAAAACATATGTCATGTAACGAGAGGAGGAAGACACTGGGAGCACCCAGAAATGGATACCGTGCCAGTAACGTGACACTCTTCAACAAAGGTCCACGCTAATAAAAACGGAATTATTACGTCAGAATGAGACCATCCGATAGAAATGTGCATATCCCATGCGTAATATAGCCGGTACAATGGCGTGACATAGCAATATTGCTCCACCTTGATGACAAAGCCGCGAACCGCATAAAGCTCTCAGTAATCCCACGGTGGTAAAAACGCGAAGCGTCATAGACACTGGCCAAGCAACGGACGGAAAACGAGAGGTTAGCAATATCCCTGTGAACTGGACCAGTAACCTCTTGGGAATGCGACTGTAACCGATCAAATATCACTCGAACTTTGGGTGGTCCATTGCAGCTTCGTTACCACTGGCCACATAAATGACACTCTCGCTCTAGCATATCACTATGTAATCTTTTCTTTCTCATCAGCAACGACGCTGTTTTAGTAATATCATATGCCTACCTACCTACCTACCTAGCGCTACATACATTTGAGCCTTACACTACAGTTGTCCCACTATCAGCTTGTGGCTCGTCGCCGGTGTAGCTCCGCCTGATCGGTGTGTCTCGAATCACTTCTGTCATCCGTCCTGTCAGAATCTCCGCTACACACATCCAGATATTCGGTTTGTCCTCCATTATCAGCTGTCTCACTCCAGTCTCCCGCAAGTCTCTCACTGTCACCCGGCTGTTCAGACACCAGTCTGGCACAGTCTGACGAACCAGTCTGGGAGTCTGTGGACATAGTCTCGGAGTCTGTGTCGTCAGACTGCAGCGCGGACACCCTCAGCTGGGCCGGACGGCGGTGACCGAGGCCAGACTCCACGGCAGTGCCCCGTTCTGGCTCCAACTGGTCCTGTGACGTAATAGGTGCGATGTTACATACGGTAGGCACCGACACAAGTTGAGGCGCTGTTTTTTTTTTGAGGTAATTAACTGTATTTTACGAAGGCAATGCATCCCTGGTGACTTGTTTTGCTAATACTGCTACACGAGGAAACCGTGCACATCATTTCCACGGCATTGTTGCGGTATGAATCAGCTAATTTGGGTGAAGCTAGGGATCTTTTGTAGCACGACTCTCCACTTTGCATGTTTTAAAGTACCTGTTAGTTACATAACCATAAAGGGAAAATGTGCCAGACGCTAGTGTCTGCTAATTACGAATGTATGTGAAAAGACACGACCGAAATATTTACGTATAAACCCAACCCTTGCGTAACAACGTCAAAACAGCCCAAACAACCCGTATTTACCACGTAAATAAATGAACGGACACAAACCGAAGCACCGTGTGTGCCTACAGGACCAGGTTCAACAGCTGTGCACGCACTGTTTTGCTAACATTCACGGGCCGCCGGGAGGGGGACGGACGGAAGGCACAAACGTCCTACGAACGGAAGGACGGCTGTGGTCTTACCCTGTGTTTGCTGTAGGAGAGGAACACGTCCCAGATAACAGTCACCACGTTCACGTACAGCACCCGGTACCGCTCCGGCACGTAGGTGAAGTTGAGCCACTGAGTTGGTGGCCAGATGCACCAGTCAAACTGAGAACAGAACAGGCAACAGAGTCACTGCGACTATAGGCAGTACAAAATATGCAGAAGGTGTCCTCTGCAGCTTTGATAATGCCAACTGCGAACCGTAATATGGGACAATGGAAGTTTACTATCGCAGTTCCAATTAGATGTCAACGGTAAAAAAAACCTACAACCACAAAGTGGCAGCATGATAGCAAATTTAAAGGAAGACTGCCACCTTCAAAAAGTTTTCTCAGATCGGCCTATGATTTATTCCCTGGACAAAACAAAATTTTAGAATTCACCTGACAAAGTATCATCACGTGAATCGCGAAAAAAATTGTCGATTATCATACAATTATCAATCGATTAATGTCTAGCGACAATGTTTACACATCACTAGACTTCAAGGTCATAAGATTATTACATTTTATTTGAAAAAGTAAGGTATTTTATGATTTACTAATATATGATTTCATAAGAAATTGGCCATGTTTAATTTATTTTGCATTTAAGTTCGTAAAACATTTAAAAATCATGGCTCATTTGGAATGGGTCTGGCCCATGTTAAACCCCATTTCCCACACTTTTTTGGAAAAAATGAACTACTGAATATATAAGTTTAACTTTTATTTTGACACTCCAAAATTCTTCTCTGATCTCGAAACAATCAAAGATTTGACATATATTTACCAAAAGATAAGAAAATTCATGTTTCAAAGTTATCGATAAACAGTAGAGATGTCGGTTTTCTTGGACTAAAAAAATGGCATCAAACTGAACTTTGGTCTCCGATTTCTCGCAAACGGGTTCGAATTTCGGAAAACCGACTTCAGTCTGGGACATAGGTGGCTCAGCTCTAGTGAAAACCGTTTTGTGGAAAAAAGGTGGCAGTCTACCTTTAAAGACAGCTATGCGAAACTGCTGACCATCTGTAAACGAACGATTCTGGCATATTGGCTGTAAATTTGAGGTTGTACTTTTGTAATTAGTCAACAATTTGACGAAACTAAAAATAAAGACCTGATATTACCGAAAAAGAGCACTTGGAACTTCCTTTTATCATCATCCTCGCCATGCAGACTCACCAGATACACCTCCGGAAACTTCTTTTTGAACTCCTGCAGGCCGTCACGGACAGACCGCCCCTCCAGTAGGTCCATACCGACAAAGAAGGTGAGGGCGAACAGCGGCGCAGCCACTAGCTGATCGGCCAGGATCTTCAGACGGACCACGCGCGCCGTGCGGCCAGGCAGCAGTCGGTCCAGTCCCGTGTACCACCAGTGGTGCGGCGGGCCCTCGACCAGACCCACCACCAGCATACGGCCTGCCGTCAGCGGGCGCCGGTCAGACAACGGCGTGGGGATAGGAAATTGGATGAACAAACATGGGTTTTGAAGAAAAAAAGGAGATCAGACGCTGAAATGATCTGAAATCTTATAGGGAAATCAGCAATGACCGACACATAAACAGCGAACTTTTTGTACACAATATAAAGTCAATACAAAGATATGCAATTTGAGTTATATGAGCTTCATGCACAATGCAAACCTAAGTCTCATGTCATGTTCAGTCAACCAGCTCCCTGCATGTTCTTACATGGTGACACATTGAGCACATATCCATATACATTCGCACCTGTGCGCCGCCAGTTGTAGGTCTTCTCTTTATGCACGCCTCTGCGGAACTCTATCCACTGTTGGATACCGTCGCCGACAGCCAGTAGACCCCCGCTGCTGACCGTGTTGGCCACCAGAGGGTGCCGAGTAAAGAACCGACTCAGTAGGCCCATCAGAGGAGGTCACAGACAACCTGAGAAACAGACATAGTTTAGTCAGACACAATGATAAAAGCTTTTTGGACACTGACCTGACTCAAAATGTAATTAAAAAATAGCAACAAAAATAGCAAAAAAAACACATAAAAATGTAGGTCATTTTTACTATAAGGTATGACAATGATACAGGGTACCACAAAAGAAGCCAAGGTAGGTATGCATACCCCATGCCACCGAGCATCGTCATCACAAAACAACCTGGCATCTCAGATAATCACATTTCCATCTTCCAATAGGCCAGTAACCAAATCTTGTAAATCAAGTCCCATTAAGGATATTACACTAAGTGTTGACTCTCCACACTTAAGTGACAAAAGTATTAGTAAAAGCAGCCATGGATCTGGACAGTGCTTATGCCTACTTCAAAGCACAAATTGTGGAAGCCATCCAGGTATGCTCATCCAAGAGGAAGAAACATGCGAATGTGAATCTATACATGAATCGCCTGGCCTTTCAACTGAGGAAGAAGAAGAAGTTGCTTTGGAGTACCTACTGTCGTACCCAGAGGCTGCTTGACCACGCCCATTTCAAGCGCTGCAGCAACCAGCTGAGGAGGCTGACCAGAAGTTTTTGCAAGGACTATGAGAGTAAACTTGCTGCAGACCTAAAGCACAACCCAAAAGGATTCTGGAGGTACACCAACACCAGACTCCGGACCAGAAGCCACCTCGTAGCCATGAAGGACGAAAACGGTTCTGTTGTCTCAGATAGCCAGAAGATTGCCAACATCTTAAACAGATTCTTTGGCAGTGTCTTCACGGTTGAAGGACCTGGCACTACACCAACTCTAGACAGCAGCTTCAACGGCCAATCACGTCACTCGAAGATGTCAATGTGTCTCCCCAGAAGGTTGTAGCAAAACTGGCCGCATTAAACCCAAGAAGCTCCCCAGGGCCTGACAGTATCCGACCCAGGGCCAAGTAACAAGTGGCATACCACAAGGCACTGTCCTCGGCCCTGCACTCTTCAGTGTATGTTAATGATGCGCCAAAACAGGTCGCCAACAAAGTGCTGATGACACCAAGCTGTATTGCAAGATGACTGCCAACCACGATGGCCTGCAGGACGACATCGATGCTCTGGTCCACTGGTCCGACTTCCGAGACATGGCTATTCCCCTTCAGTGGTTCAAAATGTAAGACAATGCATCTAGGTTTCCACAACCCAGGTCGCACATACCACCTGAAAAACGAGTCAGACTGTTCCTCGAGTTTGGAAATGCCATCTGGGGTCCACTCTCCAAAGAAGACCGGAGGGGTGTTCACGGGCACCGCACACTGCTGCGTGCGGTGTGTGCCAGTCCTGACCGGCCACAGTGGTCGCTGTGTGCGGTGACGGAAGGCTGACGTAGGGACGCAGTGGGCGGAGCTTGGAGGCTGTGTGCGGTCCGACCGCACACAGGGCCCGTGAACAGCCCTCAGAAGAGCCTGGAGACAAGATTACTTTACTAATACCTGGTGAGGGTGCAGCGGTGCGCAACCCGCCTGACCACAGACCTGAGAGATCTGTCATATCCTGACAGGCTTCACCGCCTCGGGCTCCCATTACTGCACTACCGCTGCCGTCATGGAGATATCAGATATGGTGACCGTGTAACAGGTCTTCCATGTACTTCTAGACATGCCGTTTGAGTCACTGCTGGCAAGACATGAGTTGCAGACCACAAGAGGCCACCAGTGGAAACTGAGGAAGCAGAACACCAAGCATCCCTCTCACAGGAACACGTTTAGTGTCCGAGTTATCAAAGACTCTGCCACCCAGACTGGAAAACATCCATACACTACGCCGGACGCCCGTGAGACCCTCTTGCGCCGAAATTCGGCGCAAGTGATTTTGCGCTGAAATTTCTGTGTGATTTGCACCAAAAGTTAGGTGCCCATCTGTGCGAAAATTAAGCCCTTTTTATATAAAGCACATGTGCACATCTACCGATCAAGGCTATATCAACCAGACAGAGTGTTCCGGGGCCTTGTACGCTCTCCCATGTTTGAACGTTCGAATGAGTTTTTTTATTTCCACAGAAACCCAATACCTCAATAGTCTTAGCGCACTCTAGCTTCATGCCGTGAAACAAAGCTGGAGCCGTGAGTTCCGGGGCCACAAATTTGTGCCGATCTTAATATCGGCGGAGCAGTGTGTTCGAGGCTGGCGGGACTGGGAGTCAGCAAGGGCCGGGCAGCGGAACAGCATGTGCTCCGGCTGGAGTCCGGCACATCACCCTCTTCTCGGCACACGGCGCAGAGCGCCGCGGGGCACTGCTTTGTAGGGATCATCTACGCGATTTGTCATCTATGCGATTTGTCATTTCATGTTGTCATTTTCATTAATTGTCGCCGCTTTATTAATCAATCTGTTACCTGTTGTCAATTGCGCGTCAAGTTTGTTTGTTATTTGTAAACCGGCCTGCCGCTGGCCTCAACCTTCCTAGTAACCGCTGTGCCATACGCTTTAGAACATATCGTGCAAAGGTCACGGCGGCACCCCTGAGGCGGCCGCTGCCCGTACGTTTACGAACCCATTGTCGTGACGTCATGCCTGTGAGCAAAGGTCGCGGTAGGGGCTCTCCCGGCAGCCGGACGGTGACTCATACGTTAAGCTTGTCTCTCGCCGCGCCTGCGGGCATATTGGTAGTACTAGGGACGGCCAGCATGTGACCGCGGTTTTCGGCGACCTTGTCAATTCGTTTCTCGACTCTGCTGTTCGCTACAAGACAAATACACATAGAAAACGGCTCGGGCATTTGGAGAAGAGCGGCTACTCTGAGGCGAAGGAAGAACACGGAGATTCACACAAACGACCTGACTAGGTTGCACCGGCCACAGTCGACCGAGGTGGGCTTCTGCGCCCTTAAAGACGCCTCTGACTGGCCATTGCGCTGACACCCTGATCGGACCACGGTCATTGATCGGACCCTGCCACTGGTTCGTGCTCAGGCTGCCTTAGCGGGTAGACCTGCTCGACCAGACGCCCACTGGTGGGCGAGTGCTCGGTTCCGACTTTCACCGCCGGTCCAACAGCGTTCTGCTGGTTCCCGCCGATCCGGTTACGACACCGCAAGTGCCGTACCGACTCGGGCGTCCCAGGTGGGCGTAACGGTTACCACACCAGTTCGCGACCCCCAGGCTCTGTCAGCCGTCGTACGGCTCTCGGACGGACACTCTAATAGATCAGCCACAGATCAATAGGTTGTCACAGACCGTCCGTCCAGCCACGCGCTACCCACAGCGCAGTACGACATTGGTGACCCCGACGTGATTTCCGTTGTTCAACCTTAGCCTCTCGTCATGCCGGCGGACAGCGCACAGTCCGGCGCCGCAGCTCAAGACCCAGCCAACGTTCCAGCTTCAGCCTCCGAGTCAACTCATCGGCCCATGGCTAGCTTCCGGCTACCACCATACTCTCCGGAAGAGCCCGACCTGTGGCTACTGCAGGTGCAGTGCGCTTTCGACGTCAGCGGGGTCGACTCCGACGAGCTGAGGTTTAAGCTCCTCGTCGCAAACCTCCCCGCCAACATCGCCGTCCAGGTCAAGGACGTCATCCGGTCATCTCGGTCCTTTGACGTGCTGTGTGCGGCGCTCCAAGCCCGCCTGGCACAGTCACGCGCCGACCGACTACAAGCCCTGCTCGGCCGCCAACAGCTCGGCGATCAGAAGCCGACGGCGCTGTTGCGTTCAATGCGCAACGAGCTAGCCGCAGCCGGGGACGCCCCGGTTGATACGGAGCTCTTCCGTACCCTCTTTCAACAACGGCTACCGCAGCCCGTCCGTGCTGCCCTCGCCCTCCTGCCAGCCGACAGCACGCTTGACGCACTGGCAGAAGCGGCCGACCGGTATCTGGAAGCTAGCGGACCGGACCCACGGCTATCAGCGATCGCGGCACAGCCGTACACACAGCCGGCACCGCCCATCGCTGCTGCAGTGACAGCCCCAGCGCCAGCTGCAACCCCTGCGCTGGACACCGTCATCGCCTCCCTGGTCGCTAAGATGGAGCGCCTGGAGGCCAGCAACCGACGACTCGAGGACGCCGTGCGGCGCGACCGCAGCCGTTCCCGGCCGCGCCAAGCGTCTCGCCAGTCACGCCGCCCGTCACCGGCTCGTCCTTCAACGCCGCCGCACGACGACACGCTGTGTTGGTACCACCAGCGATTCGGCGCCCAAGCGCGCCGATGCAAGTTGCCGTGCTCCTGGATCGCCTCGGAAAACTGAGGCGCCCCGTGCTGATGGCGCAAAGCACGGGCGCCCCTCCTGCCGCGCCACTCCTCTTCGTGAGGGACACGGAGACGGACCGGCAATTTCTAGTCGACACCGGGGCGCAGGTCAGCGTGCTGCCTCGCCGCTGCCTGCCCAACGGGTCTACGCTGACCCCTGCTCCTGTCGGCCAGCAGCTCGTCGCGGCAAACGGCTCACCGATCGCGGTGCACGGCACCTGCCTGCTGGACGTCACCTTGAGTCAGCAGCACCGCCTGAAACATCGATTCTTCGTCACTGACGTCACCACACCCATCTTGGGCACCGACTTCCTGGCCGCACATCACCTCGTCGTGGACGTTGCCAACCAGCGTCTCCTGCGGGACGGCACCGTCTGCGCCAGCGCCGAGCGGTCAAGGCTGTGCTCCATCGGAGTGCGTCTCGTCCGGGAGCAGGCTGCTGCTCGCTTCGCAGCTGTCCTCGCCCGGTACCCGGATGTGACCTCACCAAAACCTGGACCAACACCGGTGAAGCACAACGTGACGCACCACATCGTCACCAAGGGTCCACCGGTGTACCAGCGGCCACGACGCCTCCCGCCGGAGCGCCTTCAAATCGCACGTGCTGAGTTCAACAAGATGCTCCAGCAAGGCATCATTCGACCGTCGAGCAGCAGCTGGACAACTCCACTCCACATGGTGCCAAAGAAGAGACCCGGCGAGTGGCGTCCTTGCGGCGACTACAGAGCGCTGAACGCCCGCACCGTACCAGACCGCTACCCGCTGCCGTACCTGCGGGACTTTTCAGCCGACCTGCATGGGTGCACCGTCTTCAGCACCATTGACTTGGTGAAGGCTTACCACCAGATCCCAGTGGAACCTGCCGACGTCCCCAAGACAGCCATCACGACACCGTTCGGCCTCTACGAATGCGTTCGGATGCCGTTCGGCCTCAGAAACGCCGGACAGACCTTCCAGCGTTTCATGGATGAGGTCCTCCGCGGCATACCGGGCTGCTTCGTCTACCTGGACGACATTCTGCTGGCCAGCCCGACTGCCGAACACCACCTACAGCTCCTGGACCAAGTGCTTCAGCGCCTCAACACCTACGGCGTCGTCGTCAACAGGCACAAGTGCGTCCTGGGACAGGAGCAGGTGGTGTTCCTCGGCCACTCGGTAGACGCCGACGGCGTCCGCCCGCTGCCTGGACGAGTCGAGGCCATCAAAGACTTCCCGGAACCGACCACTCAGTCCCAGCTACGGAGGTTCCTGGGGATGGTAGCCTACTACCACCGCTTCATCCCCCAGGCAGCCGAGCTCCTGCAGCCTCTGCACGCCTTAATCACCCACAAGGCAAAACGCTCGAGAGCGCCTGTCACGTGGACAGACTCGGCGCGGCAGCGTTTCAAGAACGTCAAGGACGCCCTGGCCACGGCGACACATCTCGCACACCAAGTCCCGGACGCGCCGCTCGCCCTCTTCGTCGACGCCTCGGACTGCGGAGTGGGCGCTGTCCTCCAGCAGCACGTCGCCGGCGAGTGGCAGCCCCTCGCTTTCTTCTCGAAAACGCTCCAACCTGCGGAGAAGAAATACAGCACGTTCGGGCGCGAGCTGCTCGCCATCTACCTGGCCGTCCGGCACTTCAAGCACGCCATCGAAGGACGGTCAGCAATCATTTTCACAGACCACCGACCACTGGTAACGGCCATCGGCTCCTCGTCCGACCGCTACTCGCCACGAGAGGTCCGCCACCTGGACTACATCGGCCAGTTCGTATCTGACATCCGCCATGTGCCTGGCAAGGACAACGTGGTCGCCGACACGCTGTCACGCACGGTCTCGATGGTGGCCCAGCCGCGACCCCAGCTCGCCGACTTCACTGCCATCGCCAAGGCCCAGTCTGAAGACGGCTCGCTGGAAGACCTCGAGACCTCAGACACCTCACTGCGCCTGCGCCACATCCCGGTCGGCGATGGACTCCGTCTGCTCTGCGACGAGTCCACCGGATCGCCTCGGCCGGTCCTCCCAGAGGCGCTGCGCCGGCCCTTCGCCAAGGCTCTGCACGACCTGTCGCACCCTGGCGTCGAGGCCACCGTCAAGCTCGTCTCTAAGCGGTTCGTCTGGCCCGGTATGGATCGTGACGTGCGCCGCTGGACCCGAACCTGCCTCGCCTGTCAGCGCTGCAAAATCGGCCGGCACACCAAGTCTGACGTCGGCACCTTCCAGCCACCTCAGCAACGCTTCGACCACGTCCACGTGGACCTCGTCGGCCCGATGCCTCCGTCAAGAGGGCACACGTACCTCCTGACGTGCGTCGACCGGTTCACTCGGTGGCCAGAAGCCATCCCTCTGCCGGACATCCGCACCACCACGGTCGCCCGCGCCTTCCTCGAGCACTGGATCGCCCGATTCGGCGTTCCGTCCATCATCACGACGGACCGAGGCGCCCAGTTCGAGTCGGCCCTCTGGTCGGAGCTACAGCGATTCCTGGGCTGCCAGCGAACTCGGACGACGTCCTACCACCCGGCCTGCAACGGTATGGTGGAACGCCTGCATCGCCAGCTGAAGGCCAGCCTCCGTGCACACCAGGCTACGTCATGGACGGACGTGCTGCCGCTGGTGCTCCTGGGCATACGCTCCACCATCAAGGCGGACCTGCAGGCGACGTCAGCCGAGCTGGTGTACGGCTCCTCACTGCGGCTTCCCGGCGAGTTCTTCATCAGCAGCCAAGCCTCAGCAGCATCACCGGCCGGTTTCGTACAAGACCTGAAGCGCGCCATGTCTCAGGTGCGGCCGACACTCCCACGTCCGGTCCAGCGCGCCACGTACGTCCCGACGGCACTCCAGACGGCGACACACGTCTTCGTGCGCAGGGACTGTCACCGCTACCCGCTGGACGCTCCATACGACGGACCGTTCCCGGTTACCGAAAGGACCACCAAAACCATCACCATCGACCGTCGACAGAAAAAGGAAGTCATCAGCATCGACCGGTGTAAGGCCGCCTTCCTGGAGACGCCAGACGAATCCGGTCATCGACAGCCTGACCTGCCGACTGTGCAGCCGCACGGTACTCAGTCCAGCGGCCCGCCGGCCGCGCCACCGCTCAGCAATGAGCCCAGCGGCCCGGAGCTTCTGATCTACGGTGACGCACCAAATCGCCCTGCAGCCGTCGCTCAGGCTGACGCTGCACCATTGCAGCCTCAGCCGATACTACGGACGACCCGCTCCGGCCGCGTCATACGACCTCCGGTAAGATATCGCCATGTCACTTTTGTCCGCGACATGTCTGGCGAGGGGGTACTGTAGGGATCATCTACGCGATTTGTCATCTATGCGATTTGTCATTTCATGTTGTCATTTTCATTAATTGTCGCCGCTTTATTAATCAATCTGTTACCTGTTGTCAATTGCGCGTCAAGTTTGTTTGTTATTTGTAAACCGGCCTGCCGCTGGCCTCAACCTTCCTAGTAACCGCTGTGCCATACGCTTTAGAACATATCGTGCAAAGGTCACGGCGGCACCCCTGAGGCGGCCGCTGCCCGTACGTTTACGAACCCATTGTCGTGACGTCATGCCTGTGAGCAAAGGTCGCGGTAGGGGCTCTCCCGGCAGCCGGACGGTGACTCATACGTTAAGCTTGTCTCTCGCCGCGCCTGCGGGCATATTGGTAGTACTAGGGACGGCCAGCATGTGACCGCGGTTTTCGGCGACCTTGTCAATTCGTTTCTCGACTCTGCTGTTCGCTACAAGACAAATACACATAGAAAACGGCTCGGGCATTTGGAGAAGAGCGGCTACTCTGAGGCGAAGGAAGAACACGGAGATTCACACAAACGACCTGACTAGGTTGCACCGGCCACAGTCGACCGAGGTGGGCTTCTGCGCCCTTAAAGACGCCTCTGACTGGCCATTGCGCTGACACCCTGATCGGACCACGGTCATTGATCGGACCCTGCCACTGGTTCGTGCTCAGGCTGCCTTAGCGGGTAGACCTGCTCGACCAGACGCCCACTGGTGGGCGAGTGCTCGGTTCCGACTTTCACCGCCGGTCCAACAGCGTTCTGCTGGTTCCCGCCGATCCGGTTACGACACCGCAAGTGCCGTACCGACTCGGGCGTCCCAGGTGGGCGTAACGGTTACCACACCAGTTCGCGACCCCCAGGCTCTGTCAGCCGTCGTACGGCTCTCGGACGGACACTCTAATAGATCAGCCACAGATCAATAGGTTGTCACAGACCGTCCGTCCAGCCACGCGCTACCCACAGCGCAGTACGACAGCTTGTCTGGCCACTGCTGGCACGCCGCGGAGTGGAAACAGCCGATTCGGTGCCGTATTGGAGCGAGCGGCCTCAGTAGCCCGCCCTCATCTGGTGCACCGAAACGGCATCCTCTCGGTCCTCTCTGGGGATAGGGAGCGGCGTTGTGCTCCCGAGGAGTGGCTTGAATAGTGATTCTGAGCAGTTGTCGCGCTCTGCGCCGCATAGTGCGATGCGAGGCCGCACAGTGAACCGCCCTGGTCAGCGAGTGGGCGTTTGAGGGCAGGGCGGCCGCCTGTTTTGCCATGTCGTCCGTGCTCTCATTCCCCTCGATACCACAGTGGGCAGGAGCCCACTGCGGTATTGCTTAACGACGCTTGGCGATGCTCAACAAGGTCTTCTTTGCCTATCTCCACGCCGAGAGTTGAGGCCTCACCTGGGCGGCCGCTTCTCCACTGAGTTCGAGCGGCTCACCAGTTCGAGCACACGACGACCGGGGCGTGGACGTCTTGTCCCGGAACCCCTCCAGAGCCGCCCGCGGGGCGAATCTGCTGCTAGATTGACCAGCGTACCGCATAAATTCAGTGATCGTATTTCGCCAAAAAATTATGCGACCGCCCTGCACCAAAAAATTCGTCCGCCGCCATGTGCTGAATTCGGCGCATGTGAAGTTACGCCGGACGTGCACTGAAATTTTCGGCGCAATCCCGCCACTATGCCAGACATATTCGGCATAAGGTGTATTTTTTCCAGTCTGGCCTGCCACCAAATGTTGTCGCTGCAGTTGTCTTTCAAGCGTGACTGGACTGGCCCTGGTCAAACGTCATGTTTGGCATCCCTACCCTCAACTAAGGCCCATAGCCTTTCCAACAAATGTCAAATACCTTTTACTCAATACCTACCAGCAGGCAGCAGGACCATAGGTCGAGTGGCCTCTGATCCAGATGATCAACGAAGGTAAGGTAAGGCAAAGCATTAAAGTGAATTCTATAGGAAATGCAGGCAACAGCCAATAATCTATCCCCTTTGAATTACAAAAAATCACCTAAATTGAAATAAGATGCCAATGGCAAAGTCATATCAGTTGGTGACATACCAGGGAAATAAGCTAAAATTAGAGTGCTCTATTTATTGCTCCTGCCCCATGTTGAAGAGATACCCCTAAAAGCGTGATCTTTTAACGGCCCTTACGCAGCAAGGCAGTACTTCTCAGGCCGGTGGATGGTATCAATAGAAAGAGAATGCGTCAAAGATTAACATGAATTAATTAAAATAACATTAAAATGTTAATTAAGCGTGGAAATTAGTCCCAAACTTAAGCTAATTATTGCTCCTACCTCGGCGACGGCGCTCCCCGCAGTCAGCGGAGAAGCTAAAATAAAAGCCACCATCCTCCTCCGTAAGTCAATTTTAGAGCGGCCGAGTGGGCCGATGCGGGGCCACCAAACTGAGGTGAGACGTGGCTAGCAATTGCGAACTGCCATAGAAATCAATATCTTAAGACGTACAATATGGGATGATTACTCTGAAGCAGGAGTGAAAGCATGAGTAGCTAGCAAGAAACGAAATGCATAGATTGGTTGAATTATGTACAATAGGCACAGCTCAGATGAAGCCATTTCTTTGATGTTGACATTTGACATAACCCTTCCTCTCCTCACCTACGACCTAAGTACGTTGGCAGTTACCGGCATAGTTTTTTTTTTTTAGCACGAGTGTAATTCGCCATCGGACCGCAATGCATGTTGCTAGGCTGCTGCAATTACAACGAACATACGAATACTGCCTTCATTTGTAGACGTTTGTTTTTTAGGCGGTCTTTGACGTACAAGGGGGCATACCTGTCGACAACTTGAGTTTCTCCGAATTTCAAAAACTCCCAGAATTCCAATTCCTTATGCACTGTTGTAGGTACAGCTATGTTCACAAGTTTTCGTTTCCTCCTGCTCTAAAAAGGATGATATTTGTCGATTTCGTGCGTCGCTGATAGAAGGGTGCGTTTAATAATTAGGCCCAACGCTTTCTGCATCCGCGAGTACCTTGAAAAGGGAACAACAGTTTCCATTTATTACACTATGGGACAAGTGACAAAATGACCACTGCAACACGCATGAAACGGAGCTCATATTCCTAAAAATGTCTACAATCACTTCTTTTCTGACACTATTAGCAAATACCATCTCAAGTTAGGTGGTTGACAGACAGTCAATGGAGATCTGGGGAGACTGAGTGATGCCAATTCACCACTTAACTGATAATGAAGGCCGAGGGGAGAGAAACATGCAACATGCACAACTGACAACTTGACAAGTGACAAAACACTACCACTATTGCGCAGTGCACAACAAATTACAGCAGCCAGCCCAAAAATGCTTTTGGTGGCTAATTGCAAAACAAGTCACTAATAAATGTCTTAGTTGCAGCTGAACACTGCACAATGATCACACTGTTCACACATTGAGTGAGATGCCACAGGTGGTTTGAATCACACTTTGGTACAACTGCAAATCTGAAGTGTTGTCATGAGGTTCATGCCTCCATGATCACAGCACTTTGGTTGTGGTTGGCATAACACTTGTAGTCTGCAGAGTTCCACATAAACTGCAGACACCTCATCTGGTGGTCTTCATGTTGCTCAACTTCTTCAGGAGGCAAATGTCGACCACCCAGCGGAAGCATGGTCCTGCAGAAAAGAAAGGTAATGCATAAGGTACAAACATTATCTGCTGAAACAGCCCCTTCTGTTTGCTGTTATTAAACTTTTAACATAACATAACAACATGTATTCCATGTATATTACATTTGTTGAAGTAAAATACTGCCGGCTATTTCAAAACCAGAAAATGAAATTATATTGTGGCATAATTCACATGCTCAGCTATCAGTATCAAATAATAAATTAATTTAAAATTAGGCATATTCTATATAACACATTCATAGAATGTTCTACTTCACGTCACACTCACAAGGACTCACAATCTTTCTGTTGGGTGTTTGATTGACGCATTAACTAGGTTTGTCTTAGGTTTTATTATTGCAAAAAATTCATATTGCATTATTGTATCAAAATACTGCCAGCAATAACAAAACAAGAACATGAAATGTCAATGAGCAAGCCGCCTTTCCTAAAAATGGATTACTTTGAAAAGAATTTTAGTTTCTTTTAAGGAAAAGGAGAAATGATTATCAGGTTATTATAAAAAACCACTCAACCAGCAAGTGGCTGGGTGGTTTCACAGCAAACATCAAGGCAAGGCCATCTATAGATCTATAGAAGGTACAGTCACTCTCCCGCCGACCAATCAGAGACAGATCCTGAGTGACGTCACCCCTGATGCTCGATAGGGGTACTCCATTCCTTTACAACGTAAAAATGACTAACTTCATTTGAAGATTGTTGGTGACACTCTACACATATCGCTCAACCATTGATGTCATTGGAAAGTCCAACTAATTTTCTAGCGATAAAAAAGAGCAGCAATATGCTAAGAAATGGCCGGTTTTGAAGATATAGACGATTTAAAAACCCTCTGCAGCTGAAGGAAAGCAACGTAACAACGCATCGAGCTTATATTTTTACTATGAATAAATCATTTTTCAGTAAGTTTTTAGAGATGGTATCGATTTATTCAACAACTTTATTACAATATTTTTATTACTTGGAACTTTATTTCAAAATAATATTTTCAAAAATGGCAACTGTTGGTAAGTAGCTTTGAAGCGATTGTGGCGCGCCGCGCCATTATTGTCCTGAGGGCCCCATATGATGTCATCAAAAGTGGAGTGACATGGGCCTGCAAAACATGTAAGCATATGTTTTGCATCAAGGCAAAACATATGCTTACATTTATCTAACAATTGAGCCATTTGACTACACAAGGATATGTGAGCAAAATAAGAATCCAATCATCCAATGTTGACTTCCTTGCAAAGTTTATGCCTTATTTTATGAAAATGTGTCACTAGAATATGATACTTATCATCGAATATTATTTAATTTACGATTTATTTCGATCGTTTTTTTTTTTTTTTTTTTTTGCTCGGTCGGCCTAGTGCCATACCCGAGCAGGGGGCAGTTACTCCGGCAATTTTCGCCGGGCAGCAAGTCTTACGTTAAACCGGTTTATGTGAACCCGGTAGCAAAAACAACGTGGGATCCTATCTTAATGTGGAATCAAAGCTAAGGGAGGTACTTACGTGTATAGCCAAAGAGCCGAGATGTCTGGAGTCGCAAACACAACAGTGGGAATGACTTTTATTAACAATACATAATAGACATGAACACTTGTGAGCTGGTGTCAGTGTAATGGAGCCGGGAAGCTTTCATCGCACTGACAGAAGGTATGAGACCTTCTAGGCTCCAGCCCCCCGGCGGGGCCTTGTTGTGGGGTGTAATGGTCGGGAGAAAAAGTCCTAAATAATAAAAAAAACCCGACGCCTAACGCAAAGGGCAAAAACCTCGCACCTAAGCCAAAACGGCGCGAGGGAAAAAGCCCTGTAACCGCGATTAATTAATGTGTGAGTTTGGGGGTGAGCCGGGAGACGAGGGCTCTGATTAGCGTTTTAGGGGCGGCAGCCGCGGCCCTAACACGCTAAAGGCTCTTGATGATCCGAGCGTCGGCGAGAAAGACGAACAGAAGGTCGTGGATATCCGGATGAGTGTCGCCCAGGAGAGTCGGAAGGTCGAGAGAGAGTCCATGTGTGTTAATGTATTGTACTAGATGTCTGCGGTGTTGGTGTAGGTGTGGGCAGTGGAGGAGGAAGTGTGAGATGGTGTAGCGTGGGTGGTCGCGGCAGTGGTGACATATGGGTGGAGGTGCTCTGTCCAGGATGTAGTTGTGGGTGAGTTGTGTGTGGCCGAGCCGGAGCCTGGCTAGGACTCTCTCTTTGATCCTTGTGTTTTGATGGGAAGAGTAGAAATGGCAAAGTTTCGGTTTAATGGAGAAGAGATGTGGTGTATGATCATCTATCCAGCATTTTTGGCGGTATCTCTGGAAGGCACGGAAGAGCGAAGACAGAAAATCCGGAAGGGGGAGAGCGAGATGATTTCGAGATGGGAGATGAAGACCTTCTTTGGCTAGCTTGTCCGCTTTTTCATTCCCCTGTATTCCAACGTGGGACGGAATCCACAGGAGAATGACGTGTTTGTTTTCATCGGTAAAACCAATAATCATCTTTTTTATTTTATAAACGATTTCGTTTTTTTTCCATTTTTCTGTGAGCTATTGCCTTTACCGATGAAGCCGAGTCTGTGCAGATCACAGCCTTTTCTATGTTTTTCGATGAGACATATTTGAGTGCTGAGTGAATGGCTATCAACTCAGCACTAAATATGCTATGGTCGTCGTGTAGCCTACTTGTTTTGTTATGATGGTCAGTATTTCGATCGGAACGCACATTGGGTCCCGCGCCATTTTCGTCGACGATAAATATGATCGTGTTTCATGAAGAGATAAGGGGTTTCAATGGTCTTTCAAAGCAATAATTTGATGCAAAAATTTGTAGGAAATAATATAAAGCTGGTTCAAATGGCCATCAACCATTTAAAACACCGAAAATACTCACAACTCCGTCCCGACGACCACGCAGCACCGCGCACGCCACACTACTGGCACAATGCCAAAACTGCCGTCACAGCAGAAATGTTTTTTTTTTCTCGATTGCAATTGTGGAATTATTTATTAAACAGAAGATTATCTTTCCGAAAAACCGACTGATTTCATACACAGATGCATGGAAAATAAAAAAAATCCCGGTAAGTTTATTTGTATCGTTTTGTCGATTTTGACATGCTCCTAGTTTGCAGCCATATTTTGATATGTTCTACAGGGAGTTAAGAATTATTTCAGGACCAATCTTTTCCTCATTCATTTTCCCGTCGATCATGAAATTTTTAGAGCGGAACAATTAGTTTCCAGGCGGTCCGAGCGGTTTTCGTGAGAAGGGTGCAAAAATCGGCGTCATTTTTAGAGCCTCGACACCAGCTCAACACAGGACCCTATGGGAGACGGTGAAGTAGCGGGAGCAATAAATAGAGCGCTCTAATTTTAGCTTATTTCCCTGGTGTGTCACCGACTGATATAATGATGTAATATTGATATACTGACTCCAAACAACAGGTTATTGTGTATATATCAACGCTGACTGAAATAAGCACGAAATGTGGCGTAATTTAGTATTTACCTTATACAAAACAAATCAAATTTTATCTTCAAGTAAGCTCAAACTCTTTTCACTCCAATTCAGTCAGCTTTTTTTATTAGTGGCCTTAGATATACTGCCTTGGATCAGCTGAAGGAAGGAGAGACGCGCAAAGGTAAGGGGTGTGTATTGAGCTCTTATAATAGTTAAAAAGCCTTCTTACTACTCCAGAAGTAGATGAGAGATAAACCATGAGAGAAAGAGATAACAGTGAACGAAATGAGAAAGAGAACTGTGGAACATGTGAGAAGATTGTAAGAGAGAGAGAGACAATGGAATCAAATGCGACAGATGTGGCGCATGGTATCACGCTGGATGCCAAAGCCTGAGTGCCGAGTTCTACAAAATTTTGAAGAAATATGAAGAAGAGCAATGGTTCTGTAAGATGTGTCGCTCGGAAATAAAACAACTGGATGACAGAATCAAGGCACTGGCAGCAGAGAACAAAGATCTCAAGAAAAGGGTCCAGTCGCTGGAAGACAAGTGGGAACTATTCAAAACCGAACTCAAAGAAGAAACTGTGAAATGCACTCTGGAAAGGGTATCACATGAACTGGGCAAGCACATGGAAGAACTTGAAGAACGGAACAAAAGGAAGAACAACATTGTGCTCTACAATGTACCCGAGTCAACAAAAGAAGACCCGAAAGAAAGACAATCCGATGACATGGTGAAGTGCTGTGACCTGTTTGAAGGATCCCTGAAAGTGACAGACGTCAAGATTGAAAGTGTGGTCCGAATGGGAAAGAGAGAAAGTGAAAGAAAACGTCCCCTGCTGGTGAAACTTACAAATGAAAGTGAAAAGAAGAACATTTTGGCAAGCGCCAAAAATCTGAAGGGTGAAGAAAACCCATGGAAAAAGCGAGTAGGCATATCACGAGATATGACAAAGATGGAAAGAGACCAGGACATGAGACTGAGGGAAGAACTGAAGGTCAAAAGAGCTGCTGGTGATCACACATGGTACATAAAAAATGGGAAGCTACAAAAGAAAGAGGGAGAGGTGCAGAGAGAAAGGCAAAGAGAGAGCCAGTAAAAACAGATAGATCAAAAAAGAAAGAAGATAGAGATGTGAAAAGGATCATTATAAATTTAGTCAATGTGCAAGGTTTAACAAAACCAAAGGTGATAGAGCTAGAACAGCTCCTACAAACAGACTGTGATTTCATATGCCTTACGGAAACTCAGCAAAAATATGAAAAAGTCCAATTATCAAAGGGCATAAATAAAGTTGATAGTATGCGAGACATGAAAGACAAGAAAGGAGGCGGTTTGCTCCTTATGTACAAATCCAAAGATCTCTTCAATGTAACGAAGGTACAAACTACAAGCAGTGATATTCTCTGTGTAAAGGTGGATATAGCTAGAGAAACAATGTATATAGTGATAGTTTATTTCTCTGTTGTTAGCAAACACGAAGATAAAGTACGAAATGACAGAATGAAAAAGGAAGTGGAGAAAATAATTATGAAAACCAGAGAAGAGCAGGAAGCACTTATGATACTAGGTGACTTCAACGGACACATTAGTGGACTGGGAAAGCAAAAAGAAGATGACAATGGAAAAACAGTTCTTGAATGGATGAATGATCATGCACTAATTTTACTAAACATGGATGAAAGATGCAAGGGACAGATAACATGGCAGAGAAAAGAACAGCAAAGTGTGATTGATTTTGTAATAGTAAATGATAAATGTTACAAATGGTTTGAAGAAATGAACATAGATGAAGACAGAGAAAAGTTTGATCTCTCAGATCACAATATGATCACTGTGAGCATGAGGCTACCAGATGGTAAGAATCTCAATTTCTCCCAGGGGAAAGAAAAGACAGTAGAATACTACAAGACTGATGAAGAGGCACTGAAAGAGTTTGCAGAGGAAGTATGCAGAAGGGTACAAGATGAAGAGATGCAAACAATGGAGATGTTAAATAGAACTATGCAAAATACTGCAGAGGACAAGCTAAAAGCCAGATATATAAGGAGAGTTCTGAACTCACAAGTACAAGTGAAAGAACCTCCATGGATGACAAAAGAAATAAAAAAAGAAATCAAGAAAAGAAAAGAAATAAACAGGAAAAAGCGAAATGCCCAATCTCAGGAAGAAGTCGAGGCATTGGAAATAGTGTATCTGAAACAGAAAAGACATGTACAATCCCTGATCAAGGAGCAGATGGGTATACATGAGAAGAAGATAACCAATGAAATAAAATGCAGCACAAACAAAAGCAAAGCTCTATGGAAGAACATTGATAGCCTAAGGAGAAGGGATTTAAAAAAGAATGAGGAAACAAACCTGTTCACCTCAGATGGACAAAAGCTGGGGAAAGAAGCAGAAAAGGAAGAACTTATAAGATATTGGAAGACTGTATACCAAAAGCATGCAAATGATATAAGTCAGATATGGAATGAAGAAAGCAAAAATGAATATATCAGAGCATTAGAGAATGAGGAGCAATCTAGCAATGTCAGAAGACCACTACAAGATCATGAAGAGATGGCCCAAACTGCTACCAGAGGCCTGGAGCCAATGACTGAACCAATCATAAGTGAAGAAAAAGTTCAGAGATGTGTGCAAAACATGAAAGGCAAGACATCAGCAGGCCCAGATGGACTGAAAACAGAGATGTACAAAGCACTCCTTAAAACAAGGAATGGAGTGAAGATACTAACAAGCTGTCTGAAGAGAGAAGTGGGAGAAAGCAGGAAAATGAGTGATTGGAAGACATCAAAGACAAGAATGATAAAGAAGGTGCCACGCCCAACAGCGAAGGATTTAAGGCCCATAGCACTTACAAATGTAGCGTACAAAATGTTCATGACCCTGATGAAGAATGAAATTGAAGAACACTTGAGAGAAAATGATGCTGTAATTGAAACCCAAGCTGGATTCACGAAAGGGGGAAAGATTGAAGACAACCTCTTCATACTGAACTATTGTGTGGAAGAAAGCTACAAAAGAAAGACCCCACTCTATGTTACATCTATCGATTACAGAAAAGCATTCGATTCAGTGAAAAGAAGTGAGATGATAAGTGCTTTGATGACATATAAGATTCATCCTAAAGTTATCGATGCCGTAGCAGATATTTACCAAGGCGACTCAACACTTATCAGCTTGAATGATGACACAACAGAAAAGTTGGACGTGACAAGCGGAATCCGACAAGGGTGTACCGGCTCCACAGCCTTATTCAAGATTGTCACATATATAATCACCAGAGAAATACAAAAGACAACTCTTGGTTTCAGAAACGAGAAGTTTTACATTCCAATACTGTTCTTTGCGGATGATGGATTGATACTGGCAGCTTCACTGCAAGAAACACAGCTACTGATAAAAGTTTTAAATGAAGTGAGTAAGAAGTGTGGTCTAGATATAAACAAAGACAAAAGTGCTGTATTGATATTTAACTGTAAAGAACAGCCGGAGGAAGTAGAAGGAATACCCACGGCAGACAAGTTGAAGTATCTTGGTGTGAAGATCGGAAATCAGAGGAATATGTTCAAAGAGCAGAAAAGGCAGATGATACAAAAAGCTCAAAGAATGGCAAATATGACGTATGGGGTGGTCGCAAGAAGTTGCAACAAACTGCTGATAGGGAAAACCTTCTGGAAGAGCCTTGCTCTGCCATCCATATTATATGGTGTCAATATATTCCACGTAACAGAAGAAGAGGTCAAGAAGCTGGAAGTTATAGAAAACGGAGTATATCGGCAGATACTTGGTGCACCGAAATACACAGCCAACTGTGCCCTCCGAGGTGAAATTGGAGCTTCGGCGATGAAAACAAGAGTAATCAAAGGACATCTACAGTATGTTAGAAGCACTCTACAAGGAAATAACCAACTATTGAAGGAAGTGATAGAAACTCAATTAGAAGAAAAGGGTACGAAATGGGCGAGGATGATTATCACACACTTAGAAACCCTAAATCTAAACCAAGGCGACCTTAGAAACATGAAGAAAGAAGAACTAAATAAGAAGATGATTAGTTGGGACGATAAAAGATGGAAAGAGGAAGTAGAGACTAAAACAAGTTTGAAGGTATACAAGAGATGGAAGCTGAAGATAAAAGAGGATGATGTTTATGACAACACCCCGCAATCAAGAATCCTCTTTCAAGCGAGGACGGATACTCTCCCTCTGAACGCAAGGAAGAAGTTTACAAAAGAAAGAACGAACTGTGCCTTGTGTGAAGCGGAAAATGAAGATATTAATCATTTCTTGCTAGAATGTCCAGTATTAAATGAAGTTAGGGTGAATCATCGTGAATTACAACAGCCATACTTGGAAGACAAAGAAGAAGTTATAATGAGATTTCTATTTGATAAGGAAAGAAGGAATATGGAAGAAAAGAAACAGATTTTGTACAGCATGTGGACCCTAAGAACTAAAAGGCAAAAAGAGCTCAATACTCACCCCGTACCAACTCATAGCGCGATAGTTTAAGTTAAAGTTTAAAAAGAAAAGGAGGAGCCGTTGCAAAGGCAATTCCTCAAAACCGTCAAGTTCAAGTTCAAGTTCATATCCACAAATGACGCGGCTGCTACGAATATGACGAGCCAGCTGTTTTTTGGGTGGTATTCAGGAAAAGCATCGACAGCTGTTGCGAGGATCAATAGCGGCCATATGATTGGTGTAATTACTGCCAACGACAGCTTCTGTCTTTGAAACAGCCGCAAATCAATTTATTGAACAAAATGTTGAGCTATTCGAATTTATCGCTGCATATGTGTTTTTCAGTTATTATTTTTATTTACGTTGTCTTTGCTTTTTGCTATCTGTCGTCAGTGGCTAATGTACTATAATTCAGCCCAAATTTAAGCCCAAGGCTATATTTTCATCCACAGAATGGATGAAGTCGCTTCCTTGTCTCTGGACCTTACAGAAAGCTATAAAATAGTTGAAGCAGCTGAAAAGGAAAAACTTGTGGAAGAATTTCTGGACCAGCGCTTAGGGACTGAAGTTGAAATTGATGTAGAATTTCCATCAGGTAAGCCTGTGTTGCAATGAGCCAAGTACAGGCGTCTATGTTCATTATAGTTGAGTTTCAATGGGACTTTGGTCATCCAGTATTTTTCTATATTTTTGTTATGACCATAATGTTTGTGACTTGTGATTTGTGAGGACTGTGATGATCGTGATTCTCCTTTGCAAATGTTTACACCAGTTTTTTACTTTTGCTTCAACTTTGTCCCTTGTTTGTAAAAGCTCTTAAGGTATTCCTTTGACACCAATGTCCAGGAAGCAGGAATGCTATTATTGATCACATTACCCATGCTCTCTTTCAGATTTAGAGTGGTTCAATATCAAAGAAGCTATTACTCTCAGAGATGATGTAGATGACAAGTTAGTGATTTTGGATTTCTTCACTTACTGTTGCATTAATTGTCTCCATATTCTTCCTTCACTTCATCAGCTTGAGGAAGAACATTCAGTTGAAGATGGACTTGTTATTGTAAGTCATCTTTGAATAGCATGTCAACATGTCCTACTTGATTCTTTTTTTCTGAGGGTTCATTTTTTTATCTGCTAACTTCTAGGTCTTGCCTGGCCATTGTGATCTTAAAACTGCCATTGCAAGACATCTCAATTTTATATTTTTATCACAAACCAGAAACAGTGCAAAAGTGAAACAGGTGATTGGGATGAGACCCTCAGTTCACTAAGTTCCACAACCCTTTGCACTGTCCACAAATTTAATCCTCTGTCACTCTATGTGCCAGGTGGGCGTCCACTCTGCAAAGTTCGAGAACGAGCGTGTGTCGGCTAACATCGCCGCCGCCCTGTCGCGATACGACATCCGCCACCCGGTGGTCAATGACGCCCAGCTGCAGCTCTGGAACCAGCTCGGCATTGCCTGCTGGCCCACACTGCTCGTGCTCGGTAATTGTGCCGCCGATAGCGGGTCGGGTGTTATCGCTAGATTATGTTTCTGGTGTTCGGTAACGACTCCGTGGGTTATGCATAAAGTTGGATGCGTGACTTGGGGGTTCATACTGCTGATTTTCGGTAACGGTTTTTGTTGGGGGTGACGGCCATGGGACGCTTTCGCAACAGGGCCGCTGAATTTAGATAATTTACTCTGATTTCGGATAATCGTAATCTTACTTAAACTTATTTTTTGTGCTGGCCAGTCATTGTCACCTGTTTATCGTACGTTTTCGAAATTTTTTACCGGACTCATGACCGCCCGTCTGCTCCGCTCCTCCAGGACCGGGCCGGCAGCCGCTGCTGCAGCTGGTCGGGGAGGGACACACGGAGCTGCTGCGCGCGTTCACTGCAGCGGCGCTCCGCCGTCTGTCCGCCGCTGGCCGGCTGGGGCGCGGCAGTCTGCCGCTGGCTCCGGCCGCCCGCCTCTCGGCCGCCGGACCGCTGCGGTTCCCCGGCAAACTGTGCCGACTGGATGAGCGGCGGCTGGTGATTAGTGACACCGGACACCACCGGCTGCTGGTCACCGACAACACCGGCGCCGTGCTGGTGCGTAAAGGCGAGATAGGACGCGGACTTTTTTAGGGAGGGAAAGAGCTGGATGGTGAAGTGCTTATGATTAGCCTAATGTGACTACTGCATTTTTATCGGCGACAGATAGTCATAATATAGTGAGCGGTTGATATCATGTGCCCCTTCCTTTTACAGCGAATAGTGGGCGGACCCTCGGCCGGCTTCGCTGACGGTCGTCTGGGCGAGTCCAAGTTCAACAGTCCCCAGGGGGTGGCTGTTGACGGAGACGTAATATATGTGGCCGACACGGAGAACCACGCCATCAGGAAGGTAGGTCGGCGATGCTATAATGGAAGGCTTGACTGGCGATACCAGTATGATCAGTGTTGAGCGAATGGATATCGGTTTTACGATCCTATTTTAATGTACTTTCACTGGTATATTGGACAAAGCCGTTCATTATGCTTTTTGTCGATGATTTATTTTACAATGGTGTGTAGCGCATTCGTTACGATTTGAGGCATTAGTTATTACGCCCTAATCAATCGCAGCTTGTCAACAACTTTCAACATTAATTTGTCTGGCTTATACGACCAAGAACCTTATCTCTTTGACTGACACGGGTTACAGCTCCACCCATGTCGAGTTTCTGTCCGCCCACTATAATCTTTAGTGCCCCGGGGTCGGGTATAAGGGGTAACCATGTCCTCACATACCCGTGTTTCCGCAGGTGGACCTGCAGGCTGACCGGGTGGAGACGGTGGCCGGCACCGGCAGTCAGGGAGAGGACCGGGAGGGCGGCGGCGCCGGGCCCTCCCAGCCTCTCTCCTCACCCTGGGACCTGTGCGTGCTCGGGGACCAGCTTTACATCGCCATGGCCGGGCAGCACCAGATCTGGACCCTGTTCCTTCGCGACGGAACGCTGTTTGGAAAACGGTTAGTGAGCTCCAGACACTGTGCATTATAGTGCGGGCAGCAGATAGTGTTAAAATATGTGTGGAGGTTTTATATGTAGGGAGGAATATGGACGGAACTTTTTGGATTGCTGTGGTAATTCCGAATGTAATGCGTCGGTGGCACTGTGTAATGTGTATGATTCACCGGACATCTTGTGTGAGGCCCTACCGTTTTGCGATGTTTTCGTCCACATCTGTAATTTGCTTTAATGTAAAACGTTGCGTAATGTCACAAACTGGTGTCATTTTACACTAGCCCTTAAAAGTTAGAACCACCCACAACCAATGCCCCCCTCCCCGCTCCCAGGCCGGTATCCGCCGGCACCTGTCTGCGGCTGGCCGGCTCAGGTGACGAGGCCAACCGGAACAACTCGTACCCCCACCGAGCCGCGTTCGCCCAGCCGTCCGGCCTGTCTGCCGACCCGGAGAGCGGCCGGCTCTGGGTGGCAGATAGCGAGAGCTCCAGCGTCAGACAAGTGGCGCTGGCGGACGGGGCCGTGAAGGCGGTGGTCGGTGGAGCCAAGGACCCCACGGTGAGTCCGCCGGGGGAGGTGATGGGTGCTACGGGTCTAGGGGGTATGGTCGCTGGGGAGTGAAAGATAGAGAGGTGGGGAGGGGTGGTCTGTTAGAAGTTGAAACGTAACGACCTAACACCACTTAGGTGACAGTGATGCATCGTGAGAGAACGATCAAACTGACCTTTCAAACGTACCGACACCGTAGCGCATTATGCATCTCGATGACTTGTTATTCCATGTGCCGTTCGGATGAAGTCCTAACAGATCGTTTATTCTGGATGTTAATCGTAGTTCAGAGAGGTTAGCAGCATATTACGGATAGTGAATAGTGATTGGTGCTTAAATTTTTGTTTTATTGGATAAGGCCCTTTCGGTCTGACAAGACTATTTCAGAGCCGGAAGGATGATAGGAATTAGGGGAGGGGGACATGCCTGGGCAGACACCCTAGTGAGTCGCCGTGCCGAGCCCGTCCGAAAGGACAGGCCGACCAGCCCCCCCCCCCCCCCCCCCCAAGCACTCTCTGCACCAGGCTACCGGGTACGCTCCCTCGGAGCAGCGTGCCGCTCCAAGGAACAGCAGCCCGCATGAGATAAAGGTGCCTGTCCAGCCCGGACTGTGGTTTGCGGCGTGGAGAAGGATTTCAGCATCCTGAGGGTGGAAGCGACGGACGGGTGGTGCTTTAATGCTGTCTTCCTTTTATTTTGAATCGTTTTTGTCATTGCTGTCCATTTTGCAAGCATTGGATTAGGTACCTGCTAGACATTGTTATTGTAAACACCACTACACCCAGTCCCCTAATTCTGTGATACTATGTATAATCGACTACAGAATGATGTTCCACTCCTCGGAAGCTATCAGTTGACCGGAGCGCTAAGCTGTGCCGTTTATCACGCAATTAAGCGTGTTGATTGTGAGCATTGGGACAAAGCTATAATTTGTGAACTCAGCCCGTGTGATGCGGCACAGCCTACCACTCCAGGTAAATAATTGCCTGTGAAAAGTGGAACATCATTCTGTAGTCAACTATACGGCTCTCGCGAGATTAAGCGGTAGGTTTTGCCCTTTAACATTTCCGGTTATATCTCAGATTAAACTAATCGATCTACTATGAAGCCATTTTAAACGATCATGGCAGGCTTGTGAACGAACAAGTCTATTGCATCTTCAACATTCAATTAAGCTTAAGATGACCAAGATATAGCCTGAGGTCAGGGCGTATTTTAACATGTTAACTGGGTCGGCAATTGCCGACCCAGTCACGGAGAATGCCGACCCAGTGACAGCCGTTTGCCGACCCAGTTGCCGCCCCCTCTAGGATGCAGCACGCACATGCAGGCTAGGTGCCGTCATTCATAGTGAGGCTGCTGCCCTCCGAAATGATAATGCCGCCTCTTAAAGTGAAGCAGCCGTCTATAGAAAGTGATGATCCCGCAACTCAATGTGACAGTGCCGCCCCTAAATCTGTTAGTAGCCCCACTCAATGTACCTAATGGTGCCGCCCTTCTAAGCATCTGTGGAGCCCCGCAATGTGATGATACCGCCCCTCAAGAAGATGATGCCGCCCCTTTCAGTATCGGTGGCGCCCCTCAATGTGATGGTGCCGCCCTCAAAATGCCGGTGGCGCCCCTGAATGTGATGGTGCTGCCCGCCAACGAGTCGGTGGCGCCCCTCAAAATGATGCTGCCGCCCCTTAAAGTGTTGGCGCCTTTCGAAGTGTCGGAGGAACCCATCAATATAATGGTGCCGCCCCTCTAGGTATCCACATAGCCCCTCATTGTGATGGAGCCGCCCCTCAAGCAGACGATGCCGCCCCTCAAGAAGATGATGCCGCCCCTGAATGTGATGGTGCTGCCCGCCAACGAGTCGGTGGCGCGCCTCAAAATGATGCTGCCGCCCCTTAAAATGTTAGTGCCGCCCCTCATTGTGTCAGTGACGCTCTTCGGAGTGTCAGAGGAACCCACCAATATAATGGTGCCGCCCCTCCAGGTATCCACATCGCCCCTCATTGTGATGGAGCTGCCCCTCAAGCAGATGATGCCGCCCCTCAAGAAGATGATGCCGCCCCTTTCAGCATCGGTGGCGCCCCTCAATGTGATGGTGCCTCCCTCAAAGTGCCAGTGACGCCCCTAAATGTGATGGTGTCTCCTGTCAACGAGTCGGTGGCGGCCTTCAAAATGATGCTGCCGCCCCTAAAAGTGCTGGTGCCGCCCCTTACAGTGTCAGTGGCGCCCTTCAAAGTTTTGGAGGAACTCATCAATACAATGTTGCCGCCCTCTAACTTTCTGTAGCGTCCTTCCATATACATAATGGTGCCGCTTCTCAAACCATCCGTGGCGCCCCTCAAAGTGATGGTGCCGCCCCTTACAGTGTCGGTGGTGTCTCCTCAAAAGTCAAGGTGCTGCATCTCAAAGAAATGCTGGTGTCCCTCGAAGTGTCGGAGGCGCTCCTCAATGTCATGTTGCCGCCCCTCAAACCTTCCGTAACACCCCTCAACGTCATGGTGCCGCCCCCCCCCCCCAATGTGCTCACGGCGCCCTTAAATGTCATAGAAGCGCCGGTCAAAGTGATGACTGTGCTCCTGGCAGTGTCGGTGGCGCCCCTTATAGTGTCGGTGGCGCCCCGAACAGTATCGGTGGTGCCCCTCAAAGTGATGATGTCACCCTCAAACAAACGGTGGCGCCCTTCGAAGTATCGGAGTCCCTAAATATCATACCTATTGCCGCCCATTAACGATCTGTAGCGCCCCTCCATATGATGGAGCCTCCCCTTTAAGTATCCGCGGCGGTCCTTAAAGGGACCCTCCCACCTTCAAAAAAAGTTTATGAATTGGCATGAAAGTGATGTCGCTCGGTTCAGAAAGAGCAAAAACGAATATCTACCAAATTTCATCGAAAAATATTCACCGGTTTTCAAGATATTAGACTTTTACTTTTGTTTACTTTTTGGGATCTCCGCTGTTCCTAACGACTTTATTTGAAAGTGCGGCATTTGTTGCGCGCAAAGCAGCATATACCACCGCGTGCTACAAAACGTTTTAGTCACACATTTAAAAATCGTTAGATATCTGCGCTGACGTCACACATTCAGAGGGGTATTCCTATGCATTAGCCCCTCTGAATCAAAATGCTGCAATTTTGAAATTCAATATTTCCGATTTAAGGCATTTCTCGATGTTGTGAGTGCCGAAACCGGTAATTGTGAGCCAGGGACCCCATTTTGGCTATCTCAACTCAAATCTAATGTTAAGGTGGGAGGGTCCCTTTAAAGTTACAAAGCCGCCCCTTACAATGGGGTGGCCATAGGCGGTCCCAGGGGGGCCATGGGGGCCATAGCCCCCCTTTGGTGCTGAAAGGTGGGACCATACTATCTTTTGGCCCCACCTTTTCAGATCGAACAAAAGTCCTACAAAACTTTTTGTATGTTTCATTTTCTTGTTTAGTGAAAGGTCTTTCTTGCACCAGCAAAGGAAGTAAATTTCACTCATGAATGGGCTCAGTTTCACATTCTGTCAATTTGGCGGTCAGTGTCGCTGGCACCGGTTCACAAGTATGGCCGGATGTGAGATATAGGTATTCTAACTTATGTGGAATATCGGGTTGGGTTTACTTGAGGCTCTCATAGGCACAGCATTGGCTGGCATGAGATCCTCCTGCCAAATGAGCGTGGTTCTACGACACTAAAGTATGACCTCATGGGTTGGTGCTGTGCAACTCAGAAGCCCGGTGAATGCCGGCTTGGTTCCTTAACCCTCGCTCATGTAGGGGGGGGTGCAACCCCCCCCCCCTGAGGCTTTTCGGAAATAGTGCAAAAACGGCGGCGCGCAGCGCCGCCAAATTTTGGGTACCTGATGGGGCAAACCTTGCGCATCTTTTGATAAAAAAAAATTTGACCGGGTCATGTCAGGTCACGGAGCTATGACGTCACAAAGGGAACAGCCTCCGGCCGGATTTTCACAAACTGAGTGCCAACGCCCGAGGTTTCCTGCCGGTGGTACGGACATCGGTTGATGGATCGTGATGAAACTTCCCATGCATGTTGGGGCAAGTATTGGCTATCATATGGTATAAGAAACTTGACCGGGTCAGGTCAGGTCACGGAGATATGACGTCACAAGAGGAACAGCGTCCGGTACTATTTTTGAAAAGCGCCCGAACCACTATTTTGCTAATTCTTGTCACCTCAATGGGAATATGCAGCAATATTAGCTTCTATAGGGAGCAAATGGACCTCCCAAATCCAAAAAATACAATCAGATTTCAAAAATTTAAATTTTGATTTTTCGAATTTCTGCCGCCGACTGTGCCCTTGCCGACTTCCGGCGCTCCCAACGCGCCATTTTTAGAGCTAGGGAAACGAAATACATACCAAACGATAGAGAATTGATCAAGGAACACGATAGTGAAGATTTCAAGTCGATATCTCCCACCGTTTCGCCGCAATCGCCGCGGAAAGTTGAAAAAAGTCTATTTTTCCGAAAATTTGACCTTTGACCGGTCAAAAGTAGGTCAAATGTTGACCTAGGACCAAAAAATATACCACCAATCGCGAGATCACGGCGAGAGCAATCCGTTGGTCTTTTCTGCTAAGCTCTACGACGCTCCGTTTTCAAACGCCAAGGGGGGGGGGGTCGCACCAACCCCCCCCCCCCCCCCTGCATGGGCGAAGGTGGCAGATCGCCGTTTACGGGCGAGGGTTAAGGATTAGCGTGGGATCTCCGGGGCCTGCGTATTAGAGATTGCATGAACTAGTATGTGATCTCAGAGGCCTGTGTACACAGTAGGTACACAGTGGCGGTCGGAGGGGGGGGGGCATCAGGGCCATCCCCCAAGGGCAAATAAGGGGGCATCATATCATTTTGCCCCCCCCCCCCTCCCAAACAGCCGTTGGGCCCCCATGAGCGTATGGGGCCCTGGCCGTTATCCGATTGTGACCAGGCTCAAGAAACCCACGCCCAGCTGTTACCTAATAGCTCCCACACCGGTCTTTGAGCGTTCTACACTGAACTCTGAGGGCCCTTCAGTGGCGGTCAAGCGCCCACACTGACCGCTAAGAGCCCAGATCGACCTCTGATGGCCCTCCACTGGCCTTTGAGGGCCCCTAAACCGGCGTCTGAGGGCCTCACACCGGTCTCTGGTGGCCTTATTTCTGTCTCTGGGGTCCCAAAACTAACCTTAGGCGCCTATGAGGGCCCGCACTGGCTGTTGAAGACCCGATGCCGGCCTCTAAGGGCCCGTACCGGCCTCTGATGGCCCATCTTGGCCTTTGAGGGCCCTTTGCTGGCCTCTGGGTCCAACGCCGGCCCATGCCGGTCTTTTAGGACCTTACGCTGACCTCTGAGGGCCCCATGTCGGCCTTTGTGTCATGGCCTTTGCAGGCCCTGTACTAGTCTCTGAGGGCCCTAAACGGGTCTCTAATTGAAAACATACAGGGATGGACTTCTGAAGTTCTGAGAACGCACGCAAACTCCTGCAGAGCCTAACGTGTCCCGATGGTTCCGAGCAGATTCCCTCATATTTCGGCGCCGGGGCCCCATGAGCCGGTGTGGGTCCTTGGCTGACAGAGACCGATGAAGTCTCCAGGGCCCAGGGACAGTCTTTTTGGCAGTTGAGGATTAGGCAGGTTGAGTGAGCCCCAATAGAGTCGTTGCAAAGCCCCGCAGGAGTCTGCGCGCGGCCCCCAATGCCAAATTTGAAAGCCAGGAACCTGTGGGGGGTCTCTAGAGGTCGGTGTACCTACTCTCTCCCGCAGCCACACAACTATGTCATGGGTAAATGCCATAGTCTAAAAATGCTCTCTTGGTTTTATATGCTGCTCCGATCTGTCACCACGGTGCGGCGGCCCGACCGGTAAGCACACCTTGGGACGGTAAATGGAAGTGGTTATTTCGCTTAAACTGAGTTCAAAAATTGTACGCAAGAATGAGATGGATGTAGCCTAATAAATGCCAACTGCGCGGCACTTTGTGGCGTCGACTTTGCTACACACGTAAAAACTTAGCCGATCACCCCCCCCCCCCCGGTCGACGGATAAATGTTATGTTCCGCGGGTATGACTTTGCCCCCCCCCCCCCTTTAGCTAACGGCTGCGACCGCCAGTGGGGGTGGCGTCCTCAAAATAAAAGTGATGTTGCCCCCCCCCCCCCCCGAGTAATGTTGGCGTCTCTTCTAAGTATCGGAGGCGCTCCTCATTGTCATTTTGCCCCACATCACTGCGCACATGGCGCCCTTCAATGAAATGGTGCCACCCCCAACGCTCAAAGAGATAACTGCGCTTCGCACAGTGTCGGTGGTGCCCCTCAAAGTGGTTTAAGTGCCCTAAAAAAGTTGGTGGCGCGCCTCAAAATGATGCTGTCGTCCCTTAGCATATCTGCAGCGCCTCCAAAATGATAGTGCCTTCCCTTAACCGGCGCCGGGCTGAGGTTTGAACCCCCCTCCCGACCCCTATAACTTGGCTACTGGGCCACGTAGCGACACGCGGTAAGCGGCATTCGAAAGAGTGTCAAAAACTACTTGGGTTAGTTGGTTAACCGTACTTTGGTTAGGTCAAGTCAAATGTCAAATATCAGGTGACCAGAGGTCATCAAAGGTGAAATGTGGGTGAAATGTTGTCTGTTTCAACATTTATTGACAAACTGGCGCATAACTCGGGGAAGAATAGAACTACAGCACCGCGAAAAAAGCGCATTCGATTGCTCTTCAACGTTCCTATAAAGTCCTCAGACTTGACCTAACATCAACGGCTTAACCTCCAGAGCACAACTAGTTTAACCCGTGCCGGGCCGGGGAGGGTTGGAGTGGACAGTGGACCCCCTCCGCCCCTCTACTGAGCTGTTTTAATGAAGAACCTTTTTACTATAATAATTATTGACTCACGAAAGTTATGACATTGTTTTTTTCAGTACTGTGCTCCTCTCGTCGAGATGCATCGAATGAACTATAATTTGACATTCAAATGTCATTTGGGAAATTTGAGCTCAGGTCCAGGTCATGACCTGACTGGTCAAGGTCACATTGCATATCAGTCGATTTGTATCGTCAAACTGAAATCATCTAAGGTGTTTTCATCGCTCAGGCATGTCGCATGTCTCTATCAGAAGTTATTGAAAAAACTGCTGGAGGCCTTCCATGACCTGACATGACCTCAAGGACATAACGAGGGGTCGTGGGTGGCAATTTTCCGATTAAGTGTTTCATTTTTAATTGTTTTATGATGTTTAAATTCGTTAACTTTGACATTTGTCTACCTATAAAAAGAGGCATGCATGCCCTGATTTTCTCCCATTTCCTTATACCTAATGGAAGGGTCGCAAAATTGTCCTTACCTTTGGTCAAAGACATAGCAATTTCGAGACTTACATTTTATATATACAGTTACACACTGTTTGTCTTATCAATCGCTGAAGTTATAAAGGGATCGTTCAGTCGGTGTATCTATGGTGAGCATTTGCCTGTTCCGTAGCTCTAGCTCAGTTGGTAGAGCACCGGACTCCCCGCATTGTCTTCGCTTGCGTTTTGTCCGCCGGCCGATCCGGAGAGAAAGTTACCGAGTGAAGGTCATTCAAATTTCAAAAACTCAATGAAAATGTCACTGGGGTCACGAAAATATTTGAGTAGGTAGGTATACCATTCATTAACTTGGGGGGGGGGGATGAACGTATCGTTACAAATCAATACGCTGTTCATTACGCGAGTAACTAATGAATAAAAAATGTATGACTTCATCCTTACTCCACCCGCTCTCCCTCTCCATAAAAAGAGAGTTTATTGTAATGCATTTTATTTAGATGCAGAAAAAAAAGAAGGATATGGCCGAATATCAGCGACCCTTGCTGTGTAAGCAATGGGGCTTGCAATGGGGTATGACAAGTGGGGGAAATGGCCCCGTCCAGCGCCCATAAAGTGGGCACAACTCGTGCGACCTGCCGACCACTGTTTTAGAGCCATAAAACACCGTGAATGTTTTAAGCTTGACGATACGGATCGACTGGTATGCAACATGTTTTATTTATGGTGAGGTCATGAACTTGACCTCAGGTAAAATTTTTAAATTAATTTTCGTAAAGTCAAATTATAGTTCATTTGTCGCATTATGACACGAGAAATACTAGTTATATCCCGGAAAAATAGACGTAATACCGCTGAGCTTAGGGTTAGGTTGAATCTGAAATCATTACTTAGAAAGAGTTATAAAAGAACCGTCGAACGTGTCTTTTTTGTCATTAAATATCAGTAGGTATGGCGCCCCCCTCAGATGCCAAGTGCCGCCCCTATGAGTGCAAAATGCCGCCCCTAAATGTGATTGCCGACCCAGTGAAAATCCCTTAAAATACGCCCTGCCTGAGGTATACTAAATTTCATAGGTGCAAATCCCGCCGCTAAAACCCGAGAGACCTGTAATGCGGCACAGTACATATAACCAGGCGCTTGACCCTAGCGTCACCTAGTGAGTAAATATTAAAACTACGTGTCGTGCGGTACAGTCTACGTTCAGGCGTGTCTTTTTACTGCCATCTAGCGGTAGGATTTAAACTAGTTCGGGATGTGCGGCACAGCCTACTTGCAGGCGTGCGGTAGCAGTGCCATCTAGCGGTAGGAATTGAAGTGGACCGGACGATGCGGTACAGCCTACCTTCAGGCGCACACACTCCTGCCATCTAGCGATAGGGTTCAAACTAGACCGGGATATGCGGTACAGTCTACCTGCAGGCGTGCGGTATCCCTGCCACCTAGCGGTAGCAATTGAAGGAGATCGGGCTAGGTTTGCTTCGGTGAAATGCAACGATCCTATAAACAAAATACGTTTACGGCTCAGTTGTTCCGGTAAGACCCAACAGATCATAACCTGTTGATTGCACCTTATGGAGCCTACTGCCTATCCATGGAGCTGCGCTTGCTTGCTGGCAATGACAGTGTTACACAAAGGCCGCTGCGTAGTGCGTAATTCACATTTCATTGACTTAGCTGTGTATCTGCATGATGTGCTGTGTTATATAGAGAAGTCTGTGGTTATGAATATGTATATCGTTCCTCGCCACCCCTATCTCCCAGCACCGCCCACCGTTCACCAAACATCGCCTCTCTCTCTCTCTCTCTCTCTCTCTCTCTCTCTCTCTCTCTCTCTCTCTCTCTCTCTCTCTCTCTCTCTCTCTCTCTCTCTCTCTCTCTCTCTCTCTCTCTCTCTCTCTCTCTCTCTCTCTCACTCTCTCTCTCTCTCTCTCTCTCTCTCTCTCTCTCTCACTCTCTCTCTCTCTATCTCTCTCTCTCTCTCTCTCTCTCTCTCTCTCTCTCTCTCTCTCTCTCTCTCTCTCTCTCTCTCTCTCTCTCTCTCTCTCTCTCTCTCTCTCTCTCTCTCTCTCTCTCTCTCTCTCTCTCTCTCTCTCTCTCTCCCTCCCTCCCCAGAATCTGTTTGAGTACGGTGACGCGGACTCTGCTGCTGCCGGCGGCGTGGTGCTCCTTCAGCATCCTCTAGGCGTGGCCTGGAGCGCCAAGGAGTCCGCTCTGTACGTGGCCGACACGTACAACCACAAGCTGAAGCGAGTGACGCAAGAGGGGAAGAAGTTCAGCTGTGTCACCGTGTCCGGTGGGGAGCGAGGGGACGAGACGGGGTCGATCGCCGACGCCAGGGTGAGTACAGTACGTCGTCCGGTTCGCTTATTGTTGTAATCATTCATCTGTACATTCGTTTGTCTGTATGTTCTGGTTGTTTGTTAGTTGATTGGTTGCTATTTTTTTCTTTTTTTTTTCTTCATTTCCCGCTACTTTATGTTGACTTCTTCAACGACCGTGTTCATTTTGTTTCATTTGTTTTTGTCTAATATCTTTGTCATTTTGTTTGTTTCTCCAGTTCAACGAGCCTGGTGGTCTGATGGTCGATTCGTCTGGAGATGTTCTCCTAGTAGCTGATACCAACAACCACTGCATCAAACGGGTAGACCTCACCACCGGCGCCGTCGAAAGGGTAAGTCCAGTCTCGGTGCTGGTGCTACTTTCAGCAGATCCGGTGCATTTGGGCTGGTAAAGGGCTGATTTGATGAATCGCTGATTTTGCTTGGATCGTCGTAAATCCTAGGAACCTTCTTTATCATGATCGGTCATGGGGAAATTAACGCTGTCCTATTTCGAATGATTGAATTCTGCATTGTCATAGGCATTCGATATGTTGTATTTTCGAGCTGCATTCCCGAGCTTGGATATTTCAGTGAATTTACTTGACTTGGACATTCATTGACCTGGACATGCTGTAATAAGAGTTAAATGACCTCACACCATCAAGCGCATTGGAAGCCGTGGTTTAGGAAATTTAGCCGAAGAGACGCCGCTCCCGCGGCCCAAAGACGGCACTGGAACACCATTCACGTGGTTCCAGTTAAGCTCATCACCGCCCTTTGATTTTATAGACCTCACAATTGATTGACTGATTCCTCGGCATCGGCTTAACCCTCGCACGACCAGGCCATTTCTCATAACACGAACGACCAGGGGGGGGGGGGTTGTTACGACCCCCCCCCCCTGGCGTTTCGAAACGGAAGGTCGTAGAGCTTAGCGGAAAAAACCAACGGATTGCTCTCAACGAGATCTCGCGATTGGTGGTATATTTTTTGGTCCTAGGTCAACATTTGACCTACTTATGACCGGTCAAAGGTCAAATTTTCCGAAAAAATCAAACTTTTTCAACTTTCCGCGGCGATTGCGGCAAAACGGTGGGAGATATCGACTTGAAACCTTCACTATCGTGTTCCTTGATCAATTCTCTATCGTTTGGTATGTATTTCGTTTCCCTAGCTCTAAAAATGGCGCGTTGGGAGCGCCGGAAGTCGGCAAGGTCACAGTCGGCGGCAGAAATTCGAAAAATCAAAATTTAAATTTTTGAAATCTGATTGTATTTTTGGATTTGGGAGGTCCATTTGCTCCCTATAGAAGCTAATATTGCTGCATATTCCCATTGAGGTGACAAGAATTAGCAAAATAGTGGTTCGGGCGCTTTTCAAAAATAGTACCGGACGCTGTTCCTCTTGTGACGTCATAGCTCCGTGACCTGACCTGACCCGGTCAATTTTCTTGCATCACACGATAGCCAATGCTTGCCCCAACATGCATGGGAAGTTTCATCATGATCCATCAAAGAATGTGGGTATCACCGGCAGAAAACCTAGGGATTCGGCGCACACGTTTGGTAACTGTCGGCCGGAGGCTGTACCTCTTATGACGTCATAACTCCGTGACCTGACATGACCCGATCAATTTTTTTCGGCAAAAGATGCGCAAAGGTTGCCCCAGAGGGTATTGAAAATTTCAGCCCGCTACGACAAGCCGTTTAGCGTGCACTTCGAAAAAACCTCAGGGGGGGGGTTGATACAACCCCCCCCCCCCCCTAGGCGTTCTAGGGTTAAAGCGTGGAGAAGCCTACACGAGTGGGTGCACAGCTTCTGTTCGGTAGCAGATAGCAATAGCTATGTGACCTCGCCAGAGATGGCATTGATTTCGAAAGGATCTCTATTTTAATGTGCAGATTTTCCTAATGGCGGCAATGACATAGCTAAACGACGCGTGCAACCAGCAAAATATATGACAAAATATATTTATCAATTGATTTATTGTCAGCTTTGCATTATTTTGGCGGTTATCAAGATTACTAGAACATATGTGGCCTTGTTTTGGCTTGATTTTGGCCCACCTCAAAGCTCAAAGCCTCAAAGTTCTTCTGAGAGCGCAATAAGGTCATGTAACCAAGTTTCTGTGCATCTTGGCGGAAATTTTCCATTCCAGCATTCATTTTCAGGCATTCAATTTTCATGCATTTTCATGAGTTGGCCGTTTTTGGTCTTCCAACACCAATTCATTCTATTTTGTTTGGCTACTTTCTCTGTTTTAACGTGTAATCGGCTCCACCCTATCACCATACGACGTAACATCCCGCCGACTCCAGCTGGCCGTCCAAATGGCGCGCGACTCACCGGACCGCGCGGTCCCGCCGGCGGCTGCGGAAGCCTCGGTCTCGGTCCGATCGGCCGGTGGCGACATCTCTGTTCGGCTCGAGCTACTACTGACTGACGTGTCGCTCACCGACGGCGCCCCGCACAGCTGGAAGCTGGACCAACTACGTGAGTATGATTTTTAAATCCGTATCTTTTTTATGTTTTATATTGTTGATGTTATTCTGTATCTTTCTTTATCAGCGTTTTAACTGTGTAGCAAATCGGTAATAGGCTGCATGCAACTTGTTGTTATAAAAATGTATAGTTCTTTCATCTTTGTGTTGTTGTTTTTCTATGGGCTGATCAAATTTCATATTTTCCATCCATGGGGATCTTCTGGTCTGTCTCTTTGTCCCAGAAAAATCCCCCCTATGTTCTCCTCTGACCGTTCGTCGCTCTTTTTCCAGCGACCGGCTGGACGGCTCCGTCCACCAGCGGCAGCCTGCCGCCCGGTCCCCTCTCACTCCAAGTGACGGCACCGTCGCTGCAGGCCGGCCAGGTGACGCTGCTGTCGCTCCAGCTGCGGCTCTTCCTGTGCTCTCCGGCCGGGATGTGTTTCCCGCGGTCAGCGCGATGTGAGGTGAGGGTGGAGGGGGACCCGACCGCGCAGCGGGGCGCCGAGGTCCGTCTGGTGGTAAAACTGGACTCGAAACAGCCGGGAGTGTGACAGGGCAACGACTGGCTGGGTCAGGTAGCACTGACGCTGGATTGCGGAGCTGATGATATGGACCTCTTTTTAGAGAACGACACACTTTTTACAGGACCAATTCATGTGTCTTCTGTGCTGTTAAATGATTAAAGTCTTATTTAGAGCGGCCTGTCTATCTAACGTGTAGTTATTTCAGCTCCTGATGCTTGTTAACTGCTCTCGTAGCTGTTCGTCGCTTGATGGTAGGTGGCGTGGCGATGGTCCTATGTCGTCTTCCATCACATTGCAATCATTGCCAATTTGATCGTAAGTGTTCTGTACCTGATCCTGGGAATCAGCACATCGCTACTCATTATGGCGGTGCCAAATGAGAAATGTCCTTTTCTAGCGCATTGACTTGTCTGTTACTAATTTTGAACAGCGCTTATTTTTATAACGTTCCCCGCTCGCTAACTCGACTGTGATGATTGCACTGTGTCTAGATCGTGCCTTCCACTGAGCGTATATTTAACAAGATGTCTGCTAGAATACACAAAGCTGTATATCATTGCAACTTTGCATATGGTCTCCATGAGAAGTGAACCCTATCGCGGAGTCCACACTAGATATTCACACGAGTATTTTATTACAGCTACAGCTAAAATACATACAAGTTGTTGACTACACCGACTGTGGCGCCGCGGTGCGGCCGGCGGGCGAAACATGCGCCCCGGCAGGCCCGCCCGGAACATTAAATATAAAAACACGGTTAGCCAGTATCGCCGCATCTGTACAGACTGGCGCACCGCGCGGCGGGCTGGCGGATCCCCCGCCCCTCTGCCCTGGTCGCTCCGGGGAGCGCCCCTCCTCTCCCCAGCGATAGCTGCGCCTGGGTAGCACAGGGCGAAGATTCGCCGGTGGGGCGGCTGCCTGCCCCCGGCCCAAACACGGCTGACGTATACATAACCTGTTTTCTCAACATGACGACCATAGGCGCGGCCGAGCGACCACTCTCCGGAGCGGTCCGAATAAATCCAGCTGCCTGATAATGTTTCAGGAAAACAATAACCATTTTCTCCGCAGTCTCCTATGCATGCGTGAAAAAAATACGCCAAAAACAAGACGGCAATGACGAACACTCGTAATAAAACGCTGAAACAGCCCCTGGTTTTAAAACGGGAAATTCCGAATCGGCGTCATACGGGTCATCATTTCTCGACGAATAATTACGGCAACGAGCTTAAAGCTGAAAATTGCAAACACAATAGCTCGGGGCGCGTGGTCGCGGGTCGGGGGGCGCCTGTGGGACGCCTCTAGGGCGTACAGGCGCCGTCGACAAATATGCCGCATTTGAACAATGGCCTCAGTTGCTCCGGATTTGGCACACGACAAGATGGCGGCGCGTGCCGCTCGCACACTCAACACTGACGGAGAACGGGAGACAACTGGAGACAGATAGAGGAGAATTAATATCATGTGGCGCGGCTGTGTGGCCGCCGAACGGCTGACCGACTGGTCACGTCAAGTCACGACCTTGTTCCGGGTCAGGCCAGGTCGTGACCGCACCGTCAGGTCGAGTCAGATGGCCGACGATGGACAGCCAGTCCAAGCCGTGGTGGCGACCCTCAGGTCGAAACACCGCTCCAGTCAGGCCTCGTGACCTGAATACCAGGTCAGGTCAGGTCGCCATAGTCTGACTGTCCCAATAGTCAGAGATACTTCCTCATGACGTTCTCTCACCGGTCCCCTCGGCCGGTCGACCAGTGCCGTTCGCAGTCTAACAGACGTGACGCGCTCTATACGCCGCACTTCTTGCGGCGTCGGCAGCGGCACTTGCGTGCCACCTTGATCACCTTGCGGTAGCGGGTGCCGTCGTTGCAGACGAAGCTGACGCGCCGGTTACGAACTCTGCGCGGCTGGCAGCAGTCGCGTCCGCAGCTGCCGGCGCAGCGCGCCTGGCGCACGGGCCTCCGTGACCGGCAGCCGTTCTCCCTGATATAATCGCGGCTCTGCTCGCGGCGACAACGCGGCGCTGAAAGAGGAGGGAAGGGAGTTAAGTTACATTACGGCAAGGCTTTGGAACGGAAGAGGAAGGGTAACTGCATGACACTGCGGCGCTCGCACCATGGGGAAACTGGGCAATTACACGTCACTACGGTGCTGATACCATTGACATCGGAATTAAAGATCAATGTGAAATGAAAGCATTTTACTGTTGCAACCGGCACCATTCTGATCCGCGTTTGTCGAAAGAACGATTGGCAGCGCTATTCCATAGTGACCGTCATTATATCGTGCTTCATCAAAAGTGACTTACCTCTGTCGCAGTATTTGCCGCTCCAGCCGCGTTTGCATCTACATCTGTAGGAGCTGCTCTTCTTGTTTGGAATGCACCGGCCACGCTTGCACCTGAAGAAAGGACACGAAATACGCCATCAGAAACCACCACCACGACAATACGATCCCCAGCACAACTATAACGGCCGCCCAGCGCGAAATATGACGTCATTAAACCAAAGGTCGCCGCCAAAGGACGCCCAAAGGGATACTTGTGTGCAGGATCTGGCCGTTAACGCTCGATATATGACAGTTGTAACTCAGCGCAACAAGTCGTTTATCAGAGATATCAACCAGGCTTTTCCTCCTCGAGAATCGAGATGGAGGGAGTCAACAGTGCTCCGGCTGCTATCGCTGCATCACAGAAAAATGTAGCTATTATGAATGCGTAGACACAACATGTTGATATATCCGCATTCCGCATCACAATATGTTCATCGCCACAGTTGCTATTTTGTTCTCGCTCCCTAACAGCACCACTCAGTAGTGATCGGTGCAGAGGTTGGTGCTTTACCCGTCTCTCTCCCTCCCTCTCTCCCATTCCCTGCCAGCACCACTCACTGGTGATCGGTGCAGAGGTTGGTGCTCTATCCGTCTCTCTACCCCCTCTCTCCATCTCTCCCCCTCCCTGCCAGCACCACTCACTGGTGATCGGTGCACAGATTGGTGCTCTGTTCGTCTCTTGGCTTGGGCACGCCCCCGCAGCCGGCCGAGACTTTGTGCTGCTGTCTGGCTCTCTGGAAGTCTATCC